TTGAGAAGATGATCCGCCACAACCATATAGAAAATGAATGTTTAAAAAGAGATATCACTAAAGCCATCGTGTGAGTTTCTTGATAACAAAATGGTCTGTTATGATGAGAATGCTTGCAAGATCAATGCTGATTAAAAGCGTCATGAAAGTGAAGATACATGCCATCATTAGCTGATCGATTTAAAAAGAGGAACGCTTTGCTTGTGAAACATTGCTGAGACTGAAGCCGCTGAGAGCAGTGCATACAACTGATTAATGCAGTCACAATTGAACGACAAGAAGGCGACTAGATGACAAAGAAAAGTATGGCTGTTTTGGTGACCGATGATTGCATGGTATTCTCAAAGATGATCTTGAAAGACTAGATATTCATTATTCGTCACAACACAAGTGGTGTATCACACACCAATCATGATTTCCTATTTCGAGAATTCCTTCAATTTTACACCACCATCACAGATCAATAAAAACAGGGATCCTAGTGATTGGCATGCTGTTCTCAAGAAGGAATTCTGAAATGGAAGATGGTGACCAGAAAATCAATGCTATAAAAGAAGACAGTACCCCCAGTAGAACCCAAAGTCATTTATACAAAAGCTTTTTCCTATAAGTTATACAAGACCCCAAGAAGACTCTAAGTTACACAAAGCTATAATAGAGGGCTCCTCGAAAATCGGCATTGCTGCAGGGCTACCGTCTTTAAACATGTGAAATGAAATAAAGAAATAATTCAGGAGTTGCGACTAAAATTAGACAGCAGTCACAAAGTGCAAGATTCCACGGACTAGAGGGTATCCACGAGTAAGCAGAGAAATCATATATCAACTAATATTGAAATATACTTTCTCCGCAAGATATAGGACAAACCCTTACCCGGCCGATTCTTAATTTGCTGTTTGGCTTTGTCTTCTGGAATCCCCAAAATCTCAAAAGAGCAGCGGTCAGCAAAATAACGTGTATCGTCGTCTATGCCCGTGTAAATTTTGCCTCCTTTTGAAAGAGGCTCATTGCAAATGAAGTTGTAGTAACGGCCTGCCACTTGAAATACATAGCTGTTTGTTCGAACTTTGTAGTGACGGATGAACGTGGCTGCTTTTCCTTTAAAGATAACAAACAAAAGTTTAACGTAATATGAAATAACAAGAGGAATAAGTAGCAAGAATGAAGAAAAGTAAAAAAATCAGAATCGGACAAGCAGCATAAAAAATGGCAAAATCTTACTGTGTGCTTTCGAACTTTTGTCAACAACATCCAACATGATCATATTCTTTCCATTCTTGATGCGTTCCACCATATAGTAACCCGGAAATTTTAATGAACGCAAAGATATTGCATTGTTCCTTAAAATAGGCAAAACATCATTTTCTCCTACGGCCGTTTCTTCCACGGCGAAGATTTGATCTCCACTGACATCTTTCGTGAGTCGACACTCTTTGTTAGGCAAACAGGCAATCACGTAACCACTATCGGGATCTTTAGGATCTCCAAGTTGCACATACTTATCTTCACAATCTAATAACAAAAATCAGTTTCAGTTAAGATGATTTTTGGTTAATTTTGCAATGTTGCCTTAATGCATCAAGTTTAAACTGTTTATGAATAAAACAAAAATTAACTATTTATTTATAGCAATGTCTTCGAAGATGAAACTAGCATTTCAGTTTTGCAGCCTCTTCGGTGAGCGAAAAAAGGCATTTAAGAAAAACTAAGGCCAATCCAATGGATTTTCATATTGTGTTAAGCAAGCATCAAAGCAATTTAGAAAGTAAGCAGAATCTTTATAGCAGATAAATGTCTTCTTACCTATTTGTTGAATAAGAATCAACAACACTATGAAACTCTTTATCCAATACATATCAGAAGTCAATAAACTTTCATACCAACTACCAAACAAATTGCTTGTCTGCCTGTTTCAGCTTATCTTGATACCAACACACGACAATGACGGGGGATCTGGATTATGATATCATCGGGTATCTTAACTAGTTTCTACCAATCTGAGCATCATAAATTATAGCAGGACCCCCGTCAGATAAAGCAGATCTGGCATACGAAAGAGCATCAGACCGTGTACACATGTAAAAAGCTGGCATCAACCGTGTAGTGAAAAGATAAATGATACCGGTACTGCAGTTTTTACAAGTTACATACTGCTTGACCTTTGAGTTTGTTGCATGTTTCAAAATGTGTACGCGACGTAAAACTGTATACGCACTTGAACAGTTCTTCCAGGTTGCATTGGTATTGCAACATTGGTATTGCAACAGAGATAATCAACTTACATCGAACAACTCATATCTAAGGTAAGTACACAGATTAATAAATGATTGATATGCCTAGAAATGTAAAATATTATACAAGTAAACTGAAAAACGTGTGTTCTGTAAACATGGTTGCTCGAAATTTTTAAATAGATGAATGGCTGGCTCATATCAATGAACTGAGTTATATATTACGAATAAAGTAATACAACGCATGCTGTACCTGATAAGAGTGAATCATGATGCAGAGCGCTAACCAGGCATTTCAAGATAGCAGCAACATGTCATACCTTTAAGAAGAGGAAAATCCTTTACACGAAGGAAGTGTATTGTAACATAACTAACTAAACTATGTCATAGCACATTTCCTTAATTAAGCTGTTTCGAATTTGAAGATCTCACAACAATTTATTTATCCTTATTGTGAAAATCATCTTTTCTTGATTAAATAAAGTGTTTTTGAAAGAAGTTGATTTTTAATAGCAACATTAGTGAGAGAAAATAAAACAAAACACAACGTACCTGTGAAGAAAATGGCCCGATGTGTACGGAAAAGTCAACCAAACTGATTTTGACGTTGCAATGTGATGATGCAAATAATGATACTGGAACTCTATCGATTGGAACCCTAGTGTGTAGGAGCACACTATGTCGCAAAAACAGCTTATCCGTGCAAGATGCAGGGGTGGTTTTTATGCGGTTGTGTAACTCGCCAAGGAACATTTTGCGTTGTTTGTGGTAAAAGCATTGCATCTTTAATGGAACTACTGTCAATCAAAATTAGCCAATCACTAAGTGTGTGAGTAGTAAAACGCTCGCTGAATGGCCAATTGTTGATTGACAAATGGTTTGATCTCCTTCAGTATCAGAATCTGTCGATTGCCTTTAAGGCGTAGAGAGGGACGTTGGGGTCAAGTTTAAAACGGAGAGAATATCATCAAGGATGTACGATCGTGAAAAAACTCACTTTCACAAGCAGGGAATAGAAGTTGCATATTTGAGTGTGAAAGGATTCATTTTTCGATTTTGTTACGGTGGAAATAAATTTTGAGTTTTGTGGAAATTGAAGAAGAAGGAGAAAAGAAATATAAATTCAAGTGTTATCATTGTGTAAACCCTTCCCGCGCCACACATTGATGAACTAATAAAGATGAGCGGACTAACGGACGTGCGGAAGAGCGGGTTAGCGGCCCAACGGATGAACAGGAAAGTATAACGGTTAATTATTACACAGAAAATGGACACTGTGGCTGGAGCCTGCTCCGTTTCTTCACATTTAAGCATTCCGTCAGAGCTGTGCTCCGTAGTTATTGCGAACTTTTTCAGTTTGAGGATTTTATGTCAGCAGTCTTCAGAACAATAATTGAAAAAGTGATGTTTCGAGTTTTACAGCTGATGTAGTTCACTAAGTTAACAGAATTGAATACGTTATCAAAAGAAAGCATGGCACTCCTTCAAGAGAATGTTCAGCCAAAAAGATTTGCATTTTCTTGACTGTTAAGCAATCATAGAGAAGCAGAAGAAATTAGAAGCAAGTCGGTATTCATATCATCTGTAACACGCAATTCCGAAACAGAGGCTAGATCAGGGCCCGCGCCACGAATTTGAAAGTGGGGAGAGGGGGCCAAGGCTAAAAATATAGGGGGCCAAGGCTTCTTACCCCTTTTATTGCAGCTTTAAAACTACTTGCTTTGCAAAATGACTTTGTCTTCGTGCCATTTGCAATTCAGATTCGACTTTACATATGATGCATACCATTAGCTTTGTCGCCAGCCCCCGTCTGTGGCTGGCCTTTCACCTCGTCGTCTTTGATGTCAATCATATCGTAGGAGCATAGGTCCGCAAAAGACTTCGAGTCATCATCAATCCCTGTGTAAAGATGGCCACCTTGGGACTTTGCTACATTACAAATAAAGTTGTAATATCTACCAGCGACTTGGAACACATAACTGTCAGTGGAAACCTTGGAATGTTTAATAAATGTCGCTGATTTTCCTAAAAGAAAAAAGATGAATGTTAGCCTGTTAGAAGTATGGACGGCAGCTTCAAACAGCGAAGTTGTCAAATTGGCAAAACTAGTACAACTTTAAACAAGAAGAACACTTTCTTTACTATCGTGACATATAGTCGCTCTTTCTAACGGATGGCAGCTAGGAGGGGGGGAGGGGGGGGATCGCAGCTTGGGAAGGGAATCGTACCTTATCCTCTTCTACGGGACCATGACTTGGGGGAAATGCATTTCTCAAAAACCTGACCTGGAACTTAATTTTTCAAAAAGGTGGCAATACAACAAAAATCCAATTCCCATATGGAGGCCCTGAATTGAAAGGTACCTAAGTACAGCTTAGGTTATTCTTACGCTATATAGGAGCGTATAAGGTAACTCAATTCTTACTTAATGCCAGTCAAAACTTACTATCTGCTTTTGAGTTGGAGTTGATAGTATCCAAAATAATCAGCTTTTTGCCATTCTTAATGCGCTCTACCATGTAGTAGCCTGGGAATTTTACAGATTCAAATGAGATTGCATTATCTCGTAGAATCGGGTAGACGTCATTTTCTCCTACGGCAGTTTCCTTTAATTTGAATATATGGTCACCATCATGCTTTTTAGTGATAGCGCAACCATCCTGAGGCCTGCATGTTATCGCAGATCCACTAGTAGGGTTGTCTGGATCGACTAACTTTACAAGCTTGTCTCCGCAAACTAGAAAAAACACATAAATGAAAAACATAGTTTCTAGTACAATTTTTAAATTTTAGGAACACAAAGGAGTTATTTTGCTCACCCAGTCATAGCAACGTTTAAAAGGCGCATGTTACCCATATATACCGTAATGCCTCGAACAAGAGAGCCCTCCTCGAATAAGCGCCCACCCTAGAGCCAAAGTTATTGAATAAACGCCCCCTCGAATAAGCGCCCACCCCTCGAATAAGCGCCCATCCTTCAACCTTCAGAAATGGGCGCTCATTTGAATTTCCAACGAAAACATAATTGGAAAACAATTCAACACGAAAGATTTATGATGAGCACAATTTGCATCCAAATCTACTTTTTAAATAAGCGCCCCCTCGATTAAGCGCCCCCTCGAATAAGCGCCTACACTGGAGGCTCAAAAAACTAAATAAGCGCCCGGGCGCTTATTCGAGGCATTACGGTATTCTTCATCTCATCTATTACTATTTACACTTTTTTCTAATAAGTAACCAAGCTTTAATTAGCACAGTTTCTTAACTTTTGTTTATGATTTAAATGTTAAGAATTTCTTCAAGGTTTCTTTATTACCAAATCCTAAGGAGTTACTTTTAGAAACCCAAAAATTCAACACTGAAAAGACCATCCGACACAAAAAGCTCGCCTTCCTACTCATTAAACAGAAACTAGATCGAAAAGAATCATTTCCAATAAGATTCTTTAACTACAATTTTAAATGATTAACAAAGATTAATCTGTTTCTGCTTCCCAATTCTGAGTTGGAATACGAATATAAAAAATGACAACGCTACTTAGAACTTGAAAAACATAACACCGTTCTTTTTTGTCAATTAAAGAAACAAGAATCAATGAATCAGCGGTGATGATTGTTATCTTCAGGTAACCGCAAGACTTAAAAATATACAAACATTCACCTGCTCCAACATATATTTAGCTGGAATACATTCAAAATGGAACTTACCAGCGTTTCGCAGTATGAAAAGCACAAAACAAAGACTAGATATCCAGTGCATCCCCAAAGTAATGGCATGTAAGCTATAGGTATTTTTCGTAAATTTAAGTAGAGAGCGAAATACTTTGTTTGGGGAGACGAAGGCAACTGGGGGCTTAATTTCAAGGATATCACTACAAATTGAATTGGAAAACAAATATGATATGATTTGCTATAAATCAGGATCATTCCCATCGCGGGCGTGATAGTAAAGCAACCGACCGTGTAAACATATTGTATGGTTTACAGGGCAACAAGAACAATATGATTTCGCAGGTGATAGGGAGACCAGTTTGGCTATTATCGAGAAACACCTCTTCTTATTAAGTCTAATAGAGCAAGTAAACAAACAAATTTACAGCTACTGCATTTGCTGCTAGCTCTGCTACCATGCATGCTTTAGAGAGATACTTCCTCAACCAAAGAAAAGAGCATACACTCAAAAAACAGTCCTGGGGACGTCGTCCAGCCCAAGGTTATTAAAATACATAACAGAACAGAAACTTACCTTCAGTGAAGAAATGTCCTGGAGAATCTGTAAATACCATCAGGTTGAGCCTAAATTGAATCACGTTTTTCCATAGACCAAGACATTGAGGATAACCATATTGTGACATTCATTTTCTTTGTTCAGCTTTTCGGAAGGATTTCAATTCAATCGCACGGCGCACAAGTCGAGCAGATTCGCAATAACGTAGGTTTACCTAATACGTCAAAGATGGTTCACTGAGAAGATGATCCGCCACAATCATATAGAAAATGAATGTTTAAAAAGAGATATCACTCAAGCCATCGTGTGAGTTTCTTGATAACAAAATTGTCTGTTATGATGAGAATGCTTGCAAGATCAATGCTGATTAAAAGCGTCATGAAAGTGAAGATACATGCCATCATTAGCTGATCGATTTAAAAAGAGGAACTCTTTGCTTGTGAAACATTGCTGAGACTGAAGCCGCTGAGATCAGTACAGTACATAATCATATTCCTTTCATTCATGATGCGTTCCACCATATAGTAACCCGGAAATTTTAATGAACGCAAAGATATTGCATTGTTCCTTAAAATAGGCAAAACATCATTTTCTCCTACGGCTGTTTCTTCGACGGCGAAGATTTGATCTCCACTGACATCTTTCGTGAGTCGACACTCTTTGTTAGGCAAACAGGCAATCACGTAACCACTATCGGGATCTTTAGGATCTCCAAGTTGCACATACTTATCTTCACAACCTAAAAAGGAGTGCCATAGGAATAAGCTTCGATTCTTTCTGAAAATTTTCATAAAGGAAACTAAACAGCTGGCTGGCCTAGAAGACGACTGCAATGGACGTATCAGATAAAATAAATTGATGCTCATAAAAAACGTCTGGCTTAAAATAGTAAAAATCCGTTTTAGTTATGGTGATTTTCGCTACTTTTGCAATGTTTATGAATGAAACAAAAACTAACTACTTATTTCAAAAAAATTTCTTCGAAGTTGAAACAAGCATTTCGGTTATGGAGTCTCTTTGGTGAGCGAAAAAAAAACATTCAAAAAAGAACTAAGGCCTATCCAATGAATTTTCATATGGTGCTAAGCAAGCATCAAAGGACTTTAAAAAGTAAGCAGAACCTTTATAGCAGTTAAATATCTTCTTACCTATTTGTTGAATAAGAATCAACAACACTATAAAACTCTTTATCCAATACATATCAGAAGTCAATAATCTTTCATACCAACTACCAAACAAACTGCTTGTCTGCCTGTTTCAGCTTATCTTGATACCAACACACGAAAATGACGGGGGATCTGGATTATGATATCTTCGGGTATCTTAACTAGTTTCAACTAATCTGAGGCTCATAAATAATAGCAGGACCCCCGTCAGATAAAGCAGATCTGGCATACGAAAGAGCATCATCCGTATACACATGTAAAAGACTGGGATCAACCGTGTATTGAAAAGATAATTGATACCGGTACTGCAGTTTTTACAAGTTACATACTGCTTGACCTTTGAGTTTGTTGCATGTTTCAAAGTGTGTACGCGACGTAAAACTGTATACGCACTTAAACAGTTCTTCCAGGTTGCATTGGTATTGCAACAGAGGTAATCAACTTACATCGATCAACTCATATCTAAGGTAAGTACACAGATAAATAAATGATTGATATGCCTAGAAATGTAAAATATTATACAAGTAAACTGAAAAACGTGTGTTCTGTAAACATGGTTGGTCGAAATTTTTAAATAGATGGATGGCTGGTTCATATCAATGAACTGAGTTATATATTACAAATAAAGTAATACAACGCATGCTGTACCTGATAAGGGTGAATCATGATGCAGAGCGATAACCAGGCATTCAAGATAGCAGCAACATGTAATACCTTCAAGAAGAGGAAAATCCTTTACACGAAGGAAGTGTATTGTAACATAACTAACTAAACTATGTCATAGCACATTTCCTTAATTAAACAGTTTCGAATCTTTGAAGATCTCATAACAATTTATTTATCCTCATTGTGAAAATCATCTTTTCTTGATTAAATAAAGTGTTTTTGAAAGAAGTTGATTTTTAATAGCTATATTAGTGAGAGAAAATAAAACAAAACACAACGTACCTGTGAAGAAAATGGCCGGATGTGTACGGAAAAGTCAACCAAACTCATTTTGACGTTGCAATGTGATGATTCAAATAATGATACTGGAACTCTATCGATTGGAACCCAAGTGTGTAGGAGCACACTATGGCGCAAAAACAGCTTTTCCGCGCAAGATGCAGGGGTGGTTTTTATGCGGTAACTCGCCAAGGAACATTTTGCGTTGTTTGTGGTAAAAGCATTGCATCTTTAATGGAACTACTGTCAATCAAAATTAGCCAATCATTGTGTGTGTGAGTGGCAAAACGTTCGCTGATTGGCCAATTGTCGATTGACAAATGGTTTTATCTACTTTAATATCAGAATCTGTCGATTGCCTCTAAGGTTACAGAGAGGGACGTTGGGGTCAAGTTTAAAACGGAGAGAATATCATCAAAGATCGTGAAAAAACTCGCTTTCACAAGCAGGGAATAGAAACAGCACTATAATACACAATATTTTTTGCCTTAAGCTTCAGAAGGAGGATCGTCACGATAAAAAAGAAGAAATATGTTTTGTATCAAGAAAAAAACGAATTACAGATAGATAACAAGAAGCAGTTAAAAAGAGGTGGATATATGAAAAGTACTATGAATGTGAAAAATAGAAGTTAGACCTTAATTGATAAAGGAATCCTTGAACGAAAGGTCATATTGACGAATGAGTAAAAGAGGTCCAATAATTGAGCACTGTGGGAAAGCAAAGCACTCTGCTGGCTTCAGCCTCGGTTTGCAAACGGAAAAATAACAGAGATACTACCTGTGGGAGTGGTAGATCATTTCTGGTGGCGTACAGTGATCGTACAGTGAGCTATGAATATGATAAATTTGCCGCTGAAAATTCAGGAGGATATTACCAGAAAATAAAATATGCTTTTCTATTATCTTACGCTGGCTATGCGATTTGTAACACCGTGCGTTTATATCTTAGCCGCGATATGCGATTCATGTTGTGGAAAATGCTCTTTGAGATGCGTCTTTTTACGAAGAACCAGATACCAAAGAAGCTTCAACAAACAACAATCAATTTCCACATATCAGAGTGTTTCGCGGAGCTAACACTTCTTCGTAAGGGACGCAGGGATTACGTATATACGCAAAAACTACCGTTTGCCAGTCTTTTGCGGGGAGCACGATGCTGTGTAGACAGAAATGTACACTTTTGGTGTGAAACACAGGATGGCTCTAAGATGCTACGGTAGGTCGGTGTAATGAGGTCATGAAGCTAATAGACAGCTGTTTTGCCTGCTGCGATAGTTTCCATGTCCAAATCCCTGGTGGCGATTTACGCAAAGCTCAGGGTAGCAACTTGAAACAATCCTGTTTGTCACACCAGAGCGTGAATGGAGATCTTCATTCTTAACAAAAGAGACCCAGCGGTATCTCAAGTTAAGACAAAAATTTAGCCCAACTTGACATTTTTTGATATTTTTGCTTGAATCTCGAGCAACTTTTAGACTTGTTACCTGCTGGGGCTGATTTTCCTGCTTCTTTTCCAAGCCTTTCCTTTGCCTTCTTGTCATCCAGTTCTTCAAAATCAAAGGAACAGCGGTCGGCAAAAAATTTTGTGTTGTCGTCTGTTTTGATTTCCATGTACCACGGCTTGTCTTTGCCGTTGCACATGAATTCATACTCATGACCTTCAAGTAGGTATATATATGCATTTGTTCGCACTTTATGGTTTTCCCGGAATGTTGCTCTTTGTTCTGCAAAAAGATTAAATCCTAAAGATGTGTCTTTAAAATTAACAGGAAATTTTTCTCTAAAAATATGTTGAAGCAATCAAGTTAAATTTTACTTTCATAAAACACGAGAAAGAATCTTCAAGGTGTTATTGGCACAGAAAATCGGTTCATTGCAAGCTAGGTTCCTTGATATATTTCTTGTTAGAGCTTGATACTTTGTGAATACAGCGTACCCTCTATTTCAATTTCTATAACCTGGCTTTTGATACGGGTAAAAATTTGATACGGGTTCTATTCGACTATAAATAACAGTCTCTGAGTCTGTTTCAAGTGCAGGGGAAATGCCAAAAAGAGAGATAGTCACGGGGGCCATCACCCGCCTTTTTAAGTACGATATTTTGCAAATTATAGGTAATAAAAGGACCTTTGCTCTATACTCTCCCATTTTGAGGCTCAACTACACCCTCCCAACGAGGCCCATGAAGTGTGGCAAAGAACAAACAGAACAGTTGTAACTCAGTAAGTAAAGCTTTACACTTCCTTCATGTATTCTTCAAACTGAAAAAGATTTATATTTTGCACTAAGACGTTTTAATTTATTTCGCTGTACTACTCTTTTCAAATAACCCTGGGTTGCTCTTCTAACCAACTAGCGTTCACTTTCTTATGCATAAAAGGCGGCATGAGGCTGGAAAGAAACCGCAAATATCAAATTTGCAAAAGACATCAAAGGTAAATGAATAGCTTTGAACAACGTAGGATTTTAGTGAAGAGAGATAATTTTGTCGTACAAAGGGTAAAAAAAAACAAACAGACTAAAAGAAAACAAACTTGAGTCGGAGTCTGTAGGTTTTTCCAATGTAATTTCTTTCAAATCTTTTGATGCCATGGCATAATAGCCAGGGTATTTGAAAGATTCGATGTTAATTGCTTTTCTCGGGAATTCTGTTGTCCCAATCTTTGGTGGTAAGTGAATCTTCCACAGTTCATTTCCATCGAGCTTTTTATCGAGAAAAAGCCTGCTTCCGGGGCCAGTGGCTACGATGTTTAAACCTGAGCCCTTCGGATCAGTGAGAGTGCCAACATATTCTAAAATAGCATAAAATAGAATATCAGACAGCAACGGTGAAATGAAAACACATCAATCAAGTGTTGTGTTTGGTGAATCTTATCATATAGTTTAGAATAACAGTTTCAAATAACAAGCTATACAATTCATTAGCTTAAAGAATGAAAACAAAACAATTTTACAGCTACATACCTGTCGATGTAACAAAAGCACAGAGATTAAGTAGCAGTATTAGTTCAGAAACCATTTTTAAAAATTATTTATCCAGTTCATACTACTAAAGATTAATGACCTTGAATATCTCGGCGAACAGCACGAGTTGTCGCTGAATCGCAGCACCTGTTTGAAGATTATTCACGCGAGCAGTGATTTCAAATGGCATTTTTTGATTGGCTGTGGGTCGTGGCTTATCTTCTTTACCTGGATACTAAAACTAACAATATTCGAATTTGTTTTTCTACAGGAACTTATCAGGAATAACAAAATATCCCAAATCACCTATATTTCGTCAAACAGAATTTTTTTAGGCTAAGTTGGTTGCTAAAGGGTCGGTTTTTAATAATTACGTGGTCAGGGTAACAATAGACTATGCTTAAACATTGAAATTATCCAATCAACTAAAATTCGGTAATGTGTTGTATATACTAAAGATAATATACCAGTAGCATCAGTCTTGATCAGGCTTGTTTTCGTAATTAACTACAGCATTTGGCGTAATAAACTAACGCCCACTCTATCTGTCTTTCTTGCAGCCTTCTAATCTTTCTTAAAGACGGGTAAACAGTCATTCTTGCAGCTGATTCAAAGAGCAGTAAAAAGTCATCATCGCTCCTCATACAAATGAGTCAAAACGTCCCAATCTTCCTAAAATAAAAAAAACAACGCCTGTGTAATATTTTTAATTTTTTCAATGCTGTGGTTGTCATATATGCTAACGGCATGTCATTAATTTCCCCAATACAACTTTGAAAAGAGCAACCAACAAAGTAAAATTTACAGTACGTTACAGTGTATGCGTTAATGAACAACGTAAAACAGCTGTACCTACCGGTAAATAGTTCTTCGTAATACCAGCCACAAAAATAATCTTTAGCACCCGTTTTCACATAACTTCCATGTTGTTGCATCTGGTCACAAGTTGATGCCAAAATGCTCATAACCTCTCAACATTCAGTATTTTCTTTTCTTAGGAAATGAGAACAATGTTTGGAAGAGTAAATCTGAGTGTAGCTTCGTGTTGTAGCGTCGGCTCACGATAAAATCCACGCAATGAATCGTCAAGACAATTTGGCGGAGCGTGGGAAATGTGACCATGCTGAGTAAGCTGATGGCACAAAAATGCATGGGCATTACGCCATTTTTGAAGGGGAAACTAATAAGGTGTATGAAAAGGTCAATGCATTTGCAGGCTGACGCGCCGCTGCCAGGTCGGTAAAGCTACAGCTTTTAATGGTGCACCTGCAAATGGTCACGCCATATCTCGCACTAAGTAGTTATAACTTGTGAGTTAGAAGAGAAAGATTAGGAACAAAGGCTTCAAGATTCAAATAAGGATGACGCCAAATTGCTTAAAGAATTCGCAGAACGTAGCTATCCTGTAGTGTTTTTTGAAGACATGTTTCCAAAGACAAACATCTTAATTATGCCTCTGTTTCATCTTTGGATATAGCTGCTGTGCAAATATTCAAATCGAGGCTCGTTATTTTATTCACTTAAACTGTACCTGGCTGTTGTTTGATGCCCACACCAGTTTCTTTCTTCATTTTCTTATCCGCTTGCGCTTCAGTCAGTTTCACGAAGCCGTAGGAGCAGCGATCAGCAAAGTATCGTGAATTATCGTCGACTTTGACTCGCATTGGATATGGCGGCTCCTTTTCATTGCATATAAATTCATACTGCTGTCCTTCACGAGAATATATGAAAGATTTCGTCTGAACTTTCAAGTGTTCTAGAAAAGTGGCAGCGAGTTCTGAAAAAGAAATATTCGATTTTGGCGTAAAGTCAAGAACGTTTTTCATTCAGATAATCCAAGTTTAAATCGAAAAGTTTAGGCAGGGACAAACTTTCAGAGAACGACGTAAAGTAAAGTACTCGATTTTTGTTGATATCCCAAATTTTTTTGTCGGTTTTTTGGAAAAAGGATTGCGCTTCTGGATCTACCAAAAACAACTCATATTATAATAATATCATAATAATATCCTAATAATATCATACTAATAGTATTGTTGATATTAAAAGATTAACACGTTTTATTGTTGTACTTTGTAGGCAGTTGCTTCTTGTTCATTACCCATATTTTCAAAACTTCACGTGTGATTTAACAAAACCAAAGTGTATATAGCTTTACTAAAGCAAAGACCTCAGTGCACCAAAATTTTTACCAAAACTTCCATGTGCATCTGATCACGTACTGCTTTCAATACTGGCTCAACTGTACTACATGGAAATAGAAGATAAGCCTTAATTTCCAATATATGTTTTGGAGCCTTGATCGTCTGAATGCTTGTGAATGCATGTAATTTCGGATAGAATATTGTGATTGTTCCGACGCTTTACAACAAAGTTTATCAAGTTCTAGATTTGCAAAAAAAAAATTGTCCTATTCATCAAGATGATTTGTCAAGTTAGCTTTTTTGCACAGGGCAATTTTGGTTCTAAATGTCAAACATAAAAAATCATCAGTACATATATCAAAAATTGGTTATATGATTTATTCATGAAGCTCAAATATCCATTTAAACTATTAATCCATACAAAAAGATGAAGTAGGCTGAGTTCCCTTCGCAAATTTCCGGGGTCAAAGGGCCATTGTTTCAAAAACTGTCAAATTTATTCAAACAAATGTTCATATGTTGTTGGGTTATACTTCTTATGTGTCCCTACGTAAGAAAAATCCGTCGAAATGGTTGTAAGCCTCGAGAAAAAAAATATCGAAACAAATGATTTTTCATACTGATTCTAGTTACAGTTCTCGTTTTGCAACGATTGAAAATGGCGAAAGTAAAAAAATACGCCGCAGTATCCTAGCTCGACATTAAGCACCTTTGGGGCTTCTATATCATTGGGTCTATTAAAGTTGGTCACCTAATATGGCCACATGACGATTATTGGATTCTCGAGTGTGACTTCAGATAAAGTGCTGTTGTAGGACTGCAGGAAGTACCAGATTGATATTAAGAATTGAAATAAAAGGAGGGTGGCAAAGCATATTCAAATAGCTCTTAAAAGACTCTCGACAGAAGTCGTGCTTTCATCTAGGCAAGCTAGTTTAGAATTTACCTTCAATCCTGGAATTTTCCTTCAACATTTTTTGGGTATTCTGGACTGTCTAATGACAATTCAGAACTTATGTTTATGACCGATGTCTTCCGACATCTAATGTGTGACAAACTTATTATTGACTATTGTAATTCTGTTGAATTGTAAACACCATCTGCAGTCGGGATCAGATGACATTATGTCCTTCCTCATTGCATGGTGCAAATAAAGTAAGTTGTTTTTTTCTTTAGGTTTTAATTGATAAGAAAAAGAGAAAAAAAATTTACCTACGTAAAAACCAAAATCTCTTTCTTCATTAGACTTTTGCGGTAATAATTGATCAAAGATTGAATTATTGCCCTAAGCAATAGCCAGATATACTTGGGTATAGATACTAGTATCCAATTCTTGAATATAATTCTGATGTTTCACATTCTGAGTTTGAAAACTTCAAACTTGACGTTCTTTGCTAGTCTGAAGTTTTGTGCCACAAAAATGAATTGTTTAGCATTGGTTCGGAATCACTTACTTTCTTTTTCTGTCTTCGGTTTTTTAAGGATTAGTTCGTTTTCAGAAGTAGCATAAATGAAGTACCCAGGAAACCGAACAGATTCGATTGACAAAGCCCGTGAGGACTTGGCATCACTTATAGGAGGCTTGTGGATTTTAAATACTTGGGCACCGTCCATCTTCATGGTCAAGACGGGCGGCGAGCCATCGATGTAGGCGTGCATCATCAGACCATTATCGTTAAAAGGGTCACCAATCTGGCCATAGTAAACTAGAAAAGATAAATTGCAAATAAAACTAGATCATATGAATGAATTTTGAGAATTTCAGATTTAGATGTCAAATAGCTGAGCAATATACATTTATGAAGATAACATCTTCTATGCTAAAAAAGGCAGGACCAACATATACTCTCGAGAGTATATACTCTCGACTCAACAAAATTCGACTTAAGCATTGACCTGGCGTTTTGCAACATACACGTGGAAACTTCGATATAAAAAAAGAGATTATTATTAAAAATAAAGGGGCTAAATCGGGACCCAATTTCTAATAAGGATGGTGGTTATCTTCAGAATGAATTTAGTTTTGATTTCCTCTGACAGATAAGCTGATTAACTATCAAAGTATAATAAAACGAAATAAAAGAAAGTTAGATGGCAGCTGCTTGCCGTAAGGATGATAAGAATGCGTTATTTTCAAATATATTACGAACAGTGGCATTACAGGTCCTTCTTACCTTCACAAAAAGAGCTTGATACAAAGTACAGAAATATCCAAACTCGAATCATCTCAAATCCGCAAAAAAAATTCCAAAACAAAACAGACTTTAAGAATTGGTATCAAACAAAACACATCTTTTGAACGGGCACGGGCATAAACAAATTATGTTCGTTGTTCGCGAACACTTTCGATTATTCAGCCACCTGTTCACACCTAGAGCCTGTCAGGAGAAATCTAAAGGGCGCAAAAGCAGAAACAGAAGCAAAGTCAATGGAAAATAAGTTACGTTAAATAATAAAGCGTGACGATGTACAGATCTGCAAAAATGGTCAGCTGATGTAAATAAAGCCCAGGGATGTTCAAAACATTTCAGAGATGAATAAACACAAATAAGAAGGGTCCCTTGTCTCAGAATCTAAAGGAAACGCTTCTTTGAAAAGAGGCAAAAGCTGGGGGAGGGATGTGAAACCGGTGATCCCATGGTTCCAACGTACCCGACAAAAAAATACCAAAAAAGTTTTAGTCCAGTCTGGATGAGAACTTGCAGCAATGAAAATGACATCCTTCAAAATTTCATTACTTGGCGCAGAGTAAAAGAGGCAGACAAAAATGTCCATTGGACAATGATACGGTCCAATTTTTTAACATCTTCATTACAAAAGCACTTTTTGTAGGGAGATTAGTTATTTCCTATGTTAATTTGTTCTGTTAGTTAATTTGTTCTGCCATCACTCAAATTGAGAAAATATATTGCCCCATGCTTTTCCGAAAAGATATCTGCCTTGAAAAACCAAAAACAAACAAATTCACTGGAATGGTTAAACAACCGAGCGCCCGTGTAGTTAGCGCCTCGGTTGCTTGCGCTATTTTTGGCGGGTAGGCAACCTGGAAAAATGGCAACCTGAAGGAGATTAATATTTCTTCTGTGAAGAGTGTCCACAAAATAAGGTTTAATGATTCAACTTAAGCCAAGGCAGGCCTGTGGAAATATATTCTCTTTCATTGACCAAATTCGAAAGCTACATAAATTTTGTCTGAAAACATGAGTTCTCGCTTGAATTATTAAAAGTTCTTTCAGCCTTAAGTTGTTGTTCATGGGCTTGCTTACTTATGTACGCCATCTAGCCTATAATAAATGTATGGTGATACAGTGTGGCTTTCATAAAATCTAGCTCATTAATATTTTTATCGTTTTCCTCTGGATTACAGTAGATTATCCGAGTGAAAAATTAAAATTTGGCAAAAATTTCACACCTAGTATTTGACAAATTCCTGCAATAAGAGCTCAAGCATTTAAAACAACAAAAAATTGAAGTCACGAAGCGTTATTGCAATTGGAAAAAAGCATTTGGTCTTGCAAGAAATAAAAAGCCCAATAATTTTGCAATTAATTGAAGGCCATAAAGCTCACTAAATGCCAAAAATAAAAGTTTACATTCTGATGATTATGTTCTTTGGAGCCATTAATGTTTTCTTCAGTGAAAATACATTTAAAACTGCATCAATGGATTGCTCAAAGAAAAAACACTATACTACAGCTCTGTCGAAAACAAGCTACAAAGAAAGACTAAGTATAAGATGTAAGAAAATCTATTTCAAAAAGGTTTAAGAGATCTCCTACAAAGCATTTTACTTCATACTCGATAATACATTATATGCTTTAAGATATTTTTTATGCTAAAATGACTTTTCTGTACAAACAGTTCAGAGAATCAGCACTTGATTGCACCTCTCTGACATGCTAAAATCACTGGTCTATTTCCAAAGTCTTTTCCTTGACAATCTCTAAAATATTTCGGTAATACCTGAATTTTATTGTCCATTCTTTAGCAGCAGCAAAATCGCCTGAGTCAGAAAAAATAAAAAGATTTTTAAAGCAATGTGCCTAAGAAAGTTAAAGAAGCTTTTGTTTCTTCATTGATTGAGAATGTTTTTCTTTGCAAAGCTTTCATACATTCAAAAACATACAGTCACTTAGAAAAGCATGATAAAAATATGAAATTATCAGATAAATTTCCTTCAAAAGGACAAAAAATGCCAGTATTCAATGTTCCTTTCCTTTAAAGAGGCAATATGCCTGATATTTAGATAGTTAATGAAACAAACCAAGAGCGAGCAGGGGTTGGGAGAAACACCAAAGCTATTTGGTTACAATGATACAAGAGAGAATTTTCAGATAGTGGCTTAATGTGTTCACATGTGAATACCAATGCAATAAAGCAACAGGCAATATAAATGCAAAAAGTTGTAATGTTTTGTTTTGCAAAAAGTTGTAATCATGCAAAATGTACTTACGATTTTCAAAAGAAATAAATAGATTTTCAATGCAGCTGTCAATAGCATCTATAAAAAAGCAAAAGAAAATAGGAAACAAGTATCAAGATTTGTAAATTGTGTGTACATTCAGTTAGTCAGAGATATAACATGAAATAGGATCGGGCATCAACAGGGTTGGGTATGATACAAAACCCTCCATCATTTTTACTGTACGCAATAATGAAAAAATTGATGCTTAAACTTGAAATTCTGAGATTAGAACAGTCAATAATCTATGTAGAAAAAGCTGAAGATATGTTCAAACGTTAAAGACATACCATTATTTATCTTTCTGATATCATCTAAATCCTTTGATGTCTTTACTTCACTTAGTTTTTCATTGGTTTCCATGACCTCCATTAAAAATTCTGTATCACCAACTGTATTTTCCTCACCAATTTCTACACCATTCAAAGATAGCTGCAAGATTAAGAGAAAAATTTGCATCTAGGAACAACTGTGTCATAAATCTATCTTAAAGCTCTAAAAGCAGGCATAAACTCCTGCCATAAGCTTTAATTGGATCAATTTAATTCTCTCTTCTTCCTGGTTTTAATTTTTTCATAAATAAGAACTTTCAAGAATTTTCCACCTACTTTTGCTCTTACCCAAACTGCATAATACAATATATTTTAATATGCTGATCCATTCATCTGTCTTTGCACCTATCAAATTTTACAATAAAATATCTCTCAATATGAACAATTTTTTTGCAGAATTTGAAAATGGCTTTGAAAAAAGCAAACATTTTACGACAGACTAAAAGCTTTTTCGTCTGACACTCCTCAGAGCAAAAAACGTCAGAATAAGGTCTATTTTCTCAATATCCTATTTAGATGATCAATTGTGAAATTTTATCTTTTCAATTCTAAACCGAGACTTGAAGGGTTAACTAATACTTGGACAAAGAAAATTTTCAATAATTAAGGAAAACCTACCAGATAAACTGCTCTTGTCAGTGGATCAATAAGTGTATTATATGCCTTGTTTATCAAAGATGATTGCTCTGCAGAGTACTGACGTTCTTCCTAAAATTTCAACAAAAAGCAGAAAACCTCTCAGCAGTTGCAACAATAAGTGAATAATCAGGTACAAGCTCATGGGTAGCTGTGGAATTTAGCACTAAAAGGCACAAGATCCTTATCTAGCTTGTACTCTTGAAGACATCAACAGGTATATTTAACAACTTAGCAAGACAATTTGCAGCTGACACTTACAATTTGCAGATAGGCAGCTGCTGCCCTGAAGGCTAGAACTACATTGCACTGCACTACACTGCACTACACTGCACTGCACTGCAATGCACTGCACTGCACTGCACTGCACTGCACTGCACTGCACTTCACTGCTATGCACTGCACTACACTATACGAGATAGCTATTGGAAGAGTAAATTTTTTTAATCTTTACCTGAGTAACTATTTCTCTGTAGTCACATTCATTGTAACAGTTATACTATGATGTCTGCATTCCTCTATATTTCTTGTCCTCATTGCAATGAATGAAAAATGTTAATGGAGCAATGATTGAAACTTACTGCAAACAGGCCTCTCAAGAATACTATTATTCAAGCAAAACAATCTGAACACTCATACTTAAAATAAAGAAGTATCAGTTTTCAACAAAATTCAGTTTCAAAAACGCATAATATTAACACTTGAAATGCATACTTCTAATGAACTGCCAAATTTGTCTGGGTGTATCATCCCTTGAAGTTCTCTGTATTGAATTGTTAAATCTCGCACATTGGCACCATATATTTCTGGGCTGCAAAGTAAAAAGGTGGAAAAATTGAGCTGATTTACAGGCAAGTCAGGCTGTTACACTTAGTTGAAACTTTTGTCTTATATATGCTTTTTCTTGTCACCTACCTGTAAATTGCCATAAAATAAGTTATCTGTATGTCAGGCCTTTTCATAAGAAATGGCCCTCGCGAGTGGCCCAGCGCAAGCGATGGCTCTAAAAATGATATTAATCAGCAATGCTAAAAGCATTGGTATTGTTTATAAAAACCATATGATCCTTTCGTTTAAGGCAATATCAAATGAAAACGAACTGTTACAATGACCTTAAAATAAATTCCAAAAAAATTAAATACCCAATAAAAATGTGCTTGTTTATAAACTTTATGAACACCAGGAAGATCATATAGACGTTATATCAGGATGATCCCAAAATGTTCTTCTTTTTAAAAACGCTTTAACTGCCCAGAAAATGTTCCAAGTGCTATTGTAGTTCAAAAACTAAGTGCCAATAGTATTCCTAAACATTCTTGGTAGAATTGATTTTCAAATGCATTTTTTCGTTGAGATGTGGTTAAGTCAGCTTACTTATATTTTCTGTGTTTGTTTGTTGTTCATCAGGGTCGCGGAGAGGATATATGGGCCCTGGATCAGGATGAAAGATAAATAGTAAAGCATGCCTAAGACAGATGCTTCTAGGGGGTATGGGAAATGCTCTCCTAGGAATTTTTTAAAATGATGGTGCCTAAATTGCTCTTGTGACTACTGTTTTGATAGGAATAAGTTTAAAGCTCAATAAAGATACAAATATCTGAATATATCAAAAGATTTATTTGTTCCAGTTCAGATGTCTTCATATTATCTAAAAATTTATGAAACAATATAAATGCTTGTTAGAATTTTTATCAGAAAATCAAAGTTTCTCACCCCTTCTGTGAATTTTCCTGTCTACACCATTGTCTGGTGGCTATATTACTTTTGTTTGCTGTTTGATATGATTTAAGCATAACTGATATCTTAACACCATCATGCATAAAGATGAAAATTTCTTAGAAATTTTGAAAATCTTAGAAAATGGAAAACATTTAATTCATTAACTAAATTTGATCACAACTGACACACAGTTTCAAATAGATTTGCATGACATAGTATAAATCTGTATGACATAAATATTGCCTTGTATGTTGCCCTGTTGTAATCACATATTTTGGTAACATTCAGAAGCTTTTAAACTTCTTCATCCCAAGTCCACAAAGATGGGAAATTCTTAACAATACACTCAGGCAGTCAAAGAATCAAACTGCTTCTACATTACTTCATTCATAGACTTTTGTCATTACTGTTTCTACTAATGACAGTTTCTGGTAATGGAGGGGCTGGATTATTACTTTGATATTTTTTAGTGAATTTTTATTTATAGGCCCCTATAGCCAAGGGCTCTTGGGTCAGTGACCCCCCTGGCCCAGTATATAACTGCTACCGTACAAAATTCATTTGTAAAACTGTGCTGGATGGCAGAGAAAAATCGTCTTGGTTCCACAGTGCTAGAGAAAACGGAAGGGGGAACCATAACAGTTTTATCACGGTTCCAAACTTGGAAGGAACAGTGTAAATGGGGCAAAATTGAAAAGTAAGGCCACTTGCGAGCCAAGCAAGCAGAAAATTTTCCTAACTTTTAAGCTATATGTCAGAATAGTTTCATTATTTCATTAGCCTGAGTTTCAGACCCAAAACTAAAAGTATTGGATCAAATGTGCACATTTATCACAAATGCACTCTTGCACTCCTGGCTAATAGTTTGTGCACTCCTGAGATCTCGTCGAAAACTACCATGAAATCCAAACCGGCCCCTGACCCTAGAGGTAAAACTTTGTTTCTTGCACAGGCCGCGGGTAAGTTCACGCACCTGACAGCACGATTGCGTGCCTGAAATCACACACTTTTATAAAACTGTATTGTCATTAATGTAAAATGTATTGAAATAGGACTTTGCGCGGCCAAAATGCAAAAGTGCAAGGATGGAAAATTTGAGCATGCGGGCAATATATCGCGGGCGCGCGACAAAGTTTCCAGTCTGGCCCCTCCCCCTCCCCTCCTCTCTCTCTCTCCTCAGCATTGATCACATCATAAATGTATGAAAAACCAATCAAGAGATATATGTACCTTCTGAAGATTTGGAAGAATGATAGTTCTGTCAATGGGGGCTGTATCTTTTTGCAGAGATCACAGAAGAAAATCTCAGTACCAATCTCCCTGTTGCAATTCCAGCAAGTTCGGTTGGCACTACGAACTCCACACATAAATCTCTTGGAAGAAAAATCTCGACAAGAATTACTTGTAGTATGGCCACGATTGCACAAGTGACTTTCTGCATAATTCAATAACCTATGATCCTTATGTTTGCATTCTTTCTTCGAGACACGGAGCCAATCTGACGAAAAACGTGCTCCACAACAAATAGGCCTAGATGACGAGTTCTGTAGTGGCCTCGCGCACCGCAGTAATACATTTATTCGACTTGCCTGCATTGTCCGATACTTTATTATTTGAATTTTATATATATAGATGATGCTACACCAAAAAATTTCCAAATCCTCAGCCTGGCCCGTTCCTCAAAAGTCTAGACAACTGTCACATGAAGAAAATCCTAATCCATAATGGCGCAAACATGCTAAGGTGGCAAATGCGGTAAAAAGGTGCCGCAGACTCAAAAACCGTTTGGATTATTGCAAGAACTCTCCTCTCACTTGCAGTCATAAAACAGTCTCTGGTTAACGTGTGTGTTTCGCAAGCTAAAAAACTACCTGGCTCGCTCTTATTTGGAAAGGATCTAGAAAAAAAGACAAGATTTTGCCTTTTGAGAAAAAAGACATGTAGCGAATAGAAAGCGATGCCGCCAGCCTGGCCGTATAGGCCTTGTAAAATAATGCGACGCATTTTAAAAGTTCTTTGATACATAGGGAAACGGCAGAAAGATTTTCTAGATAAAATATTGCGAATGAGCAGGCAAAATTTGCTTATCTACTATCAGGCCCGTCGGAACCGGGGGGCTGGAGCCCCCCAATAATTGTCAAACTGTAGTATGTTTCCTTTATAACAGTGTACTGAATGAGAAGGAAAACAATAGGCAGCCAAAATATGAATTTCGTTCCGACGGCACTGACTATGTAGATTCTCTACGCTTTGAACACCATACAGGTACCGATTTCAGTGAATACTTTCTCCTTCTTCACTACTAATGAAAGAATCACACAAATTCTACAATTCATAAAGGACAAAGTGCATGACAGAAAAATTAGAAACCATATAACGTGATTAATTTAATCAACAATGGGTCAATTGATTGAAGTGGAATGACTAGCCTGTCCATCTTAAACAAAATTGTCATCTTCTATCATGTCAGAACTGTTATCTTCGTCTCGTCGGTATCTAATTATTTCAAGATCTTCATAAATCGTGGTCTGCAACACTTTGCTTCAAGTACTCTGCGTATAATTTTTCCTGAAAAGAATACATTAAGTTTACAGCAGTGCTTGGAAATGGGAAAACAATATCCTGGCAAGGCCTGGAAGCTTTTGCAATTGCAAAAATGTAATAAACTGAAATGCTTTAGGATGCAAAACCCATGCAAATAGCTAAAACCTTGCTTTAAACAGGGAAATTGAATATAGTATACTGAACTCTTAACTGTTGTTGATATACTGATAATACACTTCATACAAGAGAGCTGCAAAAGGACTCGATTCTTATTTTATTAAAGATATTTCAGGTTGTCCGGCCTGTGATGAAATATGTGAAGCAATTTTAAACCATTGAAGGAATTTCAAATGAGAGGAATTTGACTTTGACAAATGAGAGTAATTTCAATTAAGGACACGGCGCTGAAGACATAGTCAATAATTGAAATTGAAATAAAGATTTATGTTACAAATATGGAGCTTTGACAAAAAGTATTGGAAATTGTAAGTAGACAGCATGGGCTCAGACAAAGGTTGAAAAGTGGGGGGGGGGGGCAAGGGAAAATTTAACACCCATAACAAAAGATTTTGAAAAAACTATTTTGTTTGGCAAAAAAGTAGGGGGGCCTAGGCCTTCGTCGGAGGCCCTGGACAGTTCTTGTTACCGTCAATAAAAACCCCGATGATTCGACTCAACATGTTGTTAACATGCTTTTAGTCTTCAGCATTCTGGTATACCAAGCAGAAATCATACAATACCTTCTTTGGCTTTACATGAGACATAACGTAGCTTTTCTGTTCTTCTAGTCTCCTCTTCTGCCTTCGCGAAAGCCTTGATTTACTTCTGTAAAGAAAAACGACGATTGGTGTCCATGTGGTGAAAAAAACAACCCTGCTTTTGCTCAGTAGAAGGCAGATAACGAAACTTAGCTCATTCCGTACAAAGGAAAAACAGGATTAGCTGCGTTGATAAAAAAATACTTCTATACTCGGTAAATGGAATGATAAATTCACAAAAGTGAAAAAACGTTTCTTAAGGTTTCAAAAACTAGCTTAAAAACCAAAGCAGCAGTCAACAAAAAATTGCCTAGCCTGTAGCCTCTATATGCAAATATGAAGTATAAAAAGGTACTGCAGTTAAGCGAGAAAAACAGTCTTTGTGTAACACCAATAAACCGCGATTGAAGTTAAGAAAGTTACTTTTCCAACCATGCATTACTTTCCTTGGTGTTAGGTTTGGGTTTTGTACAATGCCTGCCAAAAGTCTTGGCACAATAAATTCGCATATTTCATTACCGCCCCTTTTCTACGTGAAACAATGTTAATGAAAACAGTTCAGGGCTTAAACAATCAATGTAGTTGCATCGAATGGTTCAAGTAACATGGTTTCCCACCAATGTTGTTATGGGGGGAGGGGGAGGAGTGTTACTGTCGTACGGCCGGAAACATTCAATTCTCAAAAATCGTTTATTGACTGTAGGGTGTTCCAAGAACTTTTGGCAGGGATTGTAGCTAGTCTAATTCCACAACAAGTAGTTTCCACCTCTTTTTAAATCTAGATGCAATCTCCACAGCAGTTAGGGATGTTTCCAAATATATCGACTTACCGTGACCAGAATCTTGAGATCAAAAACAGTAAAAATGCAAATATTGCGATTCCAACTTTGCCACGATAGTGATACGACGCCGGTATTGATGACCAAAATTTGTCAATATGGTCCTAAAAGTATACATCAATGCAACAAAATCAAAACTAACAGAAAAAATTTCAAATACCATAACTAAAAGGATCTGACGCATTATCAATAAAAACAGCTTCCTACATTGTGGTGGCAGGTGGCATGAAATTATTTTCAAATGTTGAAAAAGAAATGATAGAAATATGCAAAGCAATTCTACAGGATGAGGGTTTGAAGAATAAGCCAGAAAGAAAATTATTGAAATTCTGATAATTTAGTATGGAAAACAGTAGTGTAGATTTGCATTGTAGAGCAAATTAAGGCCACGGTACATTTGACAAATAACTGAAAACAGTGAAAAAAATTCAAACATTACAGTTCCAATATAAACTAAATCATCCTATCTATGAGTTTCAGTTCAAAAAATTACTTGTGAGCTTGTCAGCTTTTGCTAAATGCTTGAATTGCATCGCGAAATATACTGACTGATATGAAAGATTAAAGTGGGGCGGAGAAAGCGGATCTGGATATGATAAACCGATAAACCTGGTGTCATACATGCCAGGGATTTGGTTGACCGAGTAAGCGAATCACCGGTCGCCTAGGGTCAGATTATGCGCTATAACGAAAATGACAAACAACAAATCGTATTTGAAATGTCCGCCAGGAATAGAAAGTTTGTTTTTGTTTAAGAAAATAAAGTTGTGCGTGCCTTACCAAATAAGGTTGAAGTGGATTATCAAACTTGCGGGTGTCAGCTAGAAAACTGAAAGCTGCAAAAAGTGCTAGCACAAACGAAAGAAGAGAAAAAAACCAGCTAAACAGCTTTGTCTTCACATTATGCTCCCATGCCCTCCTGCAAAGAAATAAAAATTTTAAAGAAAATCTTGTAATAAACAATTTTCCGGGGGATGGGAAGAAATAAAAAAATTCTGAAATAAGTGGACCGCAAAATCAAATATTATTGCAAGAACAATTTGATCTTTAAGGTCTTCTACAGTGGTTTTATTGGGTATGACTTCGATATAATATTTCAGTTTAATCCAACCGGCTAAAGTTTCCACATAACTTTGAGGTTGCTTGCGCACAAAAAAGCTTTAGATTCGAGCCAAGGGACTTGGCCTACCACAGCTTCAGTTTTAATCAGTTACAGAAACATGTATGAATAAAATTTCGCTAGCTCACGGTCGTTGAATTCAAACAAATGTCCTTAGCAAAAGCTTGGCATTGGAAATTGTGACTTAGCAATCTGTCAATCTACCTTTGGCCAATCACTAAAGGTCTGAGTGGAATCACGCTTATTGATTGGTTTTTTTGATTGAGAGATGGCTTAAGCCGCTTCAGTATCTGTCGATTGCCTCAAAGTAAAAAGGCCACGTGATAAGAAACAGTTCTTTAAAAATAAATTGAATTGAGATGCACTTACGTGTCGGCTTCAACAATTTCATTGATTTTAGACGTAATTGCAAAACAATCCTTTTCCAAAGTGTTTAAAGTATTCTGAATTGTTTGGTTGATAGTTTTCTCAATCGCCTTGCATACAGCATCGATATTATTTTCGCAGCGTGGCTGAGGAGAGAAGAGAGTGTGAAATGAAACAGGAGAAGCAAGAAACTGAGATTTGTGCGATTTTTAAATGTTGCAAGGAAAAGGGAGGAGCAGCTTGGTATAATTCATCTCATAACCGCAGGAAAATTCTGATATAAATCAACTACAAGTTAAACATTTTCATTACACAAACTTATAATTTTCATAGATCTAAAGAAAATTGTAACCTTAGAAACTAATCTTGGTACGTCAGGCACTTATCAAAAGTAAAGTATTATTACAAGAAATAAAGTAAAGTATTATTACAAGAAATAAAATGGCTCTCTTACCCTGTCCGTCAGAGATGGGATGTAAATAGTGGGCATGTCGAACCCACATTTGTTGAGACCAGGCCGCTTGCACAGTTCTTGTGTAATTTGCATCAGAACTCTTTGACGGTCACTTTCAGTTCCAGCAGTATCAGCTTTGCTCAGAAAGAATCTGATTTTATCTGAGTCATGTTCATTCAATCGCTCTTTAATAAAAAAAGAGGGGCTTAACACAAAAACCAAAATGTACAACGCTTGATGGATTCAAAAGTAATGCGACTTATAGCGTTTATATTTACACTAAAAGTTTAGGCAGATAAACTTGGCTTGACCTTACCCAATAAATCTATCGCAGGCGGTTTAGTGAACCCAAAACGCATCCGACTAAATTGCGTTCATATTACAGGTCTTTTACATTAGTTGTTCCACAAACAGATAGGAACGGATATTCTCAAACTCAGCATGGACACTCCGAGCAGATCTATATCAGGGGTATTACAGGGGGTAATTAAAAAATACCACCCATTAAACGTTCAACAATTGTAAAGTTGCCTAAGAAAATATCATTGTCGTGTAATGGATGAAAGTGCGATGTGTTGTACTGTTGTCGCTTTACAAGAGGCCGGATTCACAAAGAGAGTTTCAGGTTTAGTTTCACAATGTTAAAAGAGGACTTTATAGGTTAACATGTCATGTGATGAGAAGGTACTGCATCTTTGGAAACATTTGATCAACATTTTATCTTTACATCATTCATCACATATTACACACTTTTACTAAAACATGTACACTTACCAACAATGTTCAATGTGCGTTTGCAAAGAGCTTGTCCAATCGGATCAAAGAAGCAAAATATCAAATCACACAGTCCCCCTGAAACAAAAAGTTTAGATAATAGTCAATGCCATTCTAAATTGCTATACTTCCAGAATGAAAATTAAATTCACATAATATTCCTTTTAAGAATAAACATGGGTTGCTAAGTTTCTGTTCCATATAATCTGCTCTCATCCTGGCAAAAGAACATCAAAAGGCGGATTAAAAATAAATGCACTGTGTTATTTGGTCCTCTAGGTTAAAGTGAACAACTAAAGTAGCGAGATGCAGAGGGACCTCAGAAGCCTTCCAAAGCTGATGGGCACGGGAAGGCCACTGTGTCTCAGAAAAAGGGGCACCTTCTACAAACATCTAGAAAAAGGAAGAAATGCTGGATAAGGCCATTCCCCCAATGCTATAAATCATGCATTGAATAAACTGAGGCAGGAACAATGCAAACCAACGAAAAGCAACCAAATGTAAATAAAACAAACTTCAAAAAAGTTAAAAATAGAGGGGTTAATCAGAGTAAATAAAATGGACTGAAGCAAACAATATTTTCATATGGACATGCAGAGATTTTGAGAAAGTAAAGATAAAGGACCTTTCATCGAGAATGTATAGCATTCTTATTCTTCAGGCATGATGTTGGGCAATAACTGTGTTTACTCACCTAGCCATTCAATTGACTTGTTGACATCAAATGGGTAGAGCATATCCCCATCCACCAAGCCTGGTGTATCAACAAACATCACTAAATTGAACTTCTTCTGCTTTGATGTAGAAATTTCAGTTGATACATAATCTCTGACTCCTCAAAACAAATAAACAAATGCTAGTTAATAAATTGAAAAACCTTTGTTGAAGTATAACACTATATGTCTAAATGCTACTTTTCAAAGTTTCCCTGTTATATATGAAATAAACAAGTGAAAGAAAAGTAAGGGCTCAGTCTGGTTGCTATGAAGTAAGCTAAACAAGGCTGGTTGCTATGAAGTCTACAACATCAACACATAGTTTTCAAGCATTTAAGTAAAACATGATGGTTCATGATGCTGGAAAATAGTTTTATGAAATGGTATCATTTACTGACAAAATAGTGAAAACTTGAAGATTGTGAAAACTTGGACAATTGAGTCCCAAAGAATCTATAAAATTTCCAAAATCTTCACAGCCAGAGGTGACTGAAATGTACTAAAAGATTACTAATGTTTTTGTTTATGATTTTACAACCAAGGTCAAACTAAAGTGATTAATGAGGACATGGGCATGTGGCTATTCTCTGTTCCATTCTTTACACACAGCAACATTTTATAGAATTAATCATTCTGACGAACATAGGCTAAAAATTATAAAATTCTAAACAAAGAATTTAATGATTTCATCATTTTGCTAATTAAAAAAGCAATAGAATAATAAGAGAATTATAAGAGTTGCTAGGACTTAACAAATGATAAGAAAAACAAATTCACCAACCTATTGTTTAACTACAAGCATTAAATGCAAATTTACCTTCAATTTCTTGCAGAGGCTTGAAGTGAGGGAACAAATGGAATGTTGCATTTCCCTATGTAAGAAAAAATGGTCAATATGTTATGCAGCTCTTTTTGTGAGTGTATAACCGCCCTGTCTCAATGAACCTTGGCCACTCTGAAAAAACTTTAATATATTTATCAATTCATGTTTCTGAACAATGAATACTTGTAAGATCTGCCATTGAATTGTAAAGCATAGTGCTTTGTGCTTATCTCAAACAAAAATTTATGTATAGGCGCTATAAAACTGGTAATCATAAACACTCTATAAACATCATAAAGTGAGTGGCTTTATCAGAAAAGGAAAGTTAAAAAGTTATTTGATGTTTCTTGTAGGGAAAAAGTAATATTTTGGTACTAGAGGGAAATTTTGGAAATTGCCTTCTAATATACATATAGATAGAAAGGTACACTATTTCGTGAATAGAACAGGACAGTTCTAAGTTGCTCATTCAAATTTCACACTTGATGTGATCATCAGGCAACTGGTTATTCATGACGACCTAGAGCACTTTATGAATGACTGGTACAGTAATTTCATTAGATAGAATTTCATAAATGTTTCTGGTCTGTTATATACTGCTTGATGCTGTGAAGATAGAGCTCTAGACCAATTGGTATGTGGGAGCATAGAACCATCTTTTTCTACCCATAAGTTAGAGGATTAGATTCTAAATATCCACATCAAATCGTTAATCAATTGGTGAATGAAATATTTATGAGCGTCAATCAATTTCTGAATGTCAATGATCTGCCAGAACCCCAGATTTCCTTACAGTGAGTGATTCTCTTTTCTTTCCACTGGTAATAAATGTGAAGCCTTGGGTTTCAATTGCAACACCAGTTTTCTGGATATGTTCTTCAACATACCTGGCAATGGAAATGAGAAAGTGGCTCATTGAAATGAAGAATAGATCTTAAGTTTCAAGGATAGAGAGCGAAAAAGAGGTTGACTTTTTGTCTGACACTCTGCAGAGTATAAATTGTCAGAACAAAGATAAAAAACTCTACATTAGGAAATACATATATACCTAGTTGTGGATCAAAATAGGCCAATCAGAAACATTAGCACATGACTGTTGGGGTTGCCCAATCAGTGCTGCTTGCCTATTGAGAATGTTACCAATAGAGTGCTAAGGTGAAACAACTCCTTCTGTCTAAACAATAAAGTGTTTTTTGTGCTTATGTTTTTCGAGCTTTAGTATACTCAAATGTTTGCTTTTTTCAAAGCCATGGTAAATTTCTGTAACACCAAAAGATTGTTTAGATATTAACCAGTTAATAAAGGAACTTTTTCCTGCTGAGTGGTTTCCCATAAGCATAACTGTTATCTTCTTTCTTGGTGCAAGCAAAGATATTCCAACAGTATCTGCTATATACACAAGGCCTATAAAAAAGATAATAAAGAGTAATAAGAATGGCTCAATCAGGAGAAAATTAAAGTGAATATACCGGAAGAAAACAGGTCAAGAAAAATTCAAAAAAGGCCTTGCTTCAACAAAACATTACGAAACAAAGAATTTAACATAAATATTACAAATAAATATTAGAAACAACAGATTTTATTATTCTATACATACATAAATAATAAATTTTCAGTTCAGGGGCTTCAATCATTCATTTATCTATTGAGGGAGCTCCTTCCCAAGAAATTCCCTAGATGTATGTTAAGCACTTTTTCTCATAAAATTTTAATATGGACTTCAGCTTGGGAATTTTGAATGGTCAAGGGAACAATTATAGTCTTTTGTCTTGATAAGAATAATATGTTCGAGGCAATTGCCCCCTAGTAAGAATGTTAAGATACTAATGCACTATTATACTTCTTTGGGGGGACTATCATATGAAGCCATACATGTTAATAGGGTTTGGGTAAGGATCAGTGTCCTAGTGCATTAGTGCTGCATGTTAAAAATGATCTGCTTCTTTTTTTGCCATCAGATATATTTGTAGGTAGAAAAATTCAAAATTAAGTGCCCTTGAACCTGTAAAAAAATATTTAAACAAAAAAATTTTATGAAATTCTAACCCATTTGGAATTAATGACAAATGTGAAGTTATATCCTAAAAATCTCAATTACAACAGCAGCATAATCTAAAAAACAATGCATTTACTTTATTTGCTGTTTGTTTATAGCCTCATCTTTATGGTTAAAAAGCTGAATAGTTTGCTGCTCTATATTAATAAATCAGATGGAAAGGTAGATATAAAGTGGGAGGCAAAGAAAAGGATGACAGTTTACTTTTGGGAGAGAATAACAGTTTATTTTTAAGGTAGACTGAAAAATAGTAAAACTTCATTCATGTTTCATTCAGTTCTTCGGTATTATTTCATTGTTTAGATACTTCTCTTCATACAATACAATACATAGAAGTAACTCAGAATCTAGTAGTTTTTAGCAATAGAATCTAGAAGATTCTAGGACAAAATTACAGAAACAATATTGATATAATTGTGAAGCAGGTAGTATCCAGGGTAATTTCTTGAGAAGGAACTCTCGCGGTTGCTAGGCTAATCGAGGATGCTAGGCTAGGCCTACTCTTTTCTAAAGATAACTTATGAAAATGGTAAAATTTGTTTTAGCATTATGCAAATTTCTTAATCACTATTTGATTTGTATGCCCCTTAGGCTGTTCAGTGTTAGGCATTATAAGGTGGAATATGAAACGGCATTTCTTTCAGGGAAGAAAATGATATGAGAAACATCAAATATTAGGTCCAATTTATAGACAGGAAACTTATAATAAACCTCAAATCAGTGTGTTGAAAGCTGAACAAGAAAAATACCTCTTTCTGGTGACGTTTTATCCACATAAAGTTCATGACATTCCCTTAAAATCTTCTCATTCACTGAAATGCCAGTACTATCTGGTGCATTTGCTGACGTCCTGCTTTTTCCATGTCCAGTTGGCATTTTGCTCGCGCGTTTCAATCTCTTCAGCAGCAATTTTAATTTATAATTTTCAAACCGGAGTTTCCCCAAATTTTGCTTTCGGCGAGTCGTTTTCAAAATAGTCTCTTTACCAAGAAGAGGCAAAACGTGTCATAAGAACAAACAGTTTATTGTTTCAATGACGTCATGGATCACCAGGGAGGCGCAATAACCATAAACAAAGGTGTCGGAATCAGCTGAGCAGGCCTTCACCAACGATCATGTCTACCAAACTTATCACCGATACCTTCAAACAGGTAAAGAATACATCAGCAGAAAAAAGGCAATACATAAAACCAGAAGATAGTAAAACTTTCATCGAAAATGTAAAGGAAAGTCGCGACGAAAAGAGGGGTAAGGAAAGGAGTTCGTTGCATATCTACCCTGCCTCATTCAAGACATTGTTTCTCTGTGTGGTTTATTTTCATTAGCACCCAGTTAATTGATTTATTTTGGATCTGGCTCAGTCAGATTTTCTCATCAAATTGCATCACAAAGAGAACTAATACTTAAAGAGAATTACTGGAAAATTGTCCAAACTTTTTAATAACACTTTTAATAGGAATATGTCATTTTGCTTATGGGTAGTAGAAAGGGTGTAAAGATTGTCAATGAATTAGCATTGAAATTTCAGGAATTCTCTTTATGTGACAGGCTGGAGAATGGAGTTTCTTTGTCTCAAATGGTAAGACCTAATTTTCTTTCATTGCAGACTACAAGCAAAAGTCTGAAGATAACGACTTTGGGATTCTAAGAAACTTTGATTTGGAAGCAGAATATGGGCCATGTATTGGTAAGATCAACATATAACAATTAAAAAAATATCTTTTGATAAACCTTACATTAAAGAATTTCTGTAAAAATTCGAAATTGAACTAATCTCCTAATCAGTTTGTTTTCTAATAATATTGCTATGAAGTTCAAGAGACACTAGACAACATTTTGAACTTTTCAAATGTAATCCTGGTTGTCGTTTGTGCTTTTTGATTTGTTTGGATTGCAGTTACATACAAAGAACCTATATATTTTCCAGTCATTTAAACATAACATAAATAGAACTAATGTCATTTTTAAATAAACATATTTGTTTTTTTAAAGGTATGAGAAGACTGGAGCGGTGGGAGAGAGCAAATAATTTTGGACTTAATCCACCGAAAGATGTTAAGAGAATAATTGAAGAAAATATCCATGATGATAGATATCTGGAATGGTAAGATTCTATTGAAAGTTTTATGAGGAACATCAACAAACTCTTTGTGCTCTTGAAGAACACAAAATTAATTACAAATGTTGACAAACAAATATTGGTAAACAGTTCAAAGGAAGATAAGTTTAGATTGAAGTTAACTTGCTTAAATCAATCAACAACCATAAATGTAAGTTATGTATCCATGTTCTACCCTTTGATAAAAGTCATATTAATACAGCTATTGATATAAGTTATTTCTAATCCATATCCGGACTTGTATTTCATTTCAACATTCAGATCGTATGCAGCATTACATACCATGAGATTTGATGTCTGCATGACATGTTCCTTGTGAACTTTGCCATTGACATAAAGCAATATATTGACAAATAGATTACATTCTGTTTTCAATTTTCTTTTTATTGCAGTGTTTGGCATGATTATAACATTTAAGAAGACACAGTTAGAAGAAATCTAAAGAGACTTGGTTGTTGGTTCATTAGTGGGAAATTATATCATTCAGTTTTCTATTTAATATTTTAATGCACCATCCAGCAGATCTTACTTGTCATATTTAAAATTTAGCATATGCTTCTAGTATTTGAAAGGATGAGAAACTTTTAGCAAGTTAGAATAACCAAATTGTATATGTAAATTGTGTAAATAGCCTTGCTTTTCTCTACATAAGCTCAAATGAAAAGGTGAAAACTCAAATATTTTGTGTTTTGTTTCCAATCTTGTATCTGGAATGGTAGTTGACAAAATGTTTGTTTTAGGATCTTGCTGTCATACTGTTTTGTAATACCTCCCATTTCACAACTCTACAACAGGTCATATTCTCTTTAATAAGCACTACCAATCCAATGAACATCCTCTATTGTAAGCAAAAATTGAATGAGCACCCCCTCTCAAATGGGCATCCACCAAATATCATAAACTAGACAGATGGAGATCAGCATATAATCACAATAGCCATCAGTTGAAACATAATAGAGCTCCAGTATTTATGCAAATCATGAAGGGTTCAGACTCTAAAGTAATTGAAATAATGTATATATTATGCCTATAACAGTTGTTATCCTATAGAATACTAATTTTTGTAAATCAGCTATTGCTGGCATTTACAAATTCTATTTTTGTTTCAATGGGCATCCCTCTCTAATGAGTGCCCCCACTCTGAGGCCAAAAATTAAATGAGCACCCCAGCATTCATTACAGTGAATTTATACTGTAAAACTTTTATTTACTTGAGAATAGACAGAATAACAACAACAAATACCCCTTTAGCCATTACGAGAAAATATTTAGGAAATAAGCTATATTAATTGTGTCAATGCATAATACTATTAGAAAAATACATCAGACAAAACCTAAAGCTGTTGGCTCTACAATGAAATACATACTAGTGTTTACATTATGCAAGTTGTAGGGAGGTGACTGGAAGATAAATAAAAAGTACTTTGTTGTGTAGTGGTTTAAGCTCCTTAAAAGGCTTTAGCTTCGAATTTATCAATATTTGACGACTCAAAAGATCAACAGTTCAAAACTAACATGATACATGGGTGTGGAATGGAAAGTGTATGTAGATGTCAGTTTTTTTAGGAATTTGGGTTGACAGTCAAAGTTGCATGAGTAGATCTCTATGGTCCAGACAAATTGGTACATTTATGTAAACCCCACCTACATGTATGAAAAACAGAAATGAAGCCCCATAGAGGAAAAAAAACAAATTTGACATTTGAAAACGATATCAAGCTCAAAAGAGTAAAAAACCTGCAAATGTTATCAATTCAATATGTAATCTAATTAATGCCTGCACAGAAACAAAGATTGTCAGGGATGTGTTTCTCAAGGGAGCCATGGAAATTGAAAAATACAATATCTTTGTTTTCTTGCTCAGTCTGACTTTTTCAAAACAGAGATAAAAAATGTTTCACATAAAATATCTGACTACAAATAACCAATTTAAAAAATCTGAATTATGTGAAATGTGACAGGACTTACACCAATTGGACTGGGACAGGGTCAAAGTTGCCAAAGTTATGTAATACTTGATTTGCTTACTGATGCCAGTTTGACTGTATAGGAAATACAAGTGTTCAAAACAAAAATTCCAACATCTAAGATAGTATAAACACTGCCCTACTTGTCATAACCATTTAATTCAACTCAAAAGTATCAAAAATTCATTCAATGAAAAATCCTAGACCAAAAATCAAAATCTAAAGTATAAACATACAAATTTGCTGTTCTTTTCTAGGTTCTGTTTTCATCAAAAAATATTACTTCCTCTTCTGCATCAGATTCATCTGAGTAAACTCCTGTCAATAAGTTTTTAGAATTAAATGTTTTATGACCCATGTCGTCAAAGAACTCCTCTTTATACATCCTGCTCTTGTCCATTCGCAGAAACCCCTTTCGCCTTTTTCTATACAAACAGAATCTCCAAACAAGGTATACAATCATAGCAAAAACCAATACCGCAGATGCTGATAGAGAGACAAATATCAAAGGTCGGATTCCCATGATCTTTGCTTTTCTCTGCAGCACAAAATTAACTGTTTTCACCTTCTTTTCGCTATTGATATGCACTAGGAAGTCTTTCTCCTCATAATTGTCTGCTGATGATGAAACCCTATAGGTTCCAGGAAGTAAAAGCCTCCAGTAGTCCCCATTGGCAGCAGATTTGACATTGTGATCATGTCCATTTATCTTTATAATAGCACCTGGTATCCCTTGCATAGTTTCAGCATCAAACACAAATCCTCTTATACCTCTATGGATCTATGACAAAATGCAGTGTAAAACTTTATCAATACATATAGCCAAATATTTCCTCAGAATGTAGAATATCTTAAATAAAAAATCACCAAATCACCAAAAGAATTAACCAAAGCATCAGCATATCAAGTAGTTAATCGAATAGATTGAAGCTTTCACACACAAACCTGGCTTATGAAATTTATCAAAGGTACTTTGTGTGCTTTCCAGTGATGCTGCAGCTCACCAAAAGAAGGGTACTTGCAACATCCTGTCTTAATTGTCACTCCAAATGTGCCCATATTGTCATAACTAAAGTCCTGCATTGTTCCTTTCTTAGTATCTAACTTTGCACCATTCACAATTCCATTCGGAAAGTGATCATTAACATTGGGGCCAGGGCAAAACGGCCTCCCATGATGCATGGTTGGATGTAGACTTGAATACTGACTTGAGATGAACTTGAATATATCATCATCTTGGGTAGGATTCACTTCAGGGAGACCTGATGGACTTGAGTCATAAGGGTAGCTGACAACAAGGGAACCACCTTGCAAAATAGCTGACAAAGTGAAAGGTATAGAGTTCATCCAGTCTCTTACAGCTTTTGATTCTGGCTGCATTTTAGATGCCTTGCTGGAACCTAAATGCAGACAAAACAAAATCAATACAAAAATGTACCACAAGTCTTTCTGTATGGTAATTACATAAGGGACAGGGGATCTTAAACAAGAAAGGGAAGCAATTTGTGGATTTACAGTATCAGATATTTGATTGAGAACTCTTCTAGATGCAAAACAAAATTGCTTGCTATAAGACAAGTTTTTTATCTCTTGGTGATTTTCGACACTGGCAACACTCCAGAGACTACTAAACGCTAATTAGGCAAACTAATAGGACCATTGAGTGAAGGGTGTTAGTGGTGCAAATTATGCGGGTTTGTGGAGGGCGGTTTTCCCATAAAGTAATGACTCAACAATTTACCTCAACAATATAGAACGAGGTTTCAGATTCAGGGAGAAGCTATTATCAGAAAATACTTGTTAGTCCATTCTACACCTACTTTTCTATTGGCCCAAGAAACTCACTTTGTAAAATTTTTCTAACAGCTTACATTTTGCACAGAGAGCTAAAAGCAAACAGACCACAGGGAAAATATATCACAGGTAACTTTAGCATCATCTTAGCACTTAGTTTAGCAGGATAATAATTCAAGAAGTCTGGTAGTCAATGTAAACAGAAAGTCAACATTAACATAAGATGGACTGAGTACAAATCAATAAAAATAAAAATAGACATGACAAAATCACAATAACCATACCAAAATCACTGTTAAGGTCAACTCCATTTGCATTTAATTTTCCCCTCTCTGAGCTACAGTCGCCTTCAACAGCTTCAGCAGCTCCATCTGGATTCAGCATTGGCAAAATGTGAATTCGCGTGTTATTAACAAGGCTATCTATAGATTTGTCATGTCCATAGCTCTTGCATAAGTGTTCGCTTAATAACATCAAAAGTTCACGACCAACTATTTCATTTCCATGCAAACCTGAAAAATAATGAAGAAAAATAGTTAAAGATGTGAAAATAGCTCTTCTAAAGTTAAAAAAATGTAAGATAGCTAAATTGCAGAGGAATTGTAAAATTATTTTCAGAAAAAAAGGAACCTTCGCGCCTTATATGCATTATACCTGATTCTATTGGAGGAATGATTCAAATATAGTAGATTTGGGAATCTACAATCAGCAGTTGATCTTTGATAGGTATTTGATATAACAATCAGTGATCAGCATTTATATTTTAATTGATGAAAAAGTTATTTTAATCACAAAATACTGGACTCATCTTCTATAGCATTTCCTAACTCAATTCACTCATAACAACTATTCAGGTTTGGTGATGTTTTAGAGTAAAATCTTGTTTTCACAAGAGGATTTACCTGTTATTTGTGATATGCACAAGAATTCTTTGTTGCCATATAAACAGAAAATCGTCTGGCACGAAAACCATATGATGCATCAGAACCAATATTGTTCAAAATGAGTTGATATCAATGCAAAACAACCACAATAAAAATAAATAGCCTTGCACACCTTATCAACAATGGATGATTTGTGAGTAATGAAAAAATTATGAGCCTATGCTGATCAGTAGCGGACACTTGGGGGGGGGGCGAGGGGGGCCACAGCCCCCAATACTTTAGAGGACAATGGTCTTGTGTTCTAAAAGAATGGGAAATGTGATGTCATCTTATTAAAACAAAAGTCTTGCCCCCCCAATATTTGACCAAGTATCCACCTCTGGCTGTGATGGAAAAAAACATGAATTACAAAAATGGGTAAATGTGAGTATACCTGCAACATAATGCAATTCAGGCTCTCCAGCTTCATGCACCCCTGGGTTATCGCTAATCTCTAATACCCACAAATCTCTGCCATGCACAGACTCCCCTATTGAGTACAGTCTAGTGATTGATGGATACTCTGCATTGAGTCTTTTCAAAGTTTGTTCCATTTCATCAAAGGAGTGGATGTGATAGTGTGGGTTGGTAAGCAAATAGAACGGCAAATTGATTGGCTTCTCCTTTTGCAGTGAAATAGTTTTTGAACGGCTTTCAAAATGGGGATTATGTGCAGTGATACTGTAAGTTCCAGGAGGCAAGTACTTATAAAATTCACTGTTATTGCTAACATTAGCATACATATTGCTGTTTTCAAAGGTTATTGAAGCCAATTTCAAGGGCTTGTTTTTGTGGCTTCTGATGTAGCCATGAATGTAAGACATCCCCTGTTCAGCTAAAGATACCAAAGGCTCCTTGTTTGCTTGCCAAATTGCTGTCAGCTCAGACTCTTCTGGAAAGTGGCAACATGAAATATGCAGAGACAACTGAAGTGAGTTTAGAACAGTGTATGCATATGTTGGTAGGGTATGTTGTTGTTGCTTCCACTGCAAACCCTTGACAATACCCCCTTGGTATTTCACAGCATTGAATGGTAAACAGCCATTGCCATTTTTAATAGTTGGATTGGTACTGGCATACACATGTGCCAAATACTTGAAAATGTCATCATCAGCAGTTACTTCATCTTTAATTCTTGAATCTGACTTGACTGCCTCATCCAGAGGATATCTGCAAAAAAGGTTTATAAAAATTAGATTTTGCAGCAGATGGGCAATCTATCTTGTTAAAATTTATATCAGACCGACTTATCAATATAATGGGCTCTGACAAAGGTTGAACATCTCTTTTAAGTCTGATCTTTTTACTTTAAAACTCTAATTCTAACATGATCCTTGCTGATAGCAGTAACATCTTTACTGAAAAGATCATCCAGTATAAATAAATATCATCATTTCATTAATTTAAAAAAAACATGTTGCACAAAAGAAGAAAATATACACAAGTGTATGTGAAGTTTGTCACTGTATTTTACCAAATTCATTTTTCTTCTTGTTAGGGAGGTGGACAAGCAGACTTTTTTCCGTGATCAAAGATGGACATTGTTTAGTCAATCAGAAGACAATTTTTTACATCCACTCACAATTTACATTTTTTACATTTTCCCCATTTTCACTTAAATTTTACATTTAAATTTTCATATTTTCATCATTCATAAGTTCATTTGTTTTATTGAGACGCTCCATTGATTTTTTTGGTAAATTATGTCACAAAATAAAAGAGCAACAATTTAATTAGCAACAAAAGTATGATTGACCCCTTATTACAACATAAATTATTCTGATGAATTGCATTGCAAAAACGTAGTCTGCGTGTATGTGTTAAAACAAAGAACATTCAATTCAACTTGAGTATATACATGGTGCATTGGAATGTTTCTGTCATCTCAATCTTTTTGATTGCCAATGTTTTCACACTTTTATAGAAACCTGATATGCATTACAAAGATAATTTCAACAAAATGCTGTATTCATATAGCAAGGTAAAATAAAGAAAACAATCTTGAATTCAGAGGTAAGAGATAAAGTTTCACTTCACTTTTGGAGATTATCACCTACCCAAGGTCTTAAGGGGATTAATTTTTGCAAGAAAAACAATTTTGTGGAATTTGTTAAAAAATCTAGTCAGGTATTGCATTGTACCAAATTTGATTACTTCACAGGAATATATTAAAAATTTCCCAATTTTCAATGTTCTTGGTTTAGAATGTCTGCAAATAAAACTGAAACACCATATACTATATTTCATAATGTATAAGCTTGATCTTTTGAGTTCTAAGAAGAAATGCTTTTAAAAAGGCTTATAATATTGCCAAATATTTACCTCACAACAAGATCCCCAGCTTCTAAGATAGCAGAAAACAAAAAATTGTTTTTGGTCATCCATCTCTTTATAGCTTGCACTTCTACTGGTTGGATGTTTTCACTTATCTAAAATAGAAAAGGATAACTAATTTAACAAAACTAATATAACTAATAGAAAAAGAAGAAATTAGTGAAATAAAAAAGGTATGCAATACATACCTGTTATATTTGAATGATAATATTCAATGAGGCTGTTGGCCTTATTTAATGAAAATGGCATCAATGGCCAGCTAGCCCCTTTAAAATCCATAACAATCTGGAAATGTTGTTCAAAGTCAATTGAATATGCCTTAAGTTTGATGATAAATTACTTTTACTGGGAGGAAACATATTCGTTTCTTTGATGTTTTAAATTAAAATTAATCTTTGATGTTAAAATTACAAGATTTCAGCAAAGTTTCATCATTAACAGGCTCCAAAAATTAGCAGTCTTCTATATATTTTTCAGTACCTTCTCAAGTTAACAAAAAATGCAACACTATCTGGCCAACTGATGTTTAAATGCAAAAATTTATTCTTACTTCCAGTTCCTCCAATTCATTCTTTTTCTTGTCAAAGCTGTTGTAAAAATCTTCCCCGCTGTACAATGTTCCATTGCAGTCACCCTTCTGAGCTCTAGATAAACCATCAACATTTGAATTAGGGATTATGTGAATCCTCACATGATTAAGCAACTGGCTGACTCTTGAATTGCCCTCTTTGAATTTCTTTGTTAACTGATGCAGAAACATCAATGATATTTCTTGTCCAATAACATCATAGCCATGAAGTGTTCCAAGAAAACCTATATTTGGTTTAGAAACACTGCCTTTGCCAACATTGTTTGTTACAACAACTGAGTATATAACCTTACCACCTTTGCTAGTGCCAATCTGAGAGACTGTGACAAGATCTGGAAAATGTTGCTCATGGTCTTGCAAGTACTTTACAAGTTGGTCATAACTATGATACCTCCAAGTATTTGTTGAAGTTGCTAAAATTGAGATAGAATCTTGGTTTACTAGTAGTTGAAAATAAAAACTATGAATCTGTAATCTAAATAAATTGAGAAAACATGCTGTCTGCCATTGCCATAAAATTTCAAAACATAAGTAACCAGGTCAAGTTTATGCAAAAATAGTACTTTATGTCTTACAAAAGGAGACTGGTCTTTGGACCACCTTGCTACCTTTCAGATCTAAACATTGCTGTCATGTTGTACAGATATAACAAGATCCAATTATTCACAATAAAACCAGCTGGTAGACTCTTTTGTATCGTGAACTACCAACATGTCACCAAAGTTAAGAACCCCACCTAGTCAGGTGATACCCTATTTGATTGAAATAAGGTTGAAAAGACAGCCGGGTCATTCTATGCTAAATCGGCAGATCCGGGTAACCAATGACCCTATGTTTTATTTGTCCCACTGACTGCTATTAATAAGAAACCACCATATTCAAGTGACACTTTTCTTTCATCATTAGCAATTTTGTTGTCTCCCTAAATCTGACTGGCCTGTCAGTTCAAAGATGGCTCAACATAAGCTTAGAAATTGTTTCAAAAGGGCTCAAATGATCTCATTGAAAAGAAAATCCTTTATCTTTCTTTATGATTCATACTCACTAAAAGGAAATACTTACAAAGCCCGCCATTCATTGCACTGTCACTTGATATGTGATGACATACTTACTTATTGATTACAAAGCCGCAGACAATAAGAAATATTTTTCCGCATTCAGAAAATGAGCTGTCTTAGTCTTGGGGCTACGTTATTTGGATTGTAGAATTAACAGCACCCTGTATTGTGGTCGCACGTGATAAGAATCTGATTCTGAATTTTGAATGAATGTGAAACATATTGAAAAAACTGGCAAACTGGTTTAGGACCACAAAATGAATTTTTGGAATTTAATCTGTAAGCTGGGCCCTAGAACTTTCAGATAAGAGCTTGACCAAAAGAAAGATTCATCAAAAAAATTCACTGCATCAAATGTCTGCCATACATCATAACATAATGTAATGCAAAGTGGAATTCTTTATGAAAAAAATTGAGCATCACATACCTGTGCTTTTGGTTGTTTCAATCAAAGGTGCATGCGATTTAGCAACTAGTGGTTTTGTACTAGCTTCATTAGCTAAACTTGTCTTTGGTTTTGTCTTCATGATGCTTTCTTGCGTAGTAGATTGGGTCTTGGAGATTTCATTCAGCTGGAAGTCTTGCACTGTAGCCAGACCATCTTTTACAATAACTTCTTTTGTTGTTGGGAAAAAACCTTTGGCACGGATAGTTACATTATAAGTTCCTGGCAAAAGCAACCTGTAATAATCACCAGCTTTTAATGATTTCATATTGTGCTGTATCCCGCTGACATAAATTAGAGCATCAGGAATACCGTTCCCTTGGCTGTCTACAACCATTCCTTTGACTCCTTTGTGACATTCCATGATGAAACGCACCAAAGGAACTTTGTTGCTATTCCAATAAGCCAACATTGCAGAAGCAGGTGGAAACTTATAACAACCCATCTCAACGGTTACCTCAAAGTCATTTGAATGAAGATAATTATAATCCTGCATTCCCCCTTTAACATTATACCATTGGGCTCCATTTGTAATACCATTCCTAAATGGCTGCTGAATCTCATTATCTGGACATGCTTTGCCAACTGACATTATCGGATGGGCTTCAGAATACACAATGGCAAGGTGCTTAAAAAGATCATTATCAGGTGTTGGGTTTAAGGCTTCTTGTCCTGTCAGAGTGTCATCAAATGGATAATTCACAACAAGGGCACCTCCATGTAAGTTGGCACTCAGAACAAATGAACCATTTTTGATCCACTCAATAACAGCCTTAGTCTCTGTTTGAAAAACATGCTTATCAGCCTTCTTGTCAAACTGGTCAGGGAAATCTCTGTTTAAGTCAACCCCATTTGCATTTGGCCTTCCAGGTCCAGCCTGTTGTGTTCCTTCAACAGAAACTTCATAGCCATCTGGATTCATGGAAGGCATTAAATGAATCCTGGTATTATCAATAATGCTTGTTACAGCCACCATTGAACCATAGTTCTTACAAAGAAAATCCATGAGATATAACAAACATTCTCTACCAACAACTTCATTCCCATGCATGTTTGCAATATACCTGAATTCTGGTTCACCTACCTCATGAATCCCTGGGTTATCAGAAATTTCCATTACCCAAAGGTCCCTACCTTTTACTGACTTTCCAATACTATAAAGCCTTGTTATTTTAGGATACTTGGCAACAATCTGATTCAAATATTTAACCATGCTTTGGTAATTGTGGTGCTTTATATCTACAGGCTCTTTTGTCATTTTGAACATTTCTTTGACTTGTGATGTTTCCAATGGTAGCAAATTCATAGCCGATTGGATCTGAGCTTTCTTGAAAACCTGCACAGATGGTGTAGATACATTGAAATGCTGATCTTCATTATCTGAAGTACTTTCTTGTCTGCGAGTCACAAATCCATGGGTCACATGACGTACAGAATTTACTTTAGTAGGAAGAGTAGTTGACAAAAGGTCCTGGTTTTTTCTCTTTAAGACAAAGTTTACAATTTTCGCATCACCATTAGGAATGACAATATTTGATTTCCTTGCAATTTCATAACCCTCAGCCACAACCATTATGTTATATGTTCCTGGTGTAAGCAATCTCCAATAATCTCCATTTTTGATAGATGTTACATTATGATTGATCCCTTCAACCACAATTTTAGCTTTTTGGATTGGCTCCCCAGCTGAATTTGTAACATGGCCTTTTATACCTTTATGAACTTGTTCCATAAATGATAACAATGATTCTAAATTGTTGTTCCATTCCTTTTCTAAATGTCGTGCTAAAGGATATTTACAACATGAAAGCTCGACTGTAATTTCAAAGCAATTACCAATAAGGTAATTGAAGTCCTGCATTCCACCAGGTACATCATACCAAAGGGCACCATTTGTGATCCCCTCTTTGAAGGTCTCCCCATCCCCACAGTTTGGATTTCCTGTTTTCATTATAGGATGATTTTTCGCATAAACCTGTGCCAGCTGTCTAAATATTTTATCATCAGGAGATTTGCTGTACATGCCGCTTGTTATATGAGATGGTCCATCATCAAATGGATAGCTGGCAACAACAGAACCACCATGTAGATTAGCAGACAAAACAAATGGGTACTTGTAGATCCACTTCATCAAAGCCTGAGTTTCTGGCTGTGCTTCCTTAAGCTTGAAATCATGCCAGTTTGTGAACTGATCTGGGAAGTTTCTGTTCAAATCAAGTCCATTGGCGTTAGACCTTCCCTTGACACCATTACAGTCTCCTTCATTAGCGTGCTCAAATCCATCCGGATTCATAGACGGCAGTATGAAAATGTTTGTGGTATTTACAAGCTTTGTAACTCTACTATCTTTACCATAATTATCACACAAGTACCCAACTAAATATATTAAAATTTGTCTACTTATTGCTTCATTTCCGTGCATATTACCAACATACTTGAACATTGGCTCTCCTTGTTCGACCTCATCTGGTTTATCACTTATTTGAATTGCCCACAAATCTCTACCCTCTACAGACTTCCCAATACTTTTAACTCTTGCGATTGATTTATGTTTTTCTGCACATCCCTGTAAAATGCGTCTCATTTCATCGTAGTGAATATAATGTTGCTTGTCTATTGATGACGAAGAGCTTCTATCGTCTGACATCGTAACCAAAACACAGCCAGCCAGCAGCATGAGCACAATAACTCTCGCCATAAATGAGAGATCCATAGCCATTTTGATAACTTTTGGCATCAAGCTAATTCATTTGACGATTCATTCTGTTGAATTTCCTCCTTAGACAGGTTGCAGATGCCGTTTTCCTACATATTTGCAAAGCTGTGCTGACTTCACTGTTGTGTTTATCAAAAGCGCATGCGTCCCTGAAAAATTATGCCAGGAATATCCCCCGCAGGGGCTGAAAGAATCGCAGAGCAGACATACACCCTCAGGTTTTCAAAGACATACATAAATTTCTTTGTTCAAAATGTGTGAAAATTCACAGCAATAACATCTAGAGGTTTTCAATTTCAAAGACATTTTCAATGCCATTTGACGAGTGTCGTTTCTCATTCTTATCCTTAAGTCATTCAACTATATAGATCATTTCACAAAAGAATTAAATTACAATCGTCTTTCTAGGAATGAACTTTAAAAAAATACTGTTGCTTGATTTCCTGAAAAATAGGAACAACGTAAAAACATTTTATCTCAAGATTTTATTTCATCTGATCTGATCTGATCTCTGTGTACAAAACAGCGCAGATTTTATCAGCTAATTTACTGTGCTAATGAAAATGTCACGTAAAACTGTTTATTGCTGTCTTTGGAATTATCAAAAAATGACATTGACATTGGTGTCAAATTATCAAAAACGAATTGACATTGGTGTCAAATTATCAAAAACGAATTGACATTGGTGTCAAATTATCAAAAAATGGGAAGATCAAGCCTTGGCAGAAGTTATCTGGTTCTCACAAAAGTGTATTGTATGAAATGAAACACAAATTTCAAAACATATTCGAGATTTCGCTGAATATGGTTATTTCTTTATAGCCATACTATTTAGACTATGCAAAGTAATTACAACCCAACAAAGTTTTATTTTTTATATAACGATATAACTATGAAAGAAAATTAACCCCTCAACATTCAGGTAGCAAATGGGTAACTCACTATCTAACGCGCCCTTTTATTTCAGCTTAGTGAAAACGCCCCTTTTTCGCCGATCCAGAGATTTTGAGGCGGGGCATTACAAAGAACACATTTGATTTATTATATTACTAGAGGGTAGGGTAGAACAACATAGAGAGGAAAGAAATATGAAACCTTTCACCTATTGCGTTATCATTCTATGAAACACATTGATTTAGAGAAGTTAAAGAGTTTGTGCGAAGGCACCATTTCAAAGTAACAATATGAAGGTTTCACATCCTGGTTCGCAATAATCTTTGCATGTTGTGATCACATGTAAGTTTTTTCATGACAAAAATACTGTGCCAAAACTTAATAAACCCTTAGTTTTTTGCTCCTTGTACTGAAAATCATCTACTGGTCTTATTAATCTAGGTACTATTTAGATGGGGCTGATTCAATGGGAGCTGTTACAGTAACGTCCATTATTAGTGGAGGTTGCTGCTATAAAAAAGCTCGTTTCATAGCATTTCTCGATTTTCAAGTCCACTACATTTGAAATTTTACTAAATAGCTCTTTCTTAGATATTTGAACCCAGTATAAATCAAAGCGCAAAAATATTTCAGTCCAGAATATTATTGATATTTTCATTGTCTTCAGCGGTCTCTTCATCAATGTCTTGTTTTTTAGTTCCTTTCATTCACTGCTAAATGTGTTATCAGTTATAAACTAAAATGGGGTGTCTTTCTGTTGCATTTCCATTCAGCCTGCAAGGGGGCTAATTTAAGCACAGAAACTGGCAGGTTAGGGTAGGGGCTCATTCAAGAGGCCAACATTATTTGGAGCCTTATTCAAGGGGGAGGGCAACTTGAGGATTTACGGTACAGGCCCTTCATAGTATAGAGAATATAGAGAGATTAGAATGTGATATCTTCAAAAGTTCTTTTAGAAATTTTGATTCTTCGCAGCATAAACTGATAGATCACTATAGAATATTTGAAATAGTGCAAATCAGTTGAATCTTTTAAAGCAAGTAAGGTAAAGCAGAGGATGGGTGACAACAAAAATAATGACAGCTTTTCATACCAAAGAAAGTAAAAACACATTAGATTATTTATAGAAAATAACAAACACTCAATACTATGCACTATGCACTGGGAAATTATTACAAGACCACAGCAACAAGCACTGGATTAGTTAAGCACTATTCCAACCTTGCGCAGGGTCCCTCCTGAACTTCCACACCGGTGCAGAATGCTTTTTATTTTGTTCTTCTTCTTTTCGTTTAACATTTTCAAGTATAGAGTCCTGGAAAGATTAAAATGCATGGCATTCAATAAAACACTAGACAAGTGGTGATTCACAAAATTTTGATAAAAACAAGAACTTTGGTGATCAGGTTAAGTTTCATTAGAGAAACTTGCTCAATGCTTGTTCAGTACTTTTTCCTGAAAAAGTTTTTGTCTGTCTTCCAAATTTACCTTTTCCATTTACAAAGGGCCTAAAACCATATGCATTATTTGAAAGCACATTTTCAATAAGATCTGACCCTTGTGCTGTGTGTTTATCAAAACAATGTTTTCCAGTGTGGCACAGGAAAGCATAAAGCAAAAAACCCACTCTGGAAAATGATCAGCAGATCGAATCAGATTGTGTTGTTCTGATCAGTTCTGTTCGATCCACAGATCTTTTCAGATTGGAATGCACATTGACATTTATTTCCACGGGATCATTGCATCATGACACAAGTGCTCTATTGTTCAAAAAATTATAATTCAATTTTTTTCAAAAGAAAACTACTGTACCAGAATGGTTAAAAAAAAGTTGAAATGATTTAAACTTTTTTTTGATCCATTTCGATCGGTCGTGGATCAGTCATATGACCATTTTTGCATCCAAAGTAAGTGTGCAACACAAAATCTGATCAGATCGGCGGATTATTTTCCAGAGTGGGTTTTCGGCTTAAGGTATTTACACATAATTAACATTGTGTTTAGCAAAATACAGTATATTACACATATATACAAAATACAGAGTGTGGCAAATACAAAAAAATTACCCTTGCTTCTTTCTTTTTTTGTGTCTTCCATATAAGGCAATTGGTCCAATTGCTTTGTTCATCAGAGCACCGATCAAATTTTCCATAAATGTAGTAGTGCTGAAACTGTCTCTGAGAGGCTGAAAAGTGAGAAAGAGTTAAATAAAACTAAAGTTTTGATACAAGGATATTCTCATCAGTTCATTGGGAGATTTTCAAAAACATAAATATAATTTGATTAAACTTTACATTGTGCAAGAAGTTAAAAACATAAAGCCATAAAAAGTGAACTTTCCAACAATGAAAAGCAAATGAATATCATGTAGTAACATCTAGTAACATACCAGGAATTATAAGACTAGTGTATTGCCATGTCAGAACAGCAGACAGTTTGATTTGCTGTCATTAAAAGAGATAGGTGGACTTAAAGATGACAAACAGACAAGAAAGTTGTTATTTGAAAATCTATATGAACTGATATCCATTTCAGTGAATCATGTCCACAACTCAAAAAACATATAAATCACACCTCAACGTAGAAATAAAACAATGATAGTTTTTTGTAATATGTCTACTAGCTATGCATGTATAAGATGTTGTAAAACTCAGCAAAATATAATTCTTACTTACAACTGCATATTCTCCATTCATTAAACAGGCTCAAGCATGAAGGAATCTAAAAGGCAAAAGCAATATAATAAATGAAAAAGTCAAGGCAGTAGTTTATACAAGGCCCTTGCTTTGGAGCAAATAGCAAGGTACAGCACAAGGAGCCTTGTGGCTTGTAGAAAGAGGCTTGGAGAAAATAACCATAAGGAGGCCTATTCTTTCCAGAAAACCATTTTTTGCTTTGTGTGCAAGCAGGCCAGTTGGGTAATATAGCATAAATAATCAAGATAAAATAAGACAATCAATTCTTTTATTTTATCTTGATAGTAAGCATGACAACAGATACAGACACGATTAAGCAAGTTTGGGCTACTCCATTTACCATTTCTTCATGGGAAGACTTTAGGATTTCATTCTTCATGCTTGAGCGTGAAACAATATAGATTTTTTTGAGTTATTGATAATAAGAGCATTGATTTTATTATTTTAAACTTTCAAAAATGATTGCTCGCATTTAACTTGAGTTTTAGCCAGCATTTTTAAAAAATGTATAGAGCATAAAATTCGCAGAAAGCTGTGCTACAAGGAAAAGTTAGTTCACTAACAGGGAGGAAGGCAGTTTTCATCAATAAAGTTCGGACACTTTTCCATCTATGAATCTACCCTAAAATGTCCATAAATTACACCTAACTTGTCCATGAATTAGGCAGCAATGCCAAAATAAATGTTCTGTATTGTATATATACATTTTGTTTCAGTTTAACCATAAACTGTATGGACGTTTTGTGACTATCACTAAAATAAATATAGATTATCTTCAAAACTTTCCATTGTTTATAAATGCTTGACTTAGGCACATTAAAATAATAAGTAAAAAACAATCATAGCTTAGCTACAGCTTTTGAAAATCGCATGGTACAAGAGGAGACTTGAACAACCTCTTAAACAGCCATATCGACTGATGTCTTGTACTTATGGGGATCTGAGACTTTCAGCTTTGTCAACCAATTCATATGAACTATAACTCAAACAATTCAAGGCGACTTTGTTTTTGAAATAAAAACTTTATCACGGCAATGTTCCCACTTCCATGGTCTTCTCTGCCCCATGGCTTAAAGGTTTGAAGGAGTTTCCTTTGTTTTTGGTCACCACCAGTATTTTCAACACTTTTACAGGGCTTTTCTTTCTTTCTTGCATGGCTCTGATGAAGCCTTGTGTGCAACGGCCAAATATTAGCCATAATTGAATTATGTGTGTTTGTTGTTGATCATTCTTGTCGCGTTGCAGTCTTACTCATTTATTACTTTTTTCTTTCCTAGCATTTGTACAGAACTGAAGATTACGATCTTTATATATTTCTCTCATCTTCGTCGATCCTGCTATAAAACGCTGTAGTAAGATATTAATTGGTCCTATGTTTAATTTATTCTGAAAAGTATTTTAAGCTTAACTTTGCTCGTATGAGTACATCTTACAGTTTTGCGCTAGGGCTTGGAAACTCCTTGGCTGCCCTGATCTCAAGAGGATTACTCAATTCAAAATTAAATACTTTTTCAGTCTCTTTGCAAACAAATTTTAAAAATAATTTTGCGATCTTTGAAAAACCTGTTAATTTAGTCAACACCCCAAAACTCACAATCTTACGGAGTGGGATGGTCTAATCGAATCTAATCTAATCTAATCTAAATGTTACAGTACAGTCCCCATAATGGGCATGGCGTATTGGCGGTTAGTAGGTTAGTCTTCATCATAGAAAAGTGATATTATTAGAAAATAAACTGGTCAGCAATGCCGGATTGGTAAGTGTTTACCAGACTGGAAACTTTGCTGCGCGCCCGCAATATATTGCCCGCGCACACCTCTGCGCGCTTTTGCATATTGGCCGCGCAAAATCCCCTACATCCCTTGACAATAGGATTTAACATTATTAACAATAAAAATAACTAAGAGTGCATGATTTCAGGCGCGCAGTCTCAAATTTTCAAAATAAACTTGCCCGCGCAAGAAGCAAAGTTTCCAGTCTGGAGTGTTTATACACCGAAAAACTTAGCTGAACATTTTTTTCCGGAGAATTTGGCCATAGCATACAAAACCACCACTTTAGGCTCCCAAAAACTCTTTCCTGTATTGAATATGAGATTGACATATATACTATACAGAAAAATCAAAGAAAAATAAGTTTTTGGTGCAATTTTGAAAATTGTCAAAAGGGCCTAGGCCAAGAAGTCAAGCACTCGATTTCTGGAGAAAATCGTCGTCATGTGCTTATGAATACCTTCACTTTTTCTTCTTCTACGTTATCGTATTCTTCTAAAATGGACATGTTGACGATAAGCTACAATTGGTCATCTGTTAATGCAAGACTTTTTTCTTCGCAGCTTTTTCTGTGCTAGCATCCATTACTGCTACCAACAAACAAAGCGAGGATGAACCAATGAATGCACGTGTTTCAAATGGTCACATGGCTTTTCATAAGGTCAGAAACCTCGAATTCACCTTCATTTGTGCTTGGTGGTGAAGATAACAGAAGATGGCTGCCCAGACGAAGCAGCTTGGTTGTTCTGGAGTATCCGATCTTCTAAAACTCGTCGAAGAAAATAAGGATGTAGAGAGCATCTACATACTCTTCTGCGGTGAACCTGATGCTTCAGGTGAAAGCTGGTGTCCGGACTGTGTAAAAGGTAGTTTCAATCAGTCCTAACCTTATGCCCTAACCGAGAAGACAAATTTGTGGACAAAATTCGTACTCCTGGTCTTTTGTTTAAATTGTTAGCAATCGAGCTCTGTTTCTTTATATTTTAGATTCAAATATGTAACATTATGATAAAAAAATTATTTATGCCTTTGTATATTACAAGATGCAAAGGCACCGCCCTAAACAAGACATCGTTTTGGAGCAGGTGCATCGGTTCTGTTAGTTTAGTTGCTACAGAGAGTGATTATCGAAATATCTTCAATTCAGGAGGATATAATCCTGTTTCTAGTACAAATGGTTTTTTCTTTTGCAGCTGAACCTGTGGTTGAAGCATGTGTGCAGAAAATGAAAGACCAAAATGCCGTTTTCATCCTTTGTAGTGTTGGAGACCGTGCCAAGTAAGGGTCGCCTTGTAATAATTATAGAGACGAAAAACTTACAGTCTGATGAAAACATAAATCGTTCTATTTCAAACTTCTACTTATGGAAGAAATCTTTCCTTGCCTGGAAAAGTATGCAATTGGGTCGTAATTGTAAACAAATGATATTTTTAGTCATGTTACAACAATAGGATTAACAGCATCATGCAATATGAAGCTAAGGGAATTGACATTTATCATTGATTATAGACCACTACTGAAAACCTAATATTCTCATAAGACTAAGCTGATATCTCAATTATTTTCCTGTTTGCTGGTGTCAGCTGTCTTGCTCCAATGAAGCTGGTCACAATGGAGTCGTGAAAATAACATCACAATGTAATGGTAGTCATTCCAGGAATATCTCATGCAATGGGTAATGGTAATTCAACTTTTTTGCAGATGGAAAGACCCAAAAAATGAATTTAGAACCCATGAGAAAGTGAAATTGAAGGCCATACCAACACTGATCAAATGGAACTCAGTGAGTACCTTAAGTGTCTCCCTGAAATATCAATATATTTCTAATGTTTTTTCAAAACCCATATACTCCTAAAATTTTCTTCTGATATTTGACACTACTGTAAATTTATGCATTTGTAAATGTTATCTATTTCTTTACAGCCAAAAAGACTTGTGGAGGAAGAATGTGCAAAAAGCGATTTGGTTGAGATGTTTTTTGAGGAAGAATAATAATGAATAGAAATCTCTAGAATAAATTATACATGCATCTATGATAAAGAAACTGCAACCAAATTATAGAGTTTAGTTTTTCTAGTATGTATTTTTATTTTAACTAGAATCTGTTGTACTTAATGTAAGTTAAATTGTCATGAGCCATAGAAGTCTCATCATCTGAATTCAAGTTTAATATTCACATTATCATTATGCAGTAATGATATCAGAGACATAAAATGTCGAAATACAGCAACAGCCATGTTCATAATTCTGTTATACTTGACTTCTCAATTTGTGAAAATAGCAGAGGTTCTTCTGTGTACTGATCATAACACAAAAAGATGTTTCTTTTAAGTCAACAATTTTTTTCAATACAATGTCTTTGTTAATTTACATTACCTGATAATATACAGATATTTGACAATATAACTAATTGGTAACAAAATTAACATTACTCAAAAAACAGCAAAGAGAAGACGTCAGATCAGGAATGATGCTAAATGAACAAGATCAGGACAGGCATACTCATTTGACTAAATAAACCTCTGGTACAACAGAATTTGAGGATAATATGGAAAAGCACAAGTATGCTCAGTTTCTGCTTTTCCATGCTATGTTCAAATATATATTATTCTTTGTGTGTAAGGTAGAAATAAATTTAGACACAGCTCATGATGACCTCATCATTATATTATCAGTAAACTGAGTGGAAAGCTTAGTTTGAGGTAACATTTCTGTTATTGATTTTCCTTTCTATAATGATTCAATTCCACTTCAAAGGAGTTTTGTCCTTCATATAAGGACATCACCAGTGATTGTTCTGTTCTACCCTTATTGTTTGTCTGCCTGTTGATCTTTTCTAATTACATTATTGAAACAGAGCTCTTAATTCTCATCCTTATTAACTATAATATATACAGGAACTAATCTAACATTTGCATCCATGCACGCTTGGCTGCATGCCTAATTTTCATTCTTTTTGTCAAATAAACTCAGATGTAACTGCTATAGTGGGCTGTATTGAAACAGGCACAAAACAAATCATGTCAACTTTCAAGTTTGTGACCTATGGGTAAAACAAGGCAAAACCCAAACAACCAAAATTTTATAACAAAACTATCTACATTCTGAGGTTTTCTTTGCTTTTGAACATTAACAACTAATCAAAATCATTTGGCAAATTGGAATTTAAATTATACACAATTTCTATTTATAGTTATTTGCTATCAGCTATGAATCTGAAACGTTTTTATAAAGTCGTTTAAGCATACTGGTTGATCTTGATCTACTTGTTCAATGATAGGCGGTTTATTGACATTCTTTCTAAGTTCTTGCCAGTCTGCTAACACCAAGTGATATCTTGCCATTTCTACATAATTTCCTAAGAAAAAAGGGCAGGTCCAGTGTATAAAATGGAATAAAATCTGTTTGAAAGCTGGAAGGAAAGCCCTCGGGTATCAAGTTTTTTCAAAAAATTGAATAGTATGGGTCACCCCAGTGTAACAAGCCTGTAAGCTTTTTGGGACAGCACAGTTTCTCTTCGACTGGCAGTGCCAAAAAAGGGTACCTAAAGCCAGTGGTGGTGCCAGGTACTGCCAAGTAGGCGGGTATTAGCTGTAGCCAGTGAGACCACGCCCCTTTTGCTTGGTTTCAGTGCTTTGTAACAGGTGAATTTCCAAAGGCGAAAATATAATCTACCCCTACCTACCGCTTTTTACTCAATTTCTAGAAAAAAAGGGAACAAGTTTTGAAAGAAGTGGGGGTGTACTTACATTTGGTGATATTTACTTATAGGTTTTTGTTTTATTAATTATTTATTTATTTATTTATTTCACTGCCAGTGAAAAACCTGTATTATACTTAGGATCTGTGCAATGAATACATTACATTACATTACAAAAAATCTCAGCTTGCAGTGATGTGCGGTCATCGCGGTGACCGCTTTCACTGGGCTTCTTTCTTACGCTGGGGGTGTAATGTTATAAAAGCTTGGGTTAAAAAAATTCTATAAGAACAAATAACAAAATTTGTAAAAAACTGCTTTACTCAAGTGAATCCTGATAGAGCAGGGGGTGCATGATAAGAAATTTGCCGACAATATAAGCATGACATGTTTTCTCGGATATGGCCTTAAAATTGAATTCACGGAAAATTTGCAAGATAAGCTGGATAACAGCAGCGATTTGCCTATCGATTGTGATTCTAGAGGGCTGTGGTCTGGGTATGACTACCCACGCTTCTTTATCGCTTTGTTCCTGATGAATAACACCGTAAAATTTGATAGATGATAAGCCCGATAACAGCAGCGATTTGCCCATCGACTCTGTGATTCTAGAGGGGTGTGGTCAAGGTGTGACTGCCCACGCCCCCTTTTCGCTTTGTTCTTAATGAAAATAACAACGTGAAAAGATAACATTTATAACATACCCGTGTTTGCATACAAGTTTATCAGTCCTCTGTAGTCATATTCCAGACCGCTGTAACATTCTCCAAATAAGTGACAGCCTAGAAATTCAACATTCATCTTCAATAATTTGTTCTGAATAAAAGTACAGCACAGACTATAATACAATTTCAGAAAACCAGCTAGTAACCTTGATTGAGTTGAAAAATATCGAAACTCTCAAGTCTCAAAGGGGTTTATCTTCTTTATCAACAAACTGACAACAAAGTGCAGAATTGCAGTAAATGAAACAAAAAGAACCGCCCAGTGAGGGACTCGAACCCGCGACCCTCAGGTTAAAAGCCTGATGCTCTACCGACTGAGCTAACTGGGCATGGCTAACGACAGATCTGGGGAGTACCAAAATCACGACAAAGATTGACTAGCAACATTGGACCATATTTATCATTTCAATTTTACCCCAGCAAGGCCATTTTTTGTGATGAGCAAAGTAGAATACAAATGACATCATTCCATTTCGGTTTCAGGCTCTTTTTGAAAAAATCTGCTGCACTACAAGATTTAGCAATCAGAAAAGTGGATTGAAAAAATACACGATGCCAATTGAATATAAAATATTATATAAGATATAAAGCTCCTCAGTTTTTAATGTCCATAACATGTTCCTCGAAAAAGCTTCTTTATTTAAAAGCATGGATGTTGAGCATTGTAGTATTTAACAAAAAATTATTTCCAACAAGAAAGATCTATTCTTGCGATTTTCAGTTTGAATAACTTGACATTCAATTAAAACGGTCCAATCTTTGCAGAATCCAGAACAAGTGGCAATTTGAAATTTGATTTTAGCCAAGACAATAAGGCATGACATTCTAAATCATATTTTCAACAATAGCGTTGTCCAAGTCTTTATTAATAAACCTGGGCGAACAGAACAAAGAGAATATCTATCTATCTATACCATTAATGTACATTAACCGAATATATAGTTATTACGCACAGGTTTGTTATGGGTTATGAATAATACTGATGCACGACGAATACTGATGCAAGTATAGATGTTAAACTTCTGCAAGCATAGATTGTTTACTGTATCTTATGCATAATAATATATAACATAAAATGCTAACAAACCTATTCGAATTGATTTTATGTAAAGCTGCTCTGCTTTTTCGTATTCTGCCATATCGTAATTGTACAAGGAGGCTAGATGCCCCAGTGATAGAGCCACTTCGTAGTCCTAGAAATAAACCGTTTATTGTTATATAAAACAGCTTTTTGTAAAGTTAAATTTGAAAATAGTACGGGAAAGCGGAAACATTTTTAAGTACTTTTTTATCACTGCCAAAATTACTTGGAACACCCAACACTTACGATCCATATCTGGACTGGATGTAAATTTTTTGCCTTCTGCTTAAAATTTTGATTTACCCAGTTAATCGCTTACACAAAGATAGTGGGTTCCTTTAACAATCTGCCTGGTACATGTTCTGTTGGTATTTGAAAGACAAACGTTCTTGATAGCTTCACATTCGTAATAGATTATTTTGCATCGTGCGATTATTTTATTCAATAAAAAATGATCACCTCTTTTCCAAGAAGGCTTTCTTTAATTTGTATGGCTCTCAAATGCATTTGCTCAGCTTCCTAGATATTAAAAACAAACATTTATCAATTCACTCTCAGCAAAAAAATGAATGTGAGGCGAGAAAATGCTACATCAACTATATAAAAAGCTCGAATAAAAAAATAGAGATTTAAACATGAGCGAAAAAACATTCAACAGGTAGAGGATAGAATATTTAAGCTAACAGGTTACGTACCATAAACAGACTAACTAAAACTACTAATTTTGCATTGTTGAAATTACTGTTTCTAATAATCTTCTACCAAAAACCTAACGCAGAGGAAAACTGGCGGTTATACCCACAAAACCATCGCTTTCTCTGAGAGAGTTTAAAATAGTCTTGCTTTACTGGCCAGAGGGAAGATGACCTCTTCTCTTGACTTTGTGGAAATGCTTTAGCTTCATTAGTGAAAAAATATTTGCAAAAGCTATCGTTACCTTGTATCTTTTCATCGATTGATAAAGTCTACCAAGGTTTCCGTAATGCTTCGCGGTCTGGACATTGCTCTCACCAAAGGAATTTCTACAATAAGAAATGTAGCTACATAAAGCCCTTTCAGTGAAACTCTTCAATGAAGCTTTTTTTGAGAATGAGACTCCTTCCAGAAACAAAACCACTGACATACATCAAGAAATGGAATTTTGATTGGAAACAGATCGATGCAGAATGTAACAAAAAACAATTACCTGGCTAGTTTTAAAGATTCAAGATGTAATTCTTCTGCTTCAGCTAACAATTTGTCTCTTTTGAGCATATCAAAACTGTCTATGGCAACCTCTTCTAATATCAATGCTGAAAACAAAGAGATACTTCAGCCATGGAGTTAGCAACAAACCAAAAAACAGCCAACAAAGCTTCATGTACCCTGTCGTTTAGGCATTTATCATAATAGGTTGGTAAATTAATAAAACATATACCCGGTTGTTGATTTAGCAAAAAGAAATTTCGATAAGATACCGATAAATCCAACTGTGAAATGATTGAATTTTCTTATTGAAAAAGAATGCGAGACAAATTGCTTGGAGTAAAAATCAATCATTATGTGCATCAAAAGCAGGCAATCAAGACAGGTGATTATCTAAAGCATATCTCTGTATAAAAAAGAGGGCAAGGATTATGACAAATACAATCTCTTAAATATCGTAGCCAAGTTCTTATCAAGTTGACGAGCTCGAACATTTCTACCTTCTAAATTTATTACATTCTCAACTGAAGGTACATGAAGATTCACAACTAACTTTAAAAGGCCGTTCATTTTAAACAGCCCAGTCCACCTATAACTGTCAATGAAAGGATTTTCTATTCCTGTAAAATGCGACATCGCTAATTGAAAACTGTTTCGTTTCTTACCCATGATTAAAGTTAAAAGAAAAAAAATCAAATTTACCATAAATTAATGACATTTTTAATTTCATTATATTATGGACATGAAAAAGTTGGGAAAAAATCAATTAATTTTTCCAACGATCCTGATCATCTAAACACAAGAATCTTCATATGAAAAAAACCCTGAAACTCTATTCTATTGGGAAAAAACTGAAAAAAGTGGAGGCATACAAGCTGAGAGTACTCACCCTTAACTCGCTTTGACGATGCAAGCAACAAGTGCTCGGGCTCCAAAACTTTTGTAAATGTTCTAATGGCAACTTCGGCGTGTTCTCTGTTACAAATGATACAAAGGCTTTTAACACTCTTTAAAAGTGGGTCAAAGTACCAATTTAAAAAATTCCAAAGTCTAATCTTCAACTTTAGTTTTCTGGCCAATGTAAAATGGGGAGTGCACCTTATATCTGTGTAATATTCAATAGAAAAACATTCTTTGTTGCAGCTCCAACACACATAGAAACTGTGTATCAGCAAAAACATATATATGATATGAAATTTTGAAGAATTCTCTGGTGGATCGACCATAAAGAAAAATGTCCAGATTAGAGGCTTCGTGAGCAAAAGAGCTTTCTTTTTCGCCGCTGAACTATACAAGAGAAAAATTCGGAAATAAATTTCGTAACAAATATGCTGTCTTAATAGTTTTTAAAAATAGTCGTTTAATGATCGATACAGAGGTGGAAAAAGCATTTTTAAGGCAGATGAATCTTTATTTGACGGAAAATTGAGTTAAAAATCAGCAAACAAGGCCATTAAAAATACATAATTATCTCTGGCCATACAATCGCAGCCTTTTACAGAAAGGGATTCCAAATTTAAGCAAGAACTTCAAAAAACTTTGGGCAGTGCAGTTTTCTGCAAGCACTTCTAAAAATGTAGACCACGTACCTCGCCTTGTGAAAATTTCCTGAACTGTAATCCCTGACATAGAGCGCGTAAGCTAAATCCTCGTGGCTGCCCGCAGTCAGAATATTGTTAAGACCAAAAACTTTTCTTCGTATCTCTAAAGCTGCCTGTAATGAAATGAGTGAAGCAGCATTAAAAATATACATTATAATATTTCCTTAAAAATGTAAAATACATTTACAACAAAAATTTAAGGTGCAGATTACTTTGGCTTCTACGAATTAGCTAGCAGACAAGGATTCTTTGTATCATTTGTAAGTAATCAACAATGATATAAATTTATAAAATTGTCTTGCTGTATAATCTCAAAATAAAGAAACGGAGCTACAGCTTTCTAGTTTAATCTTATTGACAAATTATACAAGGAACACAACTCAGATCTGACCGGCAATATATACGTTTAAACTCAAAACAAAAGCATTAGGGTTAGGAATTCATAGCATGAAGCTAGCTCCAAAATAAATAAAAGGGGAAAATACAAGCAGTTTTCTTCACTGACATGTTAAAAGGGTACAAGATATCTGGAGGGTTATAGTTTGCAATTTAAAATGGAACAATACGACAATAAATCATCTCTTGTAGACTGGCTTTCGCTTTTCTCAGCTGTCTAGGTATTTGGAAAGACTTCCTTTTTAAAAAAGGACTCACAGCTTACAAGAAGATACACTACGAGAAGCCAAATTTTTTCAAATATAAAGGGACACACTCAGCTGAAATTGGCATAAAAACCCCAGGAAAATAAATCAAAAATCAATACATTATGTGGCTGGGCAATTATCTTCCAACTTCTATATTGCAAGGGCAGCTAGAGCATCAAAATAAGTTTATGTGGATTGGGCAATTTACATGTTTCGATAAGTATTTAGTAAATGCAAAAGTGCTTCGCTAAAGGTGTTATCTGACCTATGAAAGAATTCGTATGAAAATTCGTACATGACCGATGCACATACCTGATATGCATCAACTGATGCTGCAACGGCATCAACATTCAATAAATAGAAGCCATAGTCCGTGAGACACTCGGCGTATTTAGGGTGACATTCACCAAACACCTGTCTATAAAAACACAAAACAAAATGCAATTTCAATAAAGGGTTAGATAAATTTAAGAGGCAAGTAAAATAAAAAATGGTAGCACGAGGTAATCTGAAACTGAACAATGCCTTTGTACTGCAAAATTGCAAGACTGCATTAAAAACAAAAATTTTACTGTTTACTGATATTTTTGTCTGACATTTTTGACTAAAAAGTATAAAATGTAGAATCCGGTCCTCGCACATGCTTTAAGTGACTGCTCTATCTCTTAAATTTAAAACATTATTACTACTTTTTCTTTTTAATTTTTCAGTTGTTTATGTTAGAAAAAGGGGCGGGAGCCTAGAGTAGAGCACTAAAAAGGGAAAAGAGGGAGGGATAGGAAAGAGAGACAGGTAAGATGAAGTTTCTTGATTTTATTCTGGGGAGCAGAAACATGCTGTTCTGTTCAAAATTTTTAACTAGATTTTTTGAGCCTGTGAAATATCATAGCTTGGAATATCTTCCATTTATGAGAGAGTTTCAGTCTTTTTAACTCAAAAAAAGTTCGTTCAGGCATTTAAAAAAGTTCCTTAGAATTACGAATTATGTAAAAATACCTGGTAAGCTGAACTGCATATTTTACCAGCAGGCCAGCTTGTTTAAACATCCTCTTTATTATACTTGTCTGAATATAACATAAAATAATTGATTAAAATTTAATGGGGAAATAAGACCCAAAGATTTTACAGAACAAGTATTTTTAACATAAACATTTCGTTGTTTCTTGCGATGAATTGAAAAGGCTTCAAATAGAGGACTTTTTCTTATAAAAAATTTATAGTCTGAGACTTCTTACAAAATTACATTGACATATATGTTCAAGTAATTTAAAAATTTATCTAAAACCAAGCAAAGAAATCTATCCAAATGATACATGCACAAATTGTGATTAAAATGGAAAGTCTCAAGTCTACCTTATGACACAAAAAAAAAGGGTACTATCTAACGTGGTGGAATTTACACAAGTAAAAATGGTGAAAAATTTAACGCAAATGCATAAAGCGAAGAGAATTACTGTGGTTTAATTACTGCTATTATTCAAACTTGCATTAATTATTGTACAGTGTTAATTTCCTGTAATAAGGCAGCTTTGTAAGCAAAATCACTTAGCTCGTATAATGCATGATGACACTGCAGAAACTTACTTTTGCTGCCTGCCTCAGTGAGTCAACGACAACCTATAAAAACATAAGAACCAGAAATGAACAAAAAGATTTGCTTATTTACACAAACAGAAAATTATAAATGCATGATTATATGACTAGAATATCATGTTGGTAGGAAAGGCTGGAAAAATATTCCATATTGATTCGATTACAAGCCGCTCTTGTGTATGTGCATAAGCCATCCATGTGTAAAAGCCACTCGATTGTATACTGTAACGAATGGGGCTCTTTAAAATGTAAGACGGACTTCATTATAAACAAAAACCATAAAAAACATACAGAGATTATTAGTATGAATTTAAAACTGAGAAAAAACTCTAATTTTCATAATTTTCATAAATGGTGCTGATTTGGAAATTTTCACCTTTTTCACAAAGAAATTTTCGCCTTTTTTGTGTCATCCAACATTAATTGGAGATCTCGAATTTCTTCTCTTGCTCAAAATTAATCTCAAAACTTTGTACTTAGTCCTCAACACTTGCTACATATTCAAAAACTACCCAAGTTTATAAGCTCCCCTTGATTACAGAATCGCATCGAAATGGGTCAAAAAAGCCATGGAGATAAGTGCTTGAAATATTTATCCAATCCAACTTTGCAGTGCAGAAATTTTCCTCGTTTAGCATAAAATATTTGTTCATAGGATGATAAATAAGCGTCGTTAAAGAGTAATATAGAACTTTTTGAAAGCTTTTAAAATACCAAACTCTCTCTGAAAAGCAATTGCTAAACATAATTAAGGCATAAAGCCAGAAGTGTGTACCTTGTATGGGAGTTTTGGAGATAATTCAGCAACTGCTTGAATAGCTGATTCATGCGCCTACAATATAAAGGGTATTCCTGATAGAAACATTAAGCAACATTATATCAAGGCAATTTTAGGAGATCACTTGGCATTTTTATTATAAAATCTTAGCAAAACAAAGCACATTTCTTTAAGTAGAAACTTTTTTGTCACAAAAAACAAACATTAATAGAAATGCTAGAAACTGCTCAACGAAAAAATGGAACTGTGCTACCGTATCTTTGCTGCATAAACAATAGCACTATTCTCACAAGTTTCATGGATTGTGTATTTTTGTAATGATTTGAAACTACTCAAACTAATAGGTCCTTTGGCTAAAGAGAGACAAACTAACGTCGATGTTGAGAATAATTCTAACGCCTTTTATTATTAATTGGCAAAATGGTATCGTTTGTAAACCCAAATCAATTTCAAAATCATCTTGTTGCAGTACTTAAGTTTAGACTGTCTTTTTTTAAATAAACAGAAATTTCACTCATTGCAACCTCCTTTTTTATTATTTCCGTAACAGAAAAGTCATTTGCAAGGGCTACTGAAGTACAAAGTAAACTTAAGTACTTTTCTCTCGGACAATCTTCAAAGTATCAATGTCCGAAAATGACAATGAAGGGAAGCAGTAGATTTATATCAAAGCCTGGATCGAAAGTAACGTGAGAGAAAGAAAGGCGAGCTTGATTGGTTATTTTGTTTTTACCACTCAGCAACTGCGAAATTTCTCACCTAGTTGAAGAGTCCAAGAGAGAAAACGAACATTTGCTGTCTACACAAGCCAGAAACTTTTGTTTTGATGTAGACAGATTTCAAAACGCTTAAATAAGAAGGCGACCTTGCCTGCCTAATGATTATGAAATTGTCTTTAACATACGTTTCGCAACACTCTAGACTTGTGAGCAAATGTTGTCCAATCACCGATTTATATGTTCTTATTCGGTAGTGCTGTAGGAACATAATTACAAAACTGGTCCATACATTTTTATGCCAATCTCAGTATAAACTTCAGCTTACTTTTAGTCATAATGTGACGATTACACTTTGGAAATGTCGGGTGAAAAGTACTTCAGTATGGCATAGCACTTTCCGCTATTTCGTGCCATCTTCAAATTATAATTTTGTTTACAAACCGAATATAATAATACAGTCAGAAACTGTAAGACTAAGCAATCGTGGTCAGACCAGCCCACCCATATTGCGCAATTTTTATACGCAAATGCACTGAAATGCTTCCCATAAAAATTGAGCAAATGAAAACAAAAGGTGAACACTATGGGTCAATCCATTTAAATGTGCAAAGAAATGAAAAAAACCGATCTAAATAAACAGAGCTAAATGATTAAGAAAGAGTGTGAACTTAGCATTATCTTTTTCTTCAGAAGCTTACAGGCTTTCCTTACTTCGACTGCATAGACAGAATAACGATCAATCTTGTGGGGCAATTTTTTCTTGCGTTTACAATCAAATCAAAGGAATGATGACAATTAAAAATTAAAGGCCTAAAAGGTGAAATTTCGTTCTTTCAATTCGTTCTGATTTTTTTTTTTCATTTGGTTGCCCTTAAGTTTTAGTTTGAAATTCCTTTCAAACAAGTTAGACAACAATACCTCAGCCCACATACAAAAAGCAATATCCATACCTCAATGTATCTTGAAAGGGCATAAAGGTGAGAACTCCTTGCAGTGTAAAACATTGATTTGCTGATTACATTGTTGTTCTCCTGACAAGTGATTTGCTGGATGATTTTTTCGGCAGCATTCAAAGCATAATTTGCTTCAGGAAACTTGCAGTCAGCAGTGTACACAAGTGCAAGTCTAAAACATACATAAACACAAGTTTTAGGCAAGATAATTGTGGGCTTAAAACCAAAATAGCAATGTTCTATTACCAATCTTAATAGTTAAGAGTAAACGGCTTAATTGTTGGATAGACTTTTGCCATTACTTCCCTTTAGCAAAAGCATTACTGGAAAGGAATACAAAATACCAATTGGTAGCTACTTCCTCTTCAGAGATATCAATGTATTCATAAATACTACTTTAGCTTAAAATATCATTTTGTTTCATTTGATATAAAAAGACCCTTACCTTGTCCATAATTCAGTTGCCATTTCTAACATTTCAGTATCTTCGCTTTCTTGTAGAATCTTTACACATGACAAGCAAATACTTGCACTTTCAAACAGACCACACTCCGCAAAGAATATACCTTGAAAGAACAAAGAAAGGAGAATCAATGCTGGAATATCTCTGGACTACTTAACCAGATCATAAGGACATCTTCTTGTTTTGCAAAGTTCTAAAATTCACAAAATATGGCATTAATACTCAAGAAATCTGATACACTAGCAGCTTTTTAGTACTTTCATTTTTAAACTTTCTTGAAAAATTTGGGCTTTTTTGTGTTTAAAGAAAGATATTCTAAAAAAGCTATTCTTGAGGGGAACACGTCTAAAACTGGCTTGAAAAAGCAAGCAATATTGATGGCAAAAACAATAGATTTGCATTTATTCATTGATCAATAATGGAACTTACTCATTAATATACAGTCTTTGATTTTACTAAGCAGACACTCCTTCACATCATTGGTTACTTCGGTGATTGATGAAGTAGATAGTAACTTTCCAAAGTCTTGTTTCTCAACCAAAACCATCTGCACACATTCAAACAAGGTGTTCCTAGAAACAATTTTTGGAACTCATTCAAGACTTGATTTGTCTTTATGGTATCTAGCATTTCATGCCAATAAACATCAACTTTTTCACTCACTCATTATCAAAAATTTATGCAAAAGGAAATAGTAGGTAGACAGGCTTTCATAGGAAAAATATAGCAGGTGTGCTTACGCCTGAAAACATCCAGGCGTTTAGTGGCATGTGACATTTTTTTCGCCAAAGATGAGGTTATTATGATAGATCTGCACGGAAATGAAAATGCTGACAATCAGGAACATCAAGAACACCAAGACCAAATCTTCCTATCCTGACCGAGAACACATGGTCAGAAAAGACTAATTTCTAACATGGCTAGTCCTCTACTGATCCCCGCTACATCCTTTTGATAGAAATTAAAATGGCCTAATATAAGTGATTCTTCCAGTCACAACAGATGTTATAAAAAAAATAGCAAGTGGAATGAAAACAATGGATTTTTATATCTTAAACAGAAATAAAAATTAAAAAATGAGCTGGTTTGAACACTTACCAGTTAGAAGCATTTGATTTTAAAATTCTCAAAAAGTGCTGAATATCTGATAACTGTATTGAGAGATCTTCAATTTTGTTTCCTTTGCATACCTATAATACAAAGATACTCTTGTAAACTGGTATTGGCCAACAATTAACTGAAAGCCATTTTGCAACCAAAGATACTGCAACAATAATGATACCTATCATATGCTTCCTTCATATACACAGATGCTCTAACACTAGCATTGAGCTCTCTCTTTGATAAATCAAGATACTAGGAAGGCTCCTTATAATTACTTGTTGTTATTTGCTTTTGACATCAAGTAAGTTGTTTGTTGCATCTGTATTTGTATGTGTATTTCCATTTGTATCAGTATTTGAACTATTTGTATTTGTCCTTACATCTGTATTCACATTTGTATCTGAATCTGTACTTGCAGTTGCATTGGTATTATCAGTATCTGTGTCTGTATTTATATGTGTACCCGTCTTGGTATCTGTATTGGTGCTTGTATCTGTATCTCCATTTGTGTCAGTATTTGAACTATTAGTATTTGTGCTTGCTTCTGTATTTGCAATTGCATTATCTGCATCTGTATTGTATGTGGCCCTATATTTGTATCTGTATCTTCATTTGCAGTTTTTCTACCTAGCATCCAAAAGTTTATTTAGGATGCTGTGAAGTTATGCTTATCAAGCAGTGCCCTTGTCCTTCCTCGAGAGATAAATTTGTAATTCCCAAGCCTAGAATTGCAGAGAGTCCCCAAATTCAAAGTTAAATTTTGGTCATGTCAGAGAGTAAAACCACAGACCCTTTGATTTGTAACCGGGACCAGATTACATTTTAATGTGAATCTGGTCCATATCTAACTCCGTTGATCAGTAACGCTTGCAGATTATTATTGTAACGTAGTGGAACTTTCAAAATTATATCGAACTGAGTTGAAAATTTTATGCAAGTCCCTTAAAAGTTGATGATTACATTTTGATGTGAATCAGGTTCACATATAGCTTCTTTGTGTGTAATTTATTGGGTTTGAGCAGGTAAAGATAAAAGTTTGCTCTACTTCAAACAAAAATCTTAAGTGCTTTAGTGAATTTGATTCATGATAAAAACATTCCAGTATTAAATTTTATGCAAGTGAGCAAAAGTGAAGGAATGATCCAAGATATGTTAATGTTAATGTATCTGGGAAATTAAGAAAATAGGTTAATATTCAAACAATCACCATTCCCTTTACACAGAAAAAAATATAATCGGCTATCGAGTCAAACCTAATTTTTTGGCGCTCTAAATCTTGTTCTTGACATTTCGACACTCAGAAGTTGGGAGCTATGTTGATCTTTAGATGTTTAAGACTGTGATCTCGAATAGCCTCGAACCATGATCACTTCTTCATTTGAAATTAATCGGGAAACATTGTGATGTAATAACAAGCATTATCCCTGGAAATTCCTAGCTCTAAGGAAGCTTTCAACAGTGTAACTTCACAAACTAAAAGACATAAACGTTTGCATCAAAGATGCTTCCTGTTTACACACAAACGCAAGTGAATGCCTTTACCTGTTCATAAACATCACAGACTTGTTGTACTGGAAAACTCTTGAGGTCTCTTCCAAAAATCACTAGATTTTCTGCCACAGCGAACAGGCATCGTTTGTATAAAGTCACAGGATGTTTCTGGGATTCCATTGTTCCGATATCAGCTTTCACAATAAACTAATTTCTTCTTTATTCCATAATTATCGGCCTATCATTTAAAACCATTTGTTCTAAACAAGGCCGGTGTCGGACTAACTTCATATTATTATTGCGTTGTTATTAAGACGACCTTGACTGTCTTCAAACAGATCAAAATAACGTAGAAACAAGAATTGGTAACGTCCTTGCTATTTAATGGAATATTATTCTTTAAGGTTTAGTCTTCTGTATGTTGACTAAAACTGCCTTCTGTATGTTATGCAGCCAAATGCATCAAACACAATGTACCACCTGTATAGCACACAAGACGAACAAAAATAAACACGGCATCTGCCGATCGCCCTGTGTTTCCAGCTTCGTTTTCGCAAAATACAACCGAGGCGAATTTAAGAATACGCGGGAAAACTTGTATAGTTTGTTGTGGTGGCGACTTGGCGGCAGGTTTATATTTATAAACGTATATAACTAAAGAAATGGTGAGTCATCGTCCAATTATGTATCTTAAACCTATTAAAGAACAATAAAATTTTAGAACTTACTCGAATCAAAATATTCCTATCTCCTAACCAACTTGTTTTTCTAAACTTTAATGGATAATTAATGGATCATGTGCTTCTGTCATCAACGAAAATAAATTAGCGTCCAACTTCTCGTTTCTTTTAATATTATTATTTCTGTTTTTAATTAAAATATTTCAAATTTTAACTTTATTCTGTTATTTTATGTCTTCAATATGTAAACATGTTTTCAATCATCCTTTAGCGCTGATTTTAGTGAAAACAAACGATGCAAGATCAACAACTTTTTTGTCTTGTCTTTCAGTCGAAAAAGAAAGGCCTCAGTCTCGAAGAGAAAAGAACAAGACTTCTTGATTTATTTTTTGAAACGGTTTGATCTTCAATTTTAATAGCTTCGATTGATTAAAAATGATTTTTATTTGATTTAATTTCATTTCTGTTTTTCTGTTTGTACCAAGAAGTAAGATGTGATACCCAAGAAATTCCTATTGATATTCTCATTATTGCAGTAATAATTATAAATATATCTATGTATTAAAATACTGCAAATAATTCCATATAGATAAAAAAATCTAACAATTTGTTTTGTTTTCTGCTCTAATTGTAGAAAGACTTCTACCAGTTAAAAGAACTTGAGAAAATTGCACCAAAGCAGAAAGGAATAAGTATGTCATTTGTTATCGATGATGATATCAGGTTTATTATATTATGCTTCAATATCAATAGTGTATTGACAGGATGCTTGCTTTTAGAAGAATAATCTCTACAAAGCTTGTTTGTCCATGTAACAATAGCTTAGTTTCTGAACTTTTGGTTAAAATGTATTTTCACCCTACAAACCTTTTTGAAAAGTAAACTTTAACTCTGAAGAAAACCTTAGTTTATGGTTTATTTTTTTCATTTACCATCAAGCAATTTTTTGTTTATTATTAATCACCAGTTTATTTTAGCAAGCAAGCCAACTGTAATGATGTAGATAAAGTTTGAACTATATTCTTCAGCATCAATGTCAGTGAAGGATGTATTGCAAAGCTTAGTAGATGATGCAATGGTTGACACTGAACGTATTGGAACATCAAACTATTTTTGGGCATATCCAAGCAAAGCACTCCATGCAGTAAGTAGTTATTGAATAAAATGACATTTTACATAGATATATATGGTTTATATTCTTTCATTTCTGTAGACTGCTTCAATAAAAACAGAAAATACGAGTTAACAAAAAATGAGGAAAATATAGAGTGAACAGAGTGAAAGAATGAGCAGCAAAAAAGATGATGTTTTGGAAAATGAAAACAAAAAGTAGTGTCATATGTCATACACAAAATGATGTAATTTCAATTCTATTTCAATTCTATCTCTATGGCATTAAGTTGCAATATAGTGGAAGATTAGTCTAACCATTTGTGAATAAGTGCCCATTTTGAGAATCATAATGGAAATGGTAAGATTTTCTTCAATTTTTAGAGAAAAAGAAAAATTGAAAATCTCAAATCTGAAGTTGATGAGCTGAAGAAAAAGGTTAAGAGAAATGAAGCCAACCTTGAGACTGCAAATAAAGGAAAGGAAGAAAGTGTAAGTGGTTGTAAAACACTATCCTTTAATTTCATACCCACCACTGTACCATGCCAACTACATGCCTTAATGAAACATTAAGACACCAAATATTGTTTCAATATGAAGATGATCATTATTTCATCATGGTTTACTGCATTATTTTCTCAATCACATCAACATCATTAAACATTATACTTCTAGTACCGCAAAATACAAAAGAACCAATCAATCATGTCTTTCTACCTCCTGCATTACTTTCAATCCACACCTATATATCAATTTTCAATTTACTTTCAGTCATTATCTGATGTTTATACTCTGAACAATGTAGGATGAAAAGTACTTCAGTATTCTGTGTTTTGGCTATTTCATACCAACCTCAAATTTTGCAGTACCAGAAACTTATTCAGAATACAAATATACTATTAGGCCTTCCTTCCACATTTCAACCCTAGCAGATCAAAATATCAATTTCACATCTCCTTACAAAGACTTGCAGCTGAAAAACCATTATTTAACTAGTTTTGAACTACATGAAATAGTGATTTCAGATTATTCACTAAAGCTTAATATTTGACAATTTTATGGATTATTTTATTATATAATCAAAACCTAGCCAAAACCTGCCACTTCCATATCATGGACCTTCAAAGGGCTCTTTATGTTAGCTCACAAGATGTATATTAGATGTTTTTATTAACCTGGTTTAATCCCCCATTTGTAGAGTGAAAGAGAAAAGTTATTGGCAAGTTTAGAACAAAAAGAGAAGGAAACACAGGAACTTAAACAAAAACTTGAGCGTTTGCGAGAATGTGACCCAGAAGTGTTGGAAGAAGTTAAAGAAAAAACTTTAATTGCTAAAGAATCAGCAAATCGTTGGACAGATAACATATTTTCTGTGAAGACTTGGTGCAAAAGGAAATTTGCCATTGAAGAAGCAGCTATAAACAAAAACTTTGGAATTCCAGAAGAACTTGACTATGTTGAATAACATTAAATATGATTTCATGTCTTATTCAAGACAAATTTATTCTTTGAAGTTGTGAAATATTTCCAGAAAGAATTGTTAATATTTTAGAGCGACCTTTACAATAACCATTTTGATCATCTGCATGTTAACTGAGAATTTGAAACACAATATTATCAAAAAAATGGTGAGCAACCATCAAAGTTTCAAAGCAGCGACTATTTGAATAGAGGGCAAGACAGCAAATTGGCAAGATAACACTCTAACCAATTTATCAGAAAAAAGGTTTCATAAGTTATTACAATCCTACTTGTTTTTAGCTAATTAAAGTCAGTTTTAAAATGATAATATATACAAAAGATACCCTTACCACAAGTGCACCATAATATATAACACAACAAATAAAACAACAAAGCGTTACTTGGACAGGTGGAAAGAAATTATTTCTTTCGTGACTTTCGGCTAGGTCCTCTTTCTGTTCCTGCAGCTGCTGAGATTTTCTTCAGGAGTGTTTCCTCGTTTGTTTTCAACTGTTCATCCATATTCATCTTAAGCTGTCAAGAAAGCAGTTTATGTTGACATAAAATTCTCAGAACTGCTTCTTGTATGTTTACAATGTTTCCAATGGAACACAAAAACATTTTGCTAGGGAGGCTGATATCAAAATGAAAACATCTGAAAACTTAAGCAGCCTTTTAAAGAGATACAGGAAGAGTTAATGGGAAGGGAGCTATTTCCTTCTCTATGGCCATGCTTGATGATCACAGGTAATTTCACAAGAACATTCTTAAGATGTTCTCTTTTTTACAAGAAAAAAGGTCAATGTTGAGTTCTTCAGTTTTTAATGTTTTGGGAAATGCCAATACGCGTTGTTTCTTAAAAGTTTCTTAATTACAATTCGTTAATTTGAACACATGGGGTCCTATATCTAATTCTTCATGCCAGGAAATTTTCGAAAAGAAACTTGTTTGGGAGGGTTTTCGAAGATGCAGACAGTGAGAGTTGTCAATGTTTCTATTGCTTTCATATGCACGTCAAGAGGTTTCCTTCCATTCTAATGCTGTCCATAGATGAAGGAAGTGTATTTTTATTCTTTGTTTAAAATTTTACCTAGACCGATTGCCACAAATTTCCAGAGTTCATGGATCTGTAAAATTTTTCGTTTCCTCATCCTGATTGTCCAGTACTCCTTTCTTATAGCAAGATTCTTTTAAAAAACGCGTGTAAACATCTGTTCCTTAACTCGGATATATCATGCAGTTACTCCGTTTTAAAAGAGAAACGATAAGGTTGTAACAAGCCTGCTCCTCTTTTAGGCTATGAAACCAATAACTAGTTCCTGGAATATGACTTTTTATGTTAAAGCAGCCTCGAAAATAAATTTAGTGACTTTTAAGTTTTGCATATTCAGTTAATAATGTCAAAACATCTTTCACTTTTCATACCTTGCAAAACTTTTCAGTAAAATTATCAATACGACTTCATTGCACTGTAGATATTTTTTGCCTTTGCAGAATTTCAGAAGACTGCCTTTTTTGAAAAAATCTTTTTTGGCCAAAGAGTAGGTGGACTTTTGTCTACCCACCCTGTTCCAGGGCCCATGTCATAAGAACTTTATGGACTTCAAAAAATTATTTCTCTATAAACCTAGCTTGTAAAAAGCCTAAAATAACGGAATAATTTATCAGAGATGGCAAAGCGTTGGCTCCCTTATTCTAGCTTTTCCAACTGTACAGCAACAGCCCGTTTGAAAACTAGAAACTTTTTTCTATAAATCCCTTATGCAACTTCAAGCATGCTGCAGTACCAGAACTAAAGCCATTTGCCTTTCAAGACACATTTGGTGTCAATATACTATCATGAACGCACCTTCTTTTTTTTAAATACAGCGTTTATTTAGCTTTAGAGGAAATAACATAAAACCCGAGTTTTTATGTATTTACTACTTTGTTATATCTCCATTATTTCATGTTATGTGTTTAAATTTTATTTTAAAGATACTTCTCTCTTGAGAGAATTACAAATTATATTAGTTTTATAGCAAATCCTCGAAACAAAAATAAATAAATTAACACAGGTCGTGGTGCACTAAATACGGCAACAAAAATGACATTTTGGGTTTCTGGTTGCAAATGTTGCAAAAATAATTTTTATGTAATTTTTAATGTATATAACTTTTGCAGCAGAATACAGACCTTTTGGACTTGATCTGAAAGAGTTGAATTTATAATTGTCTTGAGTTCTTTGACAGCAGGAGGATCTGCAAATAAATGTATAAAAATTCCCAATGTAACATTTATAAATTAAACAATGAAGACAGTAGTGTAAAAATGGGAAGGCAAGAGAGGTTGAATCGTTCTCAATCACAAATAGTGGTGTTCCAAAGGGCGTGTAACCCTAATTTCCCTTCACTCAACCCGTCTTTGCCCCCCCCCCCCTCTAATCTGATCACCCTGGTCACGCTACTGAATAAAGGTGACATTTCTGAATTTAGAAACTTATACATATATGGAAGAATTTATAGTCACAAAAAAACACATAATTCGCCAAAAATGCTAGATACCAAATAGGATACATAATTCTCTAAATCAACCTTATTTTGATTTAACTGAATATATAAACGATTTTGGACAGCAAAAAAATGAGGACAGGTTCAGTAAGGGATGCCAATACCCCCCCCCCCCCTTTAGTTGGGCTCGATATAAGATACATGAACGAAGCAAGATGCAATAGAAAATTTTTTACGGAGAACAGAAGCCCCAACAGTTTATTTTTGTCACGTTACAAAACATTGAAAAAATTTTCAGCAAGCTTTGTAACAGTTTTAAAAAAATTGTCCAATATACTAAAAACGCGTTTGATTTGTTTGTAAACATTGGACATGAATAGTATAACGTAACTGTTAAATGGCAGAGCTAATCAGCCGTGAAGCAACTGCATCTCTTGGATTGCTAAGTACTGTGGACGTAATGATCCGTGAAGAAAAGAAGGGAGAACATGTTGATTGATCAACCGGTGGTTACCATTGCTCGTTGGGATATGGTGGAGACATGGGTGGAGACTACAGTGAACGTGCAGCTTTGCAAGAATATGTACATTCGGCAAAGGAATCTTGATCAAACATAAAGACATAGTGATTAGGCATCGGAATTTTATACTTTTCCCCTCGGAATCAAGCTGCATCTTAACGGAATATTGTTGATAAATACTAACAAATACTAACGGCCTAATAAATACTAACAGGCCCTTGAAAAACGGCCTAATGAATTAATTGTGTACGTTTTAACTACAGAAATTAAGAAATCGATTACATAATAATCTTGGAAGACAAAACAAGCCCTTCGGAAAGACTTGTTTATGCGCAATTGATGTTAAATCGTGTCTCTTAATACCTTCATTCTCCATTTGCTCTGGCTCAGCGATACCAGAATCTCCTTCAACCGTAATTTCCTATGAGATAATAAAATGTGAAGTTTATGCTTGTCTTAAAACTTGCATACCAATAATAAATAATAATGAGATTTGCGTGTCCATATTTATAGATTCTGATTATACAAACAGAAGAAAAAGTTTTACTGGCCTAACTACATAAACATTTAAGTCCAGTATTCATTCAGCATCTACGTAAGCTTACTTTGGATTTTTCTGAATAATTTTCTACAACCATTACAAAATGTCCTAAACCTCTTCAGCTACAAATTTAATTAATACAACAACAAAATCGAAGAGAAAAAGTAGCATAAGAATGCAGCCTAAATGTGTTATGACGCCAAAAGAGCATTGTGATTATTGCAAAAAGGCGTTGGCATATAGTTTTGAAAAACCCTCTCTCTATAGGTAAAGAAAACTCCCTGGTCTACTTGACGTGTATTAAAAAAAGCTATGGCAAATTGGTTCCTACAGTTTATTCCTAATAAAATAAAGATAGGTGTAAATGCTATTGTCAAAAACTGTAAATGTAGACAAATCGAGAGAAACAACATTTCTTAAAATCATCTGCACTTGAAAAGAAACTTCTGTTTACCTTTTGGTCATTATCATCGTTATACTTTGAGGATGTCAGACACAAAATGCTTTAGCATGTGCCAACGTATTTCTGCTATAATTGAAACGTCATTTTCACATAATACATGCAGCACTTAGCAAATATTAGCTTTGTATTTTATTGGTATTTTGCTACCTAGCTTCCGAAGGTGATTTTAGGATACTGAGAAGCTATGCTTGTCGAGCAGTGACTTGGTCCTTCCCCTTCATGCAAAACCACACCTCGTGATTCATACGCCTGGAATTACAGAGAGCTGGCGACTCTCCTCACGCTGGATGAAAGCTTCCTCATGCCAAGGGCTCGAACCACAGACCCATTGATCTGTAGTCAGCCACCCTAACCACTGAGCCTTCCTCGCACCAAATAAAACAAAAGCCAAGGTATGTAAAGATTATATTAGTCATCAACAGAGGTTTCTGTAGCTTGACGAAAAGTACATTCAATACCTTGTTTTACAAAACTAAAGCAAACTGAACTCACCACATTTGCACCACCTTCCGGCTCTTCCTTTTCACCTGAAGGAAAATATGACAGTGACGGTATACAAAAACCAAAAAAGCTAGATACACATTTTAACTTTTCATAGTAACTCGATGATAATCTGTGTATAAAATAGGCTTTTTTACAAAGTCAACCAAACAAATACATTGGTGTTTTAGGTCTAGAAACAAAAGATAGCTTTTCAATTCAGACGGATTGTAATCATTAATCCTTTGATTCTTAAGCCCTGCAACGACTCTCCGTAAAAAGTTGTACCCTAAATAACTGTGAAAGCCTTCATAGGTTTTTCAGGACTTTGATCATGGTCTTATATTTTTATACAGTAAAGGATCGAAAGAAAATGTAAATAGCTCTACATTACTAACATAAAATGAAAGAAGCTACTGCTTAGGCAAATTTGACAAAACGATTTATATTAAATCTTACGCAAAGAAACATGACGTCACTTGGCACTTAGCCCTTTATAGTTGCTTTAAGAACATCCCGTAACCTACACTTATAGACTTTGTAGGAAGAAGAATCGTTTAGCTGATAAAAATGCTTGTTTCATGTTTCCAGCTTATGAATTAATTGATGGATGATTTGAAAAACAAATCATTTAAGGTATATCTATGTCAGATCGTACATTGTTGTTATCGCTCGCTGAGAATGGTTTGACCCATGAAGCAATGATTCAACACTGGTCAACTATTGCCTTCAGAAGAAATAAAGTTAGATGAACATACGATGGTTACGAAATACATGTGTGATAATATACACAGTGATAAATTGAGGAAAATGAATGTACGTGCTTGCCTTCAATCTCTGCGGGTTCCTCGGGCAATCCGTTGTACTCAAAAGTAAGATTAAGCCGAACCTTTGAAAAGAAGCAAAAAATATATATAAAAACTTTGTCTTATAAAGAATATTGCATACATTGTAACGGTTTCCTTTCAAAATTGATGTACCCTTGAAGTGCTGCCATACTGTCATGAATTAATGATGTTCTCGCTCAACTTCTATTGACTATCAGGTCGCAAACTTTTATCGTGATTTCTTGCCAGAACCTATATGGAATCTTGTAAATATAGAGTTTTTGTACGTGATTTGCACAATGTGTTCTTCGATATGCCTTGGCTTATAGTACAGACACACAAAAAGGCTGCTTCAAATCTTACAAATGTATATCATAAAGATTATGGAATATGGGACAACGAGAGTTGGTTGGTTTCAACGGAATTCTCCACCTGACCATAAATCTTTTGTTAAATAAAATAATATAAAATGGCAAAGATGTAACTTTAAAAGAGGGACGTGCGCTTCGCAGATAGGTTAAACTATAATTGCCGGAAATGCTTTGCAAAATTAAAAAATATCTGGTTTGGTAACTACTTTAAATAAATTACATGAAACACATTGACATCAGTTTTTAAGTGTCTGTGAACAAAGAATTAACTTCCTCTGTAAATGTAGCATAATGCTTAGGAGTACATAGAGCATCATGCTAGCTATAATACAACGGAAAGATTAATAAAAAAATAGTACAATGCAGTGATACCTTTGGAGTAAATGCATATTTGTAGAGTTTATAATGTTTGAAGTACCTGGAAAGAAAATTTTGGATCTAAAAGAGGAAATTTCGCAAGGAAGTGCAACAACAAGGAAAATTTTCTTTTTAGCTACTCCGAAAAAGGTTAATTTGAAGTGGTTCGACAAAAAACCCATGGATGTATGGCCGGATGAAATCAATTTCAATATTACGTTACCCAATCATATACTTTTTATCTGGTGCTTTCATCTTGTTATTTGAAATGCTAAAGTTCACTCAAGGACCAATGATAGGCTAAATTATTTTACGTTCTGCTCAATTTTTTCAGTTTTTCGCAGGCTTTGAAATTTTGAACAAATATCTTAATTCTTCTTGCATTAGCTCTTCATATGTTAGTTGACTATACCGTGCATGTGGACGGCAATTATTTCATGCTAGAGCTGGCTGGCAAATACATTGGTGACATTTAGCGGAAAACCGAGAAAGTGCTTTTCATTACGTGTACCTTGCATTGTTTTCCTAGCCATAATACTAAAATCAGTTCTAGATAATGCAAAAAATAGAGCGTTCTTTGAAGAAAACTGTTCATCGGGCAGAGTCAGATTTAGCCAACCCCCTTCCCCGTGGAGCAAACCATGTTATGGAAATCTCGCACAACTTTGGTAGAAACCCTATTGTTTTATCTGAAGATCGCTGTAAATTCTTCAGTTTTGGTGGAAATCTCTTTCTCCAAGAGTGAATCACCCTTTGTCCCCCTCCAAAGCCAGTCTATCACAGCTTTCCCAGTAACATCGGCCCTTTATCGATTTCTAAAAAACTTTTTGTCTTCTTACTTGATAAGGTAAACACGTAAAAACATTCAATCTGGGGCACCATTTTTTCTGACGATAAGATGCCTGCAAATTTCTTCACCGTTTTCTGTCAGCATTATGTAGAATACAAATTTTGGCACCTTGAACGTTTTTCTTTGAAAGAATAGACTTGGCACTTCTTGGCGCCTGGATATAACTTGCAAGCTAAGATGCACTTTTGTAAGCAAACTCACGTATTAAGTACATAGTCAGTGATGCTTTTTGCTTCAGCCATACTGTACAGTTGCACACAGAATGGAGGCCTCTAAAATTGAAAAGTATTACAACATTTATTTCTTAGATAAATTATTTTATAACTTGTCCCCTATCTTGTTAAAGTGCATTTTACTACTTAACAATCAATAAATACACTCTTTTTAATTAAAAGCAATAAATTGAAGTTCAAGCTGGCTATTCTTAAGTTCTCAGAAAATCTGAGGTTGGATTGTTATTAATTTGTTCTTAAATTAATAGGGTCTTAAATTCATTTGCAAACAAAGTGAGTAAGATATCCTTTACTTGGCAATAAGTTTGAAAATTCACGTAACCCTGTGTTTTGGCAAATTTTGGTCAACTACCAAGTTGTAACGAAGAAAAAGTGACAAGGAAAGAGGATAAAATAATTTCAAATAGAGTTTGTAGAATTTTAAATTCCCATTGAAAATACTGACAAAAAGTTTAACACAGCTACCATACCTTCATACAATGTCTCACAAGAAGTTCTTTGAAATATTCATAAGCAGCGTCAACATTACCAAAAGGGGAGTCTAAAAAGCAACAATTCCCTATATCGTATTTAGTTTTTCAAATGGCTTATTTCATAACAGTTTATCTTCTTCTTTGGTTGAAGAAGATCTTTTTCCTGTTATTAACTTACTTTGTCCAAATATTATTCAAACCTATTTTAGAACAAAAATTATATGGATCTTTGTCTGTCTGAAGGGTCCGACATAGAGATAACATATAATAATGTTGAGAAATTGTTTGAGGCTGAACCCCTCCCTGCACCCTGCTTCCAGCCACAGAAAAAGTTACTGATTGCTAACACATCACATCATCATAAAAGAAATAGCACGGAAAAAGAACATTTTAAAACATAATGGATGAAAAATGATATAGAAGCTAGGCATAATCTTACTACTTCTTATTACTAGATATCAACAACAAAACAAGAGGGTTGGCATAAGTACAAACATATTCCTTACTAACTCAATCAATGCTTTTCATACAGCAGTAAGGGATATATAGAGATACCCCTAATTATAAAATATAAAGATACCCACTTAAAAATAGAGGTAAGAAACCACCTTATCCCATTCCTTCCAACCATTAATAATCCATAAAGATTTACAAGGAATAGCAAGTGCAATGATGAAAAAGTAATATTTGAAGAAGCGATTTTGGACAAGCTAAAGCTTTTTGTCATGAGTATAATATTACAGAACAAGGAAAGAAAGCATAAACCCAATGGATTGAATTAAGCCAATCAGAACCAGGTTGAGGGGTGAAAGGCGAATCTTTAAAGGCCCACAAAAGACTAAGATAGCACTAAAATAGAAAGAGAAGTAAAGTAAAATAAAATAAGTGGTAACTCAAGTTAAGCAAATCCAACCAGCCAAAATTTCCATGCCTTACAAATACGTATGAAATTTGCAATAATATAAACTTCTTACCCATAGCCTTTTCATGAGTCCTTTTGATTATTGACAAAAATGCACTCTGTTGTTCTTCATTGAAACATCTTTCCCTTCCGAATCTGTTTCAATTTTATGAAGGCAAATGTTTTATAAGACAACATGAACAGCAAATATTGTTAAGCTAAAAAATTAATGCAACAGGATAGCATTAGACATAATTTAGCAAGAAAATGTACATGACTGCCTTTCTGATGTCATCTTGTTGTGATCCTGCTATTATACTAGACAGTTAAAAAACTTTTCTCTACACACCAACATGCCATCTCATTTATAAAATGAAAAGGATACTTATATGCAAAGTAGAACAAATCTACCAAAATATCTTTTTTAATGCTGCTTTCAATCACATTAATACCAAGTACTTCAGAAATTTTCCTGCAACAATGAAAAAGCTAATCAAATAAAAGTTTCATCATGTAGAAGCATAAATTTCTCATTTGCTAATTTTTGCAAAATAAGCATGTAAAAGTTGTAAGTTTAAACCAGGAGTGTAGAGTTAGGGGGATCTGGGGGGCTGAGCCCCCTTGTTGCTGCCAAAATTGGCAAATTACTACTTTTGCTATTGTTTTTCACAACATTGTGTGCAAGAACCCCCCTCTTTATTTTGATTGGCCCAATTAACTGGCTCACATCATTTGCATAAGTTTTTGCATTAACAAGGCATTTGTGTTAAATTAATAAAAAATGGATGATCTCTATAGCATTTGGTATTTTTGAATTTTCTCAGAAAACACGTTAAAATTGAAAGACAAAGTTGTTTTGAAGAGCCCTTCAACCAAAGTCATTATGGCAATTTCAAGGTTCACTAATGAGACCACATTGCAAACCTATCTGCGTTTTTGCTTACTGAAAACCTTAAAAAATATACTTCAAATGATTCTATTGGAAAGTAGAAAAAACATGATTTAGAAAAAAATGAGAATTTGAGATTGTTACCCTTTAATTTTGTCAGGCTCATGTAGCCAGCTTAATTCATCAATGTCCTTCAATGTAAAATCAGCCCTGCAATGAATATCAATAGAAAGTTTTATTTGAGTTGCTGACTGCATGCAGAAGCCAGAAAAGTACATGCTTTGCAGGCAATCAACAAGTAACATATGAGAATGAAGGCATGATTAAGACCTGTCTGCAGAGTACTGTAGTTCTTAATGGTGTATATGAACTTAAGATGATGTTGTTTTCCTATACTGGACCTGATGTTGTAAGTCCTTTTTGTTTCTGTAGAACTTTGATTTTATGGTCTAATTAATTTAACATGCAGAAAACACGGAGCTGGCAAGAGACAATGTTGAATACCCGGAGCATCTTGATGAATTCACAGACTATCACATTGTGCCGTGTATAAGAAGCACCTTTTTCGAATTATTATTGGCTTTTTTTAGGGTGCATCATATACATGGTAACATTGAATGTTGTTCCATCATTTTCTTTTGAAGGCAAAGTGTCATTTTATAGGACAAAATAATACTATGATATTTGGAGCATCTGTTCTCTTAATTTGAATAATTGCACTCTTTCAATCTGACAAATCAGAGAAATATCTGACAAGCTTTCTTACTCCCAAATGGAAGGATTGTACCCTGCATTCTCTTAATTGGCCAGCACATCCCTGTCATAGTTGTGAATGTTGTGAATGAAACGGATGACGAACAATAATTTATGGATTTTAAAACCTATTGAATTTAATGATGATTTTGATTATTGTATTATATTAAACCTTCTACTTGATGATTTTCAACATAGTATTTTAATGTTACTTAAAATTTGAAACATTTTGGATTGAACAAATTTCCTCCACAGAATTAGTGTCTATAGTATTATTAAGTTTATTCTTTCATTGAAACACACATCACATGCTTTACAAGTACCAAGAAAAGGGGTGTGTCTCTTACACTGTAAGACACAGTATATATATATTTTCAGAATTCAAAAATAGGAATTAATGGTGCAATTTATTCAAGGATATGTCTTATAAACAGAAAAATACAGTAAGTCACTTTCTAAACCTTGATAAACACAAGGAATCAAACTTTGTGTTATCTGCAAATGTCTTGTGCAGCTTATTCAAACCATTAGCCATCATTGTGTTAAAGAACTGCATACTCGCTTTGTAGCATTACAGCAAGCCATATGATTATATTAGGCAAAAAATTGTTTACTTTACGTTTCATGTTTTTCTGAATAGGAACATAGCGGTATTATCTTACAACTTTATTACTTCATTCTGTTACTTCTGTATTAGTTTTATTTCATCTTTTTTCTTTACTGATTCTAATTCCTAATTAGTCATTTCTTACTGTTAAGTGTTCAAACTAAATCAATCTCAAGGATACATGCATTGCCTCATTAGCTCTTTTTGAGTTTCTTCCTTCATGTATCCTTCAGCCAAAAGTTTCATGTGATAATTTTTCTAATTAAATTTAAGAAAAATTTCTTATAAGTGCATTCAAATAAATATTTTTCTTGCTATATTCCAGTATATTCTCTGTTCCCAGCAATTTTTTATCTTTGTATTTGCCAAAACTCGGAATCTTCATGTTCAGATTAGGCTGTGTTGAAAATTCCATGTTGTTCAGGCCGCCTGGCAGCAAATTACCCCATTTCCAAATTTAGCTTTTACTATACATTTCAATCGAATTTGTTGCTGTTGTGAAATTTTTCACTACAGCAGCAAATTCCGGTCAAATCTGAAGAAATATATAATTATTCAAAACAAAGTAACTCGTGACTGCACAGTGCAAACAAAATGAAGATCTCAATATAAACAAATTTCAAGTGAAGATTTCAAATCTGACGTCCATTTTTGAGAAATGTCTGTAGATAGCGAGATGCAGAATCGATTATATCAACCTGGAACGGTGAAATTTAATTAATTTGTTCATGCTGTTAAAAAGATTTTGAGTTTCAAAAATATTCTCTCCTTCAAAATATTCTTTTAAAAACAATCTTAAAATATTTTTACAAAACAACATAGTAGTCAATGATGGTTTTTAAACTTAGTCTATAAATAGATGATATTTTTCTGTGGATGACTGATAGCAACTTACAGATGATTCTTTTACTTTTAGAACTAAAAAAATAAGCAGAACGCATCTAATTTACTAGGGGGTGCTTTCTCCTCGATTAGTTTATAAACTACTGAGAAAGTTTCCTCCTTTAAATAATTCCCTGTTTACAGTACTAGCTTGTTTCTCCAATACTCTGTATTTGTTATGTTACGTTTATATTATTTAACTTCCTTTTACATTGTTTATACTTTTAAGCTTGGAATATTTCTAATTTGTAACAAGTGTATGTATCCAGTGGAATTTAAAATAATACTGAACTGAACTGAACTGAACTGAACTGAACTGAGTTTGAGTTTTGGCTCAATCAGTTAATGTCATTCTGTTCTCTATAGAGCAAAAAGCCTTACCAAACACAAATTTGGGCCGTCGGTCCTGACTTCGGCAAAGGAACCTAGAGGGAAATGTAGAAAATGCTAACTTTTTGTTTGTGATACAATTAACCCAAAAACGATTATTTCTTGTAAAAAGGTAAACGTCAAAAAACTTTATAAATCCTGTGAATACGAGTTATCTTAAAGGCTCCTGAATTCACAGAAATATCATCTAGTCTACAAATTAAATGCTGATACCCATTAAACATAAAAAACAGCTAATCTTACCTCCGCAGGCATAACTATCGAAATATGGCTGACATGTCCACCATTAATGATGTTGTTGTTGTCATGATCATCGTCATGACAACACTTTTCAAAGATAACTAACCTGGGGAGCGAAATACCCCTTTTCTTAAATTACTTTTATTCTCTGATCTGTTCTCCAATCTGTATCATAACTTCTAATTCAGAAGCATCTATATATACGTAACCTGTACAAAAATGATCGAGTAATACAGAAACCCACATAATACACAGCTTATGGCGACCCTATGGCCTCCAACGATTGGGCGTGCCCCGAATTCTTGCAAAATCTTTTTAATGGACACTCGATTTGCCCCCACTTTCCAACGTGCGTCGGAGCCCCTTCTCTCTTGAATATTTATTTCAAAATTGATAGTTGCTTGATTTTGCTTAACCCTACGATTGTGGGTCATGAAACAGAGATCGTTATTTCACACAAATACAACCACTCGAATTGATGATATGGATTCAGCCTTATGCCTACCTTAAGTTTTTTAGTATTTTTCTTTGTGTAAGATCAACAAATTAAATGGGAAACAATGTAGATAGAGGGTGCAATGCAGACAGAATGAGGCTTCTAGAGGTCCTGTTATAAGAATGGTTTGTGCTACATGGGTAATATCAATGACGTGGTTCTTTATTGATTTAGTCGCAATTTACTCCTTCGTCGGAGTTAAATAAAGCGGAGATATAATCTTGAGATTTGAGAACAAAACACAAAGAAAATTAACAATGCCAGCTGCAACTTGAAGAAAGAAATTTTGAAAAAAGGGCTAGCTATTAACAAGGTTTTATGTACCAAAGCATTAAAAATTAAGTAAACATACGATCTTACCGTGGTCTTTAGGCAAAGTTGAATAATTAGCAAGAATATTTTAGAAGATAAAGCTAACATCGATTTTTAATATAGAGTAGAATTATTCTGGTTACAGAACGAGGTACCTATGGGAATTTCAAGTTCATAAGCACAAGCGTAAGAAAGCTGCTGTTGTGAATTGATCGATGCTAGGTACAAACAAGAATGATGCAATGAATTTGAAAACTTGTTGTCAGAAATGAAACACTCTTTGTAAAAATGTGATTTTTGTAACTTGTCTGTCAAAGTTAACCCCTATTTAAAAAAAGCTGTTGGGTAATTGGTATGCTATTCGGCCATAAATCGATAGGAAGTGAAAAAAGAATGGAGGAAGAATTGCTTTTTCAAAATTTCCTTTTCAGTTAAATAGAAACAGAGATCAGTTAAAAAAGATTACCCCTTTATAAATGCTTGCATCAGACTGATAAATACAAAAAAAAGTAAACTCTAGAGAAAAGTACCGTAGGGAATGAGAGAACTTCTGGAGGAGCTCCATTGCTTGAAAATAGTCGAAACAAAAAGCATTGTTCGTTGGAAACAAATAATTTTTACAATTTTTGATGGGGCACGAACCTCCTTAAGAACAAAAGTTGTTACCATACTGGTATCAGAACATAAGACAGGAGTCAAGGTCTTTAGGTGAAGTTATAGTCATTCCCATTCCTCTATTCATTTAAAAATAATAAACATTTACAAAATTACTGAACAAAGTTAAGTATCACATACGTTATTTTCTCTGCCATAAATGAGGAGAAATGGATAATTAACATTATCATCAATTATTATCATAAGTTGGATCACCAAATATCATATTTATTATATGACCATCCATGTACTACAGAAATGTCGATGTACAGTATGTTATTATTGCAGAACATACAGAAGATGTTATTCTTGGTCACAGTTCATGTTTAGCTCTCCTGGCTCTAACCGTCCAGATATAAAACACTTTTCTGAATCGCATAAATTGTGTGTCATTTGGAAATCGTTTCCATTGATCAAATGGCATGAATGCTTTGTGTTCACGGCAGTGCTGTTATATTCTAACATGAATGCCACGCACCCAGCCTTCCTGTAGCAGCGATCCTGGCATTGATGGACGGTGTAGGTCTGCACCACTTCTATATTCTGTGATGTAAATTCTGTGCCGACAAGCAATGAAGGTTCTGGATCGCAAAGATGGCTATAATAAGACTGTGCCAGCAAAACAAGAAGAATCTCTGTTGCTAAAAAGTATTTCATTATGCTTGTGTCTCGAGTTCATTCTTTCTCAATACAGTCCACGATGGAAAGGTACTATCCATCATTTTATACAGGTGGCCAATCACTTTTTTATAATTAATTTTTAAGAAACCGAACTGCTTTATTTACTCGGGCTTAGAGAAACAAATGTACAGACAGATGTAGATACTTCCTTGTGAAACATAAACAGCCCTGGTTTGTGCACCACCTGTTGCATAATGAAAGAAATGGGGCTTCGTTGGTAAACATTTTTCATCGAGTAATACCAAGACGCTTACTGTAAGATTATGGAAAATAGTTTGAAAATAAAAATCTGTTTGGCTAAGTCATACACAATCAGTTTTTCTTGCAATAAAAAAGTGTTTGCTTGCAAGGACAGCTTTTCTTGCTTTACATTGGAAAAAATAGCAAATATAGAAGGCTTCAAGTGAAAAAATCAACTAGAAATGCAGTGCCCACTGTCAGTGCGAGTGTATTGTACTACTTATATAAAATGCAGATATTTGAAAGTAAAAATTGAAATTGTGAAAAATATATAAGAATTTTAAAAAACTCTGCAGAATGTCCTGATATCCGGACTTTAATATTGAAATGTTTTTCTATAGCGAAAATGTCGTTTATATTAAATAAAGCAAACAAGATCAAAATTTACAGTCGCCGGTGGCTGAAATGAGGTAGAATCGTTGGAAGTATTCTACGTGATTAAGAAATAAAAAGCTCTTTAATACAACATAAGACAATGAAAGAAAAAAAACACAAATGATAATCACGTAAACCAAGGCCTAGCAACTCGTTGAAAATGATTCATGTGTTTCGCAGAAAATAAACGTTTTGCAATAACCATTGTAAAAACAGCGCGGTAAAAACAAGATAGTGTTGTATGTTCTATGTGTATTAAAATAACATTTAAGCTGAATATTTACTATTCTTTCATTTTATCTGAAAAAATACTCTAAGTAAAAAAGCGCTTCAAGTTGAAGAGAAATTTTCAGCTGTTATCCTTTCCACCTAGGCGATGAACGCAGTATGGGCGCTAGATACAATATGTCAGACACGTTGGTAGTCGTTTTGGAAGTATCATCTGCTTGGCTTTTAATGAAGACGGAGGGCAACCACCCCTCTTGCCCTTTGATAGGATGGGCAACGGGGCCAAAGCGCTCTCTTCATAAAAATGCTTTTGATCTTGGTGTTTTGTAATTATTGAAGAGATCCATTTGAATTCTTGAATGTAGTGCCATTTTCATGCCAAAAATTTTCAAAATTTGTACAACAATTTCTTATGACAGCAGAAGCAAAAGTTGGACAATTGATTTGGCCGAAGAAGCAAAAATTGACCGGATTTTGGTCGTATGTTGAAAGCAATAGAAATCCAAAGGAAACGACAATTCTCGCACAGACAATATTCAAAGTTTTGTTAATATAATCTCAAAATCGCAAACGAAGAAGCAAGATAAAAAGTAAAAGATAACAAAAAATTGAAATTGAAAGCAAATTGGAGCTTTTATAACAAAAAAGCAAATTTTTATTACACTATTACTCCACAGAATTGGTCGAAATCTTGTTTTTTTGTATATTATCTGTGGCTAACCGTCAACTGTAAAAATTTGACTGCCAACCAGTTCAAAGATCTAGCAACCTCCTTGCCCTTTGGTCGTTTTGCCCTGCGGGAGACCGAAGGAAGGAGCAAAGTTAGAGTGCTTGTTTGTCATCTGCCGCCCCCACCCCTTTCTTAGATTCAAATTTTGTAATGAAAGTGAAAATATTGGTGTTGTGCTAGCCCTGGATCTGGGTTTGTAGTTTGATACCCTATTGCATTGATACCAAAACACTCGTTGGAGAAACAGTCTGATCTTTTATCTTTTAAACTTTGATATTTTAAAAACAGTTTTCGTCTCGAAGAAAACACCTCTTAATATACAAATAATTTCCTTTTATCTTTATCAAATATTTATACAGGTAACAAGTTCATCTAAAAATGCAATTTTTCAAAATTACCAAAAAATTCATATTATAGAAGAGTTAAACACATGGACAAAATTTATTCTTCGTCGCTTTACCCTTCTTCAAAGGCAGCCCATGGCCTTATGCCCTACTCAAACTCTGCTTCTTTGGTTCGAGCTATCAAAAACAGTCTGTATATATAAATCCGGGGCCTATAAAAATGTTACACAATGTGTTGTGATCATACCTCATACCTCAGTATCTCATTCATTTTTCACATTCAGCTATACGGTCCAGAAAAGCGTCAGCTCTTCCAGCGGACAATTTCTTCAAGCTTTGGAAACTTCCACTGGAAAACAAAGAAGACAAGGCGGGGTTTCGGCACACTTCATCTTTTGCTTTCATCGGCGAACCCTTGACTCAGAATATTATGTTTTCGTAACATTTTTAAATAGAATTTTCAAAAAGTTTTTAAATAATCTTTTCTAAAAGTAGCTGTTTACTTGTTACCAGGAGTCAGGAGGACGTGGCAGAAGAAATTTGCCTAAAAACTCCTTTGGGGCCCTAATCCGGGAACCTAAACAGCTATGCCTAACCAGCACAAGCAACTCTTTTCTCATAATAATGCGAAGGACTTTGAGTCCATTGTAAATCGTGAACTTAAGAATGTTTCAGCATGGCTTTCTGCTAACAGATTATCTCTTAATGTTGATAAATCTAATTTTCTTACTGTATTAAATAAAAACGGATTCTACCATTGATATCAAAATATATACATTTCCATCAAAGAGAAAAACTATATCTTGGCATTCTTATAGATAACAAATTAAACTGGAAACAACTCGCTCAATATGTCATCATGAAAATTTCAAATGGTATTGGAATATTTGCAAAAATGAGGCATTTTGTATCAATAGATATGCTGAGACAACTATATCATGTTTTTATTGCTCGACAAATAAGCTATGGCCTCATTAAATAGGGGGGGGAGGCTTGAAAATGCACTGCCACTAAATTAATCAGGCAAGTCTTAAAAAGGCAGTCAGAATTATGAATTTTTGCAGATTATAAAGCAAATTCAAAACCCTTGTTTTCCAAACTAGGCATTCTAAGCTTTGCAGATCTTTGTAGACAAGAAGTTGCAAAATTTATGTACGATATAAACAGCAACAGTATTACCAATAAACAGCAACAGTATCAACTATATGAGACCTATTTAAAAAAACAGAGACAATACACAACTACAAAACTCGTCAAGCCACCACAAATCAATTCTCTCTTCCTCTAGGGACAACATAAAATTTACTACCTTGGCATCGAAATATGGAATTGCATGCCCACTTAAAATTTGCTCCATGCCAAACGAAAAAATATTTAATAAATGTCTCTATAAATGGTTACTGCAACGCTATTAGAAAGCTCCAAACATTAGTTTTATTGTGACTTAAAATTTTTTACCCCTTCCTTAATACATTTACATTTTATTAATCAAGCCCATCAATAAAACCACCGTGTCCTCCCATTTCCCTTTTTTCTTATTTTCTTTTCTTTTTATTTTCTTATCTTTGTTCTGTTACTGTTTAAAAAATTTGAAATCAAACTTTGCAAAATTTAGCTCGTAGTCATGGTATTTTTCATTTACAGGTATATGTCACATTTTATTTAAACTTCAGTGTTCCTGTATCCATTGTATTAACTATTCAATAAAAAGGACACTGGGCCCGAAAACCTCTTGGTTTGTTTTAATGTCCTTGGCAACATTAAATCGAAATTGTAACCCTACAATAGACTTTATAATTGATATTTATCATTCGTATACTTTTAAAAACTGTTAATAAAATTTGTTGTTGAATGAAAAAAATTTGATTTGATTTGAACGAAAAACATACTGTAAGTGCATACCCCCAGCCCCAGGCACATTGCTTCTTGGAATTCGATGCCACGTCCTCCCCTTAATGACGTCAGTAAGCACGCCTCCAAAGTTAAGCCAATCAAATTGACTCATTCTTGTACACGCGCAACAATTTTGTGACCTACGGCCTAAATCGGTCCTGCGTAGTGAAAACAGATTAACCAGTAAAGATGGTAAGTTTATTTTTGAAAATACTGCAAAACTTAGATCATGATTGTCTTCTGTAATATTCTGTAAGATTGCTGCACAACTAAGGAAGATATATATGGTTTTTACCTGCACTAAAGTGTGCATGGCGGGTCTTTGTACCGCCATGCATCTATCCTTTCGTTGTTTATGAAGAATCTGAGTCCTTAATTTAGTCTGAGTCCGGCAATAATTAACTTATTTTTTTTAAGAAACCTACCTTTCTATGAAATGCACGGTGATATCTCACTGGACTCAGTTTTTCTGGATGTCCACCAACATAGTCTAATAAGTATGCTAGATTGCGTGCGATACAATATAATGCTATAATAACGATGAATGTCAGTAAATTGTACCAGGAATAGAAAAATGATTAAATGAATAACGTCGTTTAGAGCATAGTCTGTTATCAAGAAAAACGTTGCCCTTTACTTACATTCATCGTTATTACAGTCTAATAAGGTCCCGAAACATAATGATGATATGACCAGAACTACCCCCTCACCTCTTTCTTATATAATGTTTGGATACTTTAGTTGCAAAAAGACCCTTCATATCTGACGTATTTTTTCACTTTTATTTTTAGACAACATACACAGACAAGGGGAAAAAGGTATGATATATTTGCTGCATGATCACAATACATTTTTTTCGCAAAGAGTGTACCTAGTTTGAGCTTACTAACTTGTCCTATGCTGATTTCTCCCTGATCATTGATTTGAAAATATTTCTACAATGAAACTGGAATTTGCCTTGAATGATGCTAACATTCAAAAAATTTTGGAGTGTTGGAGAGAAGATTTGTTCTCTATCCGTCCAAAACTTTTCTACTATTATTTAATGGGTTCTAGTATGCATGTGGAAAGTTTCTGTTTTCCTTGCCCTGCCTCAAAAAAGTTCACCGTTTTATCTGTTAAATGGTTGCAAGATTTTGTATAGTGAAAAAAACTGTCTTCTGTGCAACTAAATCTGTCATGGATTTCTGTATGGTTCAGATATTATTAAAAAATTTAGTGATTTCATTCTAGCCTGAAGTTGGCAAATTTCTTTGCTTTGATCATATCACGTTTTGGGTTGGAAATGCCAAGCAGGTATGGTTTTAGTTTGCTTTGAACCTTGACATTTGTTTAAAGTAAACATTGTTATATGATTGTAGAGAAATGCCTACCTAATAAAATTTTTAATCATGGACGTAGTTTGCTGGTTACTGGGCAGGTTATATTTATGGATGTGAGTTAAAATTTGTGAAAGGGTGCTGGTTGTTTTTACCAATAACTCATCTTTTAGTGTTGCTATTGGGCATTGCTTGCTATAAGAAGCTAAGAAGCCTTATGTTCTTGGTGTTAGTCATTCAACTATTCTCCCCCAAAAGCATCTTCCATGTGTTCTTTTCATACCAAGGTTTGTTAGTTTGCCATTGAGCACAGGCTCTGACATAGGTTGGAAGTGGAGGGTGGAGGAAAAATTCAACACCCATAACAGGAGATTTAAAAAGCACTTTTGTCCGCTGCTTGCCAGAGGCCTTGTTGAGGCTCATTCATCTCTAAAACTGATTTAGAAGAAGGACTCGTGATTTGAAGCCTCAGTTGTCTTGATCTCCCTTTATTTCAATAATTTTCTCAGTATCATCAATTCTTAGTTTGCAACTCTTATTAAATAAAAATACTAAAATATTTCATATTTGATACTGTTGCCTAATATTGTTTCTAACAAATATACCATTATACAGGCCTGGCCGTTTGTATTTTCATAGGTGAGCTGTGAATTGCTCCCCTCATTTGCTGAGGCGAGCTAAATCAGTAACACATAGAATGTACTTTAAAGACAATCGACAGATGACTTAATAAGCCCCTTTAGTATCTGTTGGTTGCCTTAATGTAATAGCCTCAGTCAGGAGTGTGCTGTTTTACTTCTTTCAATTTGCATTTTGCACCCCCTTTACTTGAAGTATTTGAAAGAACAGACTCTCTCCGTTTTATGTAAAGCTGGCACAACACAAAAACAACAATTCTCTTGCAAAACAATCTTTTTGTTGCACAGAATTTGAAAATGGCTTTAAAAAACAAATTTTGAAACAAACTTAATTATACGTCTAGCACTCTTCAGAGAATAAAACGTCAGAACATAGAAGGAAAACTCTACACAAAATACCCAATTTTGGATCGAAATAGGCCATCAGAAAACGCGAGGACATGACTGTTGAGGTTTTCCAATAAGTGCCCCTTTCCTATTGAAAATGTTACCAACGGAGTCCTATGGTGAAAACGAACTCACTTATGTCTACACAAAAGCAGTCGGTCATGTTTATATAGTAGATAGATTCACAAACTGCTACATAGATGGAACGATGATCAGGCTTTGCCAATAATGCGAAACATGTCGCCGTTATAGTTTTTCACCCAATCTGGGTTTTTCAGTAAATGCTGCTGGATAGTGGAATTCCATGTTTTGGTTGTCGTTTTTGATCTGCAAGACAGAGTACCCTGTTCTCTTTGAGGGATAGTTCTGTTTCTATTGCTGGAAGGGACCTGCTGTCTTATTATATCCCCAATCTACAATTCCTACCCATTTCTTCGACTTTCCTTCCAAAAATATTCCTGTTTTCTTAGGATCGAAAGGTTCTAATCACTACAAACGACGTTTGACTATTTCGGTTAACGCTACAAACGACCTTTCGGTTAACTATCCTTTTCCAAATAGATCGAAGTTTATGCATATCATAACAAAAACCGCCCAACAAGCAAAAAGTTAATTGCAAAAAATGCAGTGACGGGAGAAATCGCTGTTACAAAAATAAGCCAATTAACCCGTTTTCAGGGTTCTCTGAGTAGGAAAAGGGCAAATGAATGGAAATTTTAGGGGAGCGATTCTCCCTTCATGTTCTGTTTAGGAGAGCAATTCATAGCTCGCCTCAGGTTGCGAGGGGAGCGTGGAGGCGAGCGCGAGCTATCGCTCGCCTCAAACGGCCAGGCCTGCATTATAGCTTTTATAATAGAACATTCAATTTCTCTCTGCATTCAAGCACATTTTTTATCATTGCTTAAGCTTTTTTGCCCATTTCTTAAAAAAGGCCATAATAAATCCTCTGATAGATTTACAAATTCATGTATGTAATGTACACAAGAATCACTTATCACAACTATGGTGAATCTTCAAAGATAATAACAAAAATTATATATTCAAACTGTATGACAAAGTTATATTTCCTTATAGCTGTTTTGACAACAATCAGCAATCATGCTCACGAGACATTCGGCAGGTTATATAACCTACATTGTTGCGATATCTGAACAAGTATAACCTTCCAATGCAAGTAAATGATTTCATAATAAAATTCAACCTTATTTTAGGCTGCTTCATATTACTGCACACGGATGGGATTTGAGCCATATGCTTATAAAGGATTAGAAACTGGTTCCCGACAAGTTTGTGCTCATGCTGTGAAACAAAACAAGGTTTGAATTTTTTCTTATCGTTTTCAAAGATTAGTAGCTTTTTTATACAAACCAATTTTTTCTTAGCTTAACATTTGGTACTGCTTCAGTACCATTTATGCTATTTCATTTAGTGATGCAAACATATCATAAATGAAAAGCAGCCCAAATGATATTTGATTTGTTTCAGTGGTTGTTTTCTAGTGAATGTGAAAGTAGTGTCAGTAGTTTCTGGTTTTCCTCTAGAACATTTTAATATAATTATTATTTAAATTTCAGATCATATTTGTTTTTGAGTCAGCATATGAACCTGGTGCAAAGATCACAGAAGGTAAAACAGGGGCAACTTGAGCCAATTAAATCTTCTGTACTTATCAATGCTGTAATATCTTATTTGAGAGTCAAGGAAAGGGCACAGATGGGAATTTATATCTGTTGAAAATGAATTATATAAAAGATATTCCTACCAACTCTCGCACATTTGAGAAGGAAGAAACAATAGAAAGTACAAAAACATAGAACTTTTTAAGTAGGATAATTGATCTCTGCATCTGGGAACTTTAACTTGACAGCTATGAAAAGTTATAATGAACTGTCTAAATCTGCTTTTCATAGTTACATTCATTTATCATCCCTTTATCAATCATAATTGTTTTGACAGAAATGGGTGGACATCTTATGAAGCATGGAGATGGTGCTAAGGATGTTGCCTTTGAAGTTGAAGACTGTGCAAACATTTACAAGGTACTGATTTTATTAAAGACAAATCAACATTTTTATGTTTGGTTTAGAGGCTTTTTGTTAAAGATATAACAATTTTTAAATATGTTAACCTTTAGACAGTACCTAATCTTCAATAAAATCCCATAGCCTGTGTTTATTTTAAACCCCAATTTATTACTTTATCATTACTAAGTACCATTAGCAAGAATTTTCTTTCAGTGCCAACTAGATTATTTAAAGACATTGTTAGTAACAAAGATGCTAAATGAAAAATGTTTTAACATTTAGTTTTTCTTTCAAGTTTATGAACCTTTTCTGGTTATACTTTTTACCATTTTTACTTGAAATAGAAAGCAGTTGAGCGTGGTGCAGTTAGTGTCAAAGAGCCTTGGGACGAGACTGATGAAAATGGAACTGTCACCTTTGCTGTTGTGAAAACAGTATGTATAGGACTAACAATCTGGACTTATTTTAGGTTCTCATAATTTATAACCCCATGTGTAACATAAACTGTAACATAAGCTGTTTTTGAATAGTTTAGCCAAATTGATACACATCATATAAATGACTTTATATTTTGTGCATACCATGAACTTTGAGATTAAAGGTTGCAAACAATGAAATAAATTATAAGTTGATAATCATTGCTGTTGTTGAATCAGCAAAACTAAATTACTGCAACTTGGAACAATGCTGTTCTATACATGAAAGGGGTGTAAAGCTCTGTCTATATGGCATCAAGCACTATGCAATTAGACAGGCTTAGGCTTACAATAATTCTCATAGAGTTAATTGTAGTTTGTTTTCTTTTTGCAAGATTTCTGATTTCATCTGCAAGTTTAGCCTCTTACAAAATTTTATTGTTTTAGTATGGAGAAACAACACACACATTCATTGAGAGAAGGGGCTATAATGGACTATTCCTGCCAGGTTTTAAAAAACCCATTGAACAGGATTGTCTTTTACAAACACTGTAAGTCTTACCAACTATATTTCCCCCAATAAAGGAAGTACATTCTGATTTCTTTACCATGCATCATTAGAGCATTTGTACTTCATGTTGCACTATATTACTTGCTACCTTGCACTATATTACTTGAATATAACTTGTTGCAAATTTGTGAACTTATAAGAACCAAGTATTAGAGGTTGGGCATTTTTGACAGTCTGGGATGAATATGGCTTGCAGTGACCATCAGGGTTTGGGATTAATGTCATATAAAAGGCTGTCCATATGGAGTGAAAAGCCCTTTTCTGGGCAAAACAGGACCCTTCTTCACATACCGATGGACAATTTTACCAACAAAATAATTTCTCTGATATCTCTTGTTATAGATATTATCCATATTGCAATATATTGTGCTTCCTGGAATATTGTTTTAGCCCTGTGAGGATTCTTTTAAGGAAATTATTTGCTATGTGACAAAAGTAAATGTTCTTGCCATTGCCAATTATACCCATCCCATATGAGAAGGAATAATGTTTATTTGTGAAAGATCAGTGTGGAAATTCTTGATATGAATGGCCCTTGGAAATATTATAAAACAGTAAAATGTTTGTGTTACGATATAGTATTTTCTTCTAGGCCCCCTGGCAAGCTAAATTTTATTGACCATGTTGTTGGCAATCAGCCAGATGGAGTAATGACTCCAGTTGCAGATTGGTAAGTATTATGATTTGCGTAAGATTACCTCTTGAGAAAAAATGCAGCAAATTCAATGTTGGGTTTTCGATACCATTTGTAATCTAACAACCTTCTAATAACCACCAAGGACAGGACACAGGCCATCAAGCATATTCTCTGGCAGATTTATTTGATTTTCAAGCAACGTTAATCTTCTGTTGAAATATTATTTTCTGTTTTTTCTTAATAACTTAAAATCACCTGTGCAAATAAGCGATCACATATCTGCCCAAATTATTGCATTGCTTCCAGAGATCTCAAAGGACACTCTCAATGACATTTTATTTAGAGGTGCAACATAGAGCACCTAAGGGGCTCTTTTTATAGAGCACTTTCATTTTTCTTAGAGTATGGCCTGCATTTTCCTTACTAAGAAGCTAGAAACTGTTAATAAACATAATATATATGTTTACAAGCTGCAACTGAAATTTACTTTTTAAATACAATAGTCTGAAGAACTTACATTATTCTCCATTCTTTTATTCATCTTTTTCCAGGCAAAAATTTAGCTTGAAGCCTTTCACCATGTACCCTCATATCTGCCATAATTTTCATGCTAAAACAGTTTAATTTTAGTTCTTCTTGAATTTGCTTCTTATGGAAATTGATGTTTTGTGGAGAAATTTGATTTGTTGTCTTTTAACACATCATTTTGTAAATTGAAACCAAATAAAAGCTGTGTTTTAGTTAGATGCTAAAAAAATTGACCAAGCAGCCACAGATATTGGTTTATGTTCATTTTTTATTTGCCTCTTCAATGAACATTGATAATTATCTGATCGAGTGCAAAATACTCATCAAAGTATTAGTTGTTTAATATATCAAGAATCATAACTCATAAACCCAATTATTTATATCAATTAAAATAGAACTTCATTCTTCTCTAAATAGGTATGAAAAGATTTTGCAGTTTCATAGGTTCTGGTCTGTTGATGATTCACAGGTAAGGACTGTTTGTTTTAAATTCTTGAATGTTAAGGTATGAAAAGACAAGTTTTTTTAAAATCCTGCAAGTTTAGATACCAAATTTAATAATAATTGGTTAGGATGAAAGCAGAAGGTAAAAAGGGATTTTTTAAGATCTTTTCATATTCACTATAACTTTTCACATTCGTATATAGACATCCTGAAATAACACTTGCAAGATCATATCTCCATAACAATATTTAAAAACATTCAAGATATTGGGGTTCTGTTTGTTAAAAGATTTTGACACATATGTTTTGCAGAAATATATTTTGTGGATATTTTTGTCACGATCTTGATATTTGATAGATTCATACAGAGTATAGTGCCCTGCGATCAATTGTTGTCACAAACTGGGAAGAGACAATCAAAATGCCAATCAATGAGCCAGCACAAGGCAAAAGGAAAAGTCAGATTCAGGTTAGACAATGTGTTGTGTGTTAAATTTAAACATTGGATACAGGAAAAGCTCCTCAACAATTCATCAGCAACCAACAGCTCTTTGGTTTAATGAATCCAAAATTATTTTGATCATAAAACATGATATGACAATATGACCACTTGTGTCAGAATTTGAGCAATATCCTCTAAACTATAATGTCCATCATTAATTATGTCTTGAAGTTAACTCTTTTTAAACCAAAAAATATCAATTATACTTAAATTGTGCAATTTGTATAATTAGCATCATTTGTTTAACGACCCATGATAAGTTGCATTGAAAATTAAAAAGCTGTATTTCACTTCAACACTTTTCTCTTAAGAACATTAATCATCAGGTGTTATAATACCGTAAATCCTCGGATTTGCCTCCCACCTCGAAAAAGCCCCTCCCCCAAATAAGCCCCCCTCAAATGAGTCCCCACCCTAGAACTACAAATTGTCAATAGCCCCCCCCCCCTTGAATAAGCCTCCACTGCTGCCGTAAACTCTCGAATTGGACCCCTTCTTTTGATGATTTTTGCCATCGAATTGGACCCCTATGTTTTATTGAATTACCACAACAAATTCATACTTTTGATAGTAATTAATTAAATACTCATAAAGAAGTTCCTACTAAAATAAACGAGGTCTTTTGATAATGTCTTCTTAATGTCTACAATAATTTTGTAAGCCCCCCCCCTCGTATAAGCCCCCTCCCTCGTATAAGCCCCCTCCCTCGAATAAGCCTAATTCGAGGGTTTACGGTAATGTAGAAATTCTGCGGTCATATGTTTCATTGATAAAAGAATTCTTAATACATTTTATTACTTTTTGTATCTTAAGCTGTCCTCCTAAAAGATATCGTTCTCTACATGATTCCTTTTTTCCAGGAATATGTTGATTATTATGGTGATAGTGGTGTCCAACATATTGCTCTTAACACTGATGACATCATTACTGCGGTGAGTCATGTGCATTCTCTGAGACCCTTTATGATGCAAACACCTTGTTGCCATTACCCTTTTTTAGTACTTGATTATGCTTATATGTTGTGGGAATTTTGGTAAGATCAACTTTAATTCAAATTCAAATTTTATTTCATCAAGCAACATTCTTACAAGATATATACTAAAGATCTATTTACTTCAACACATTAGAGCTAGCAACATGAAGATATAATTTACAGATGTCTGTGAAGTGTTGCCAAGGATGCTGTGATAAACCTAAAAGGTTATTGAGTGCAATGCTCTATTACAAACGCTTAAAGAAGATGACATCATAACTATAGCACTAAAGAATCAGTTTAATAATTATGACCCTTGGTTATAAGGTTTATTTCTGATTAGATAAAGCCTTTACACTCCTTACCATATATGACATCATTTGAGCATGGCTAATACTATATGGTCAGGAACAACAAATTACTGAAAATGGTCGCTTGTATGATAGCATTTGCAACCCAAGACATCCAGACTAGTTTATTCAATATTATTCACATCTTTTTCCAGATTCAGAATCTGAAAGCTCGTGGTATGAACTTTTTGACAATACCTGATACCTACTACGAAAACCTGAGGGAAAGACTTAAACACGCCAAGATTACAGTAAAAGAAGACATGGACACGGTAAATATATTGTCATACCTTGGATTTGATGAAAACTACCATGTCAATGGATATCTTTATTGGCTTGACGAAAGAGCATCCACATTATTTAGCAAACTGGAAGTAGAGATAAGACGATAAGAAATAAGGAAAGAATTTGTCCTTCCCTGAAAATCAAACCAAAATTGTGAGAGTCAAATAAATTTTTTTGGAATTGAGACTATTTCATACCCCAGTAATACAGTTATAAATTATTACACCACAAAATTCTAGGCTTTAAGTACACTCCAAAATAATATTTACCACGTTACTTTGCTCACAAAAAACATTTACTGCTATTTTTGTCAGTAGAACCCTTCTTTATCATCAGTGCTCTTTAACGAGACCCAGTTGATTATGTTTTACAAGCGGGGCTTTATTTTCTGATGAAAACAATGATCGAGTTCTCAGTTACCTGAAACAGGTCTCCAATATGTCTTACTGTTGTAAAGAAGTTCCACGAAAGACAATTTTGTGGACGCTTCGCCACCTTGGACTAAAGCATATATTACAAATTGGAGTGCTAAAACGTTCTTGGAGCTTAAAATGCTTGAAGCCAAAAGCAAGATGATTCATTCGGTGGTTTAAATATATTTTTGGGAATTACTTGGGAGCTAAGCTCTATAAGCCCCCTGCCCCACTTCAGTGGTCCCTGCTGTACCCCCCCCCCCCCCCCCCACTTAATCCTTTCATCGGTAGCGGTAAGGATAAGACTTCATATCTGTTACTACCACCTTCAAGTCTGTTACTAGTGAGAGGTGGAGTTTCTGTGTCTTTCAAAGCTACATCAAATGGAGTCGAGTTAGATGTTCATCAGGGAGCTTGTTGCTCTTATAGCCACGTGCTGTCTGGCGAAAGTAATTGTAAATGAGGAGATTGCTTCTTCAATAAGTCGTTGACAGAGCATATCTAAATTGATACTTGTTTGCCTAAGGTAATTTGCAGATTTGTTAACTGTGCGTCATGCCACAATCCGGTGCAAATAACCAGCTGCTCTATCATCAAATTCGCATTTCTCCTCAATTCATATTCGTAAACATTAGTTTTTGCTATTCAGAATACAATGCAACTTCTATTGTATCTATACACATGTTGATTTTGACGATTAAAAAAAAAGAACTTATACAATTTCTGTCAATACTAAATAAATTGTCTTATTTTAGCTTCAGAAGCTGAAAATTCTCGTTGATTATGACGAGAATGGCTATTTGCTCCAAATTTTCACCAAGCCCTGTCAAGATCGTCCAACCCTTTTTCTTGAGGTTATCCAACGACGAAACCATCAAGTACGTATTTAAAACGCAGAACCCTAATATCTTTTTATTAAAAACACTTGTACTTTCCTATAATTCATTTTTTATACAGATTAAGTTTTCCCCCATTTTCTTTTCTCTATTTCTTGAAAAATACGTCTGTAAGGACAGAAATCTGCCAGTTTATTATGGTAATTTTCTGCACAGTTTGGGGAAACGTTTATCGCAAAACTCTTGATAGCAAAGTTCAGGAAAAATATATGCCACACAAATATCCCCTATAGTTTCTGTAATTGTAACACTCTAAAAAAAGTCTTTCTTCGCAACTTGTCTTTGTTTCTTCTGTGAGCAACTCTAAAGAAAAGAGGATATTGTTGTTTTTTTTCGTTTCTTTTTCTTTTTCGTAACATTAATTAGTTTCTACTTATAATTCTTTTGAATTGTTTGCATCAAAAACCGCGATCTTGCTTAAGCTACTATAACTTTCTAGCAAGATTTCTTATCACCGCAGTCTATGAAATGATTTTCTGTTTTAGGGATTTGGAGCTGGAAATTTCAAGGCTTTATTTGAAGCAATCGAGCTTGATCAAGACAGAAGGGGCAACCTCGTTATTTGATTGTCGTGAATCTATTTGGATAACGAACTGTTATCCTCTATGCCGTGAATTTATTTATAGCAGTGCAGAAACTTGTGCTTAGAAAAATTGTTCTTTTTATTTACTGGAATGTGCTTGTTTTGATATCAAATAAAGCATAATGAATGCATACGTTTGAAGAGTATTTATCAATATAAGTGGCTAATCATTTTAGCTTCATTTTAGCTTCATTTTTGCTTGCATTTTCTGGTGTGTCTTGTTATCTCTTTATGATTTTCTCGTTCTTTGATGACCCAATTTGCAACCACGGAACTTTGTCAAAAACCATTTTTCAGTCTTGCGGAAACCCGGATAAAAATTGACTAAAGATCAAATGGCTACGAGTTTACGAGTCAAAAATTGACGAACTAAAAGGCTTACTTAAAGGCAATCGACAGATGAAAAATGGCTTAAGTCATCTCACAATCAAAATTAGCCAATCAATAAGCGTGCGAGTGGAATCACACTCAATGATTGGTCAATTCTTGATTGAAAGTTGGTTAAGTCCCTCTGTCGATTGCCTTTAGGGTAACGGGTTTAAACTCCACCAGTTCTAAGCTAACCGCTATAAGCCATATTTTATCCTGCTAACAAGTTACAAATTAGAAAACTTTTGGAAGCAGTCGTTTATTGCTATTAAACGACCCTTTTTTCACTTCTAGGGCCGTCTCTTGTGTTATTATAGGGCCGTCTCTCGTGTTATGATAGGGCCGTCTCTCGTGTTATTCTAACTGCAAACTTTACGAAAAAGAGAGATGACAACACAGTATATCGTGATTTCATTAACAGTATATCAATAAAAAGTTGTAGTGCTCAACTGATCAGGTAAACGTTTAAGTCGCTATGTCCCGATGCATTTCGATGGCCATTTAAATTCCAATTGGTTAGACTTTACAATAGACCTATCAGTACGTATCCAATCAGCAACTTAAGCTTATTTCTCAACGCATCACAAAGTATGAGTGGTTGACAGACAGGAGATAGTGCCTTTTACGTTTTTAATTAGTAAACTGACCAGCAAGGCAGCAATTGGCACAACATTTTTCAAAAGCACAACTGCTCCAACCACAACAAATTAGATTCTGGAAATTTTCGATTGGCAAAGTCTCTAGAAATTGATACAAAACACAATTGAAAATCGTCTCAAGCAGATTGAATACTTTTTGAAAATTTACTAAGTTTTTTTACAGATAACTAATATTAGGATGTTGACAAATAGGCGATAAGCGAATTGAACTCAAATTTTTGTTTTTGATGCGATGGCGGATGTAAGAATACATATGGCGGTGGTTAGAGATTGACAAGAATATTGCTGTGTTCTGTAACGAAATCAATAGAATAAAATGATATTCTTATAACGGTCCAAACTAACGATTGATCGTATTAACAGCAATTTTATCGTGTGTCTTTTCAATGTTGACGCCTTCTGTGTGTTAGTTTGAGACAGTCAAAAGGTACCAATATGATTTTAGGGTACGTTAAAGATGATTAAGGGATACACTCTTTTGGTTTTATAAGAAGCAGATAATTTCGGTGCCTACTTTTGATATTGTTATTTCTGATAATCTGAGGCTCGACTCTTCTTAAGGTGGTTCTTTTTTCAAATTGATTTTCATACAACTGCATATAATTTTCTAAGACGACTAAATAATAGTTTTGCATCACATTCTAAGTAGCACGGTTGCGTAGCTAATAAAATCAGTTTTGTTAACATAAGGGTAGATTTCTTCTAATTTCATAGAGGCTGTTGATGCTCTCGGTATCGCTTCGAAGCGTTTATAAGATGTGTTCTTGTAAAAGCAAAAAGAATGTAAGGACGTTGTACAACTAAAGGCCTATTACCATTTGACATTTTTTGTGCGCGCGGGCGTAGCGCCCAATTCTGAGCATGCGTAGTTAAAATCAAGTGGTCTCGATTTTGCGTCCGCTGTGAGCGCCAGAAAGTTGATAGGGTCTCAATTTTTTTGTGCGCTCGGCCACTTGACAGCAGCACTTAGCTACACATGCTCAGATTTGGGCGCTACGCCCGCGCGCACAAAAATGTCAAATGGAAATCGGCCTGAAGCGACTTTCAGCATTTAGTTCTAATGACAAATGTTAACGTGGTTCGATATCATTTCTTCGCTCGAAGAACTTTATCTGACCTTGATAAATAAGTAGAAACAACTACGGTTTCATTGCTTTAGTGTTTTTTGTCCCAGTTTTGTTTAAGCTAAACATTAATTGAATTTTTTCCTATAAGTGCAGCACATTGCCAGTTGTAAACATTAAATATAGCTAGTAATGCCAACTGGTGGCTAGGTTTAACTTAACCATTACCAAGAAAAATATATGCACAAAAGATGGAAGGGGGTGTGTGTCGAAGATCCATGGTCTTAGAAATAAATTGTTGTTATTGACATTTAGGAATTTTGAACAAGGTATGTTCAAAATGAATGTAAATTAAATCCGTTAACTTTTAATGACAAGATTCTTTAAAAAATAGACAATTTTATGCATCTCTCGCTACAATGATAAAATTTTACAAAAAATATCTTAATTAATCTTTGATAACATCAAAATAGCCAATTTTCCAGATATATCAACAATTACATGGGTAAAAGGTGCAAATTTAAATATATAAATAGCAAACTGTTTAGAGTGAAGTAGGTCTTCGGTTCTTAATATAATACGAAACAGGCTTTTACAACAAAGCGGATTTCACAATATTTTTTTCTTGATATTATAATGACTTAAAATTCATAAGCACAAGTATTTAAAGGATATATGTTTGATAAGCCTACAGCTCCATAATTACTACCGTTCGGCGAAAATTAAAGTGCTTTAAGTTAGCTCAATATATTCTTGGTATAAACAGTAATTTTGATGTTTAAAAATTTATCAATTCGTTATATGTTTACATGTACATAATATGTCTGTGTGTATTCTGTCTCGATTATCATTCCAGCACCAGGTCCTAATTGTTGAGTTTTCCAATATTCGTTATGACTGATTCTTGCTACACAGATTTCCTTTTATCTTGTCTTACACCACTGTCTAGTGCTCCAACCTGCTGTCCAGTAAAAGAACTGGAACACAGTCTATTTGGTTTTATGCACCACACTTGACTACGAGTCAACAGTTGATTAGTGCTGGGTTTATTTATCAAACTTGCTACTGGTAGCCAATGACTTTTCTTACAATAATCGACCATGGAAGAAAGCTAGGGAAACTTATGGCTGTGTAGGTCAAGCTGCTCCAAATCGCTGTTAAGGATACACGAATAAAAGTACTAAATTAAAAATGGCGAATCGGATGTGTCTACAAAGTTATGCTGAATCTAGGGACTTTGTGAGAAAGCTCCGTCTGCTGTTGCAATCGAAAGAAAAATAAAGGCTTTTTCACTAAAAGGTAGTCAGACTTCCCAATGAATTCGGACACCACGCACATTGAAATTCCATAATTAGCACCTGTTGCCAAAAGGGGAATCGAGACAGGAAATGTATACATATATCATATGGTAATTGTAAGCAGAAACTTACAATCGATAATATACAGACAGCTGGCTATAAGATGTTCATATGTGATTTACCTGCTACCTGATTTGATTTTCTTAATTTTGCTGGTCTGTATTTTAGTTGTTGTCAGTTTTGAACAATCGACTTATTGTTGCATATAGGATAAAACAGTATGTATCTATCAAACAAAGTGGTAAAGTAGACTCATAGGTCTAAAGGTAACTTGCAGGATCGGAATCAAAGCTGCTACTAGAGCCTATCAAGAAATCTTGGGAGATCAACAAACTTTGAAAGCTGAAAGAGAAGGTTGCTGTAGATTTGATGTACCATTGAGTTCCAAGGTAAGTTGCATTTTAGCATGCTATACTGATTAGACTATAGCTTTGTAGATTTCTATTTTTCAAGGACTGCTGTGACTAGATGTGATACCAGCTTCTTACTTCAAAGAAACCTTGCATACACGATTACGATTAGAAAAACGATTATCTAAGAGTTTAAAAGATCCTCTATATGGAAGGAAGTTTTTTTACTCTAACAAATTCTCGCAAAAAAGACAGGCATATTGGATAAGAAACAAGATATCATGGCTGAGAAAAATGTTGCTAAGAAAAATGTTCTTTGCAATCTGAAATGTGTAGAGGGATGCAGTCGTGTCATACAGAGGAGCATTACTTAAAACAAATTATAAAAGGATAAAATCATTTCGGATACTAACTTAAGGTAATTAACTTAAGGTAAACTGGTATTGTATTGCAGAAAAGCTTCTATTCGTCCAGAGCCCAGAAACCATTACGGTTCCACAACAGTGAGCTGGGGGGAGGTCATCCAACCTTGTAGTAGTTTTAAGGCAGGCAAATAAACAGTGTATTAAGTAATAGGAGTTCACCATTGTGCTTGAATTTTTCTTTTTTCCTGACACATCGTAAAGACCAAAGCGTAAAGATAATTTTGCTTGGATTCTATTTCTAAGAACTTTTATTCAATGATACCAGGATGAATTTAAGAACATTGTCTCATCCGAAGGCACGTTGAAGCGATTTCTGAGCTCTGTATACTAAACAAAATTATCTAAAAAGCAGCCGAGGTTCCCGGCTTATGGAGACGCATATTCGTAACGTATCTTTATATGGAGGTTTCACGATTTAAACATGAATAATTTTAGGATAGAGATGGTTTATCATACCCAAAGATTGTTTAGGCTCAAGGCGATTTAAATAGGAAACATGAATTTCTCAGGATTTCTCAGGATCTCTCCAACAGGATTCAATACACAGTCTCCTCTGACTAAACAGCTGAACAGCACTGCCATATTTGGTCTGAAAAGCTGGTGGCGCCAATTATTTTGCTCTTATAGTTGGAGCGCACATGCTATTAAAACTGCTACCAACTAAATCTACTAACTAATTCTATCTATCCATCCATATAGTTTGGAATACATAATTTTCAACCATAGATTCTTGAAATGTAGTACCAATGGAGAAAAAAACTTGCAAACGCTACTTAATTTTATAAACAGATGTCTAAAACATTTTGTCAAAGGTTTAAGTTCAAAACTACAAGGCTATTGTACATTGCAAACTCCGTTATTGGGGACCAAAAAGTTTCCAGGTGGTTGACTTAACGCTTATTGTGCTGCATTGGAGTATTAAAGAGGTATTGCTGTTAAGAGGAAGTTTAGGTATCTCGAGAAAAAAATTTAAGCCGTACATCGTTCGCTGTTTGTTCTGATCAAGGATACTGGAACGATAGGTGTGGCCCCAATGAAACAGAAAACTCATGATGTAAAGTTTCCCCTATAACACCATTATTGAATACAATGAAAAATAATAGAAGTTCATGAGTTACCTGAACAGAGTATTTAAAACTGGATTATCTTAACGAATCGTGGCTTTTTAACATAATCAGGTCGGCGTAAGAGCAGGGTGTTATTTGCAGAATGACCTGTTGCATGCGGGCACAGCTGCGAAGAAGGGGGGAAAGGGAGGGAAAATTGCCCCAGTGAGGGAAAATTTGAGGTTTAGAGGGCCTCATAAAGTAATGAACTCTAAGAATGAAATTAATCAAAAGAAGTAGAAGAATGTCTCAAAATAATAAAAAAACTGTAAACGGTTGCAAGAAATGACTGCAATAAATATTCCAAAATATTCCCAAAGACATTTTGAGGTAAACTTAAGGGTGTGGTCGCAAAAATCTTCTCGGCGGCCCTGCATGCAGGACATCTTGGCCGTTATTCAAAAGGAGAGTTTTATCATAAATGCAAAGACAAGTATCCTTTTTTTCTAGTTGTACATCATTAAGATTCTAAGCAACTTGTTTATTGGGTTGTATATAACCAAAGTATTAACTGATCAGAGATAAAAATGACATTGTGTAACTAAAGTTCAACTATTGAGGATCGATTTTAAGCACTTTTCTAAAACTTTGTTATGCAAAGAAGTATAAAACTGTCACTCTAGATGCTTTACAAAAACTACTGCTAAGCAACTTTTGTACTTGTATATGAGTTGTTGCCTTTTTGCGAAGTTTCTACACAATATGCTCATTTTTAATAAAATCCGACATCTTTTACCGAGATTCCATCTTCTTACTTTTCGGATATTTTGAGGCACTGATGTTCTTAAAATGTTCCTCTTGTTTCAATATTTATTATTCTATGTTTACTCACCATAAATTGTTTCTATGATCGCTATGCCCTTTAGTCTACCGGAGAGCAAGGGAAACGCCCTTTTTCGGTACAATCGTTGAAAAAGTTTTTTAATGATTTTTCCAAGATTGTGCAAATACATTATACATGAATCAAAGACACGTAGACATTTCTCTGCGGTAAGCTCATAGGCGTTCATTCTATATAATTAGCTGAAATAGTAGCTTTTTGCATTGTAAATAGATCTTATTACTTTATTACGGGCCCCATCGAAACACTGGCCCCGGACCATTTGCCCCTCCTAACCCCCCTCTGGACGCCCCTGCTCGTGCGTTCTTACAAAAATATTACTTTGTGTTTTGCCTTGTATGTGTTTTGTTTTTAATGTCATTTTTGTACTAAATTTATTTTTTAAGCAAAGTTTCTGCGCGACGTGTGTTTTTTGTCTTTCAGCAACATTTCAAACTACTTTCATCTCTTTTCTAGCCATTGACGATGAGTACATGTTTGAAACGTCGTGATTTTAACTATCAAACTTATTTATTTCATTCTGGTACTCAATTTACTTGATAACTTTATTATCGTTATTTTGTTTCAAACTATTATTGAGAGTTTGGGGCTTACGAGAAATTGAGTTAGACATAGTTGCCAAGTTACCATATTTTTCTGGAGAATTCAACATTTGGGTGTGAAAAGACAATTCAAAAATGCGATTCTCATAAATTTTCTATGCATTACATTGCATATAAACTAGTAACATTTTCCACATAATCTCAATGGTATTAACAAAAATTAATCTTAATAACATGTTTCCGCAAATAATACACTTTGAAGTGTTTGGGACACAATGAAAACACGAAGACTTGGCAACTATACTTAACTCCATTTCTTGCTAGCAGCAATTTTGCTTAAAGGGAAGGACACATAAAGTAAAGAAACTCTGCCTAAAGGGAAAAATACTTTCACTATCATTTCATAAGAACACACCTTTTAAAAACACCAAACATGTCTTAGGGCGATTGAATCAAAAATAGAAGTCTAGCATGAAAACATGTTAGAAGCTGGACAAAAAGGAACATATCAAACTCTTAAAGAAAGTCATTTCATTTTAAGACAAATAAGTACAAAAATTTTATAAATCAGATTTAAGTACAAACCAATGTCAAAAGTTGTTTAACTTAGAGCAGTCCTTTTTAATTCACAAAACTCTCAAAAAATTTTGCGACTTGTGATTGCAATAGCATTGAAACCTTATGCAGACAACAATCTTTTTTGCAATCTCTTGTTTTGGTATACTTTTAAGTTTCTTTTCTGCTATGTTATTGTTTTACTACAATGGATATTTGAAAATTGTTAATGTTAGTGTACACAGGTATATAAGCACAGGACACCTGGTGCAATTGTGCTTGATGAGTTCTTTTCAAGTGTTGTGAGAAATGTTTCCTGATAATAGTTTAATTTTGCCAAATGTTGTATGAAACATGCTTATTGCATTCATTAAGCATATATCATATTTCAATAACATTTTATTAAGTGTAACATGGTACTGCTAGAATAAACTGTAAAAATGATATGAAGGAAAATGAGTCATAAAAAATAATGTTGACAGAGTATTCCAACTAAAAACATAACTTTTCAGCAAAAAGTTTTGGAAAACTTTAATCTGATAAATATAAACATGGTTTTCATGCTAAAATTTGACAAATTTATATAAAATTGCACAATCTATCTATACTGTCATGTTTCTATACAATATAGAGTAACTACAGCTCCTTGGTTAATGCTTTTTAATTATTTAATTCATAAATATGCTTTAAAACCTTATTTCAAATATATTGATGTGTATGTCCCGATGCCATTGCTTAATGCTTTGCTCCTGCTAATTATTAAAACACTATTTTCAAATTATAAATGCATATATGTTTTACAGTCGATTCAAATAATTAAGTGCTTATTTGTAAAGACTATACCTGATAATAAATTATCAACTAAGTGATATAAACTGATAAAGTACTGTTTGTCTTAAATAGATTTTGAAACTGTTGTGTTATGTAGCCTTGAGTCAAAATATATTTTATGCTTATCAATGAGTCATCACCAAATTTCATAAAGAAACTTATTAGATAGAAAAATAGGCCACACCCAGTTAGGAACACTTACCACGTAAAGTTGCCAGGTATGTTATTTTTTGAATTGTTCTTTCATAATTGGATAAAAACTTATTTTATGTCATTTAGGTAAGGGCAGAGCCAAAAAAGGTTTTTTCAAGAGGTGATTTTTGCAGACAAAAAAGGGCCTGCCTCACTATTTAAGGTTGTGGTCAAAAGATAAATACTCATACATGCTACTCTTCTGTGTTTCTGTTTCAAAGTTTATACTCTAGTTCCATACTTTAATGTTCAACTACACAGAAATGTTAATATGTTAGAATTGTTGCAGAAAGGTTACAGAGTGAGTAAAAATTTCCATCTTTTGCCCGGGAAAAATCCTTAATGTGCCGACGAACAAAATTTTTCATTTAGATGAGAAAATAGCCTTTTGAAATACAAAAAAGTCAATGTTATTTTTGTCAGCTGCGAAAGTTAATGAATGAATTAACTTTGCGTTTGCGATACAAGCTGCTAGGAGGTTCCCGACGAGGTCTCTTCTCTATTAAATACCTACAATCGGTTGTATATAGTTTTACAGGCAAAATAT